TTGTTGTAACAAGGTTGTTGCGGCAATGTCTTCCTCGTTTTCGAACGCGCGTTGACGTTGTTAATCGTCGCAAATTAATAATTAATAATTTTTATTTAATTAAATAATTAATTGAAAATTGATGGAAAATATCTTTCTACTATAGAGTTATTCCAACGTAACTATATATTGTGTGTATTTTTATTACCTAAATAAGTGTTTTTGTATACTTACGGGCATATAACGCCATCGCTTAATTGATTTTCGAAGAGGAACAATCGCGATCATGTATTTTTTTTTACATGCTGTAATAGTATATTTTGTTAAGAGCTTTGTGCATACACTGCTTGCCGCCGCTTGTGGTGTCTGATTTTGTCTGTCAGCCATGAGAACTGAGAGGTAAACGTTTTCTTAAAATTTGACTTTAAAGTTTTGAACGACAACTGATTCGAGAATAAATTTATCTCAATAACGGAATATGAGCGTCTTACTTTTGTTTTAATAAAAGAATAATCGTTTTATTTTAGTTTCCAACTTGGACTGCTAAGCCAATAATAGTAGATATTATTCGTACAAAGAAAAAAAATCGCGAGCATTCCTATTGTTAGTTGTATTTTTTTTTGTTCATGTGATCGTCGAGTGAACAGAAATGTGCTGGGCGCGAACGTTATTTAATGCGTTTGAGTTTTCGGCGGCAATGACCTAGGTCGGTTTCACTAGAGTAAGCCGGAAAGGGGACAAAGTAAAATCTCTATGTAGCGATATGAACATAAAATCATCAATGACACGTCATGTTAAAAAGAAACAATGTAGGCAGTGTTAGTTATACGTCTAATCTGTTTAATTTTGGTTAGGCTTTATACTTTAATTCGTTGTCATCGAAATCGTGGTCGAATTAAAATCGTTTATCGACTTCCCAAAACAATTTAGTCGTCAACAGTGTTGTTCTTTAGTAGCTCTCAAGTGGATCTTATTATATTTTTTCTTACTGATAGTTACAAGTTACAACAGTCAACAACATATTAATGTATGCACGCGTGATACTTTCCAATGTGAGCGACGGTTAAATTAATTGTTATTGCGTATAAAAATTTTAAGTTCCAAACATGTATTTCCTTGACTCTTTCTGACGTCAATTTTACAGAAGGATCCTATATTATTGACCCCGTGTATAGTAAAAGTTTAGCCCGGAAAAAAATGTATGTATTTATTATGAAAATGGTTAGGATCAAAAACTGGTTACTAAATGTATTATAATTAATTTATGTATTAAACCTTTTATAAACGTTCATGCGACCGGCATTAATTTTGTAACATTTACAATTGGAAGGAATAATACAACTTTTAGGATCAATAAATACAGTGGACATTTTGTTTGGAATTTAGATTGGGTATAGAGGCGTTTTTTATATATTGCTCCTTAGGAGTATAAATGTTTTATATTTAGAAATACGATAAAAAATAATTGATTCTAGGAAAGCCGGTCTACCTTAACTGGTAGTAAACAAATTGTGACTGACAAAAAAAAATTCAAAAATTAGGAACGTTGTATTAGTGTTGTCATGCCAACGATTTCACTCAAATTGTTTCTACAATAATAATAAATAAATATAGTTGAATAAAGCTGCTTTATACAAACGACCTTGTTCAATCTTGACCTTGTTTCCTTGTTAATAATTGTGTGAACGTGTATGTTACTTTTACCCTAAGTTATTATTTTATTTGTACTTAATGTACCATATATGCATATCCAATATCCATGGATAACAAAATAAACATATTAAATAATAATAAAGTGTGTAAAAATATAAAAAAAAATAACAAATAAAAATATCATAGGTATTTGACACATAAGTTGTAATAAAAACGTAATTAATATTATTCTACATTAATTATTGAATTTTAATGTAAAATATTAAAATAACTATATTTAAAAATATTATTTTATTTTAATACTTACAAATAAAAACTAATATCTGTATTCAAACTATTATAATAATAACACATCAACGAACCATGTTAAAAATAAATACTTAAATAAAAGTAACTACAATAAACAGGTTTAGTGTATATAAACATAATAACAATCTGTTAATTTCATTAGTTGTTAGTGTAAAAACCGAAAAAGTTATTTATGTAAAGTGTTAACATTAGCATCATACAGTGTTCCCTTTAAACAACTTAAATCCATAATTAATAAGTTCATATTTTAAGCGAGAACAATATAGTTTCAACTTGTGGCGGTTAATAATATAACAATAATTATTAATTGTACTCACAACCTTCAAAAGGCCCTTATCATCTGTCTTTCTCGCATCAATATAATCTTTCTCTCTTCGCCTAAAAAGACCGCAACCTCTTACAGTACAAGTATGGACGTGTCCTATACATTATTTTACTATCTATATCAAGATCTGATTTTTTTCAATATTTCAATAGCGGATCCTCAATATTATTGTAGAAAACGTTTCAGTAACAATCATAAATAGAAGAACAATATATAGTAGAAGAATGTATTGGATATAAAGTTAATTACATAATAATTTAAGTTATTTTCTATTGGATATTGATTATTGTAGCATAGATGATAAAAATCTCTTTATCAGTAGGTCTCTCTTTTTTAATCAATAAACTATGCCTTTCTCTCTTCCACAAGGTGCAGTCGATAAAGATTATTAGTTTTTTATTCTTATGCCCACATTATCTCTAGAACGATTTTTAAATTTAAGAGATTTAAGTTGATATTAATTGAGATTAGACTAACGCACCAGTTTAAATTACACACAATTTCAAACAGTCTGCAGACGCTAAAAATGCAGAATGCAGCGCGACATTATTATATTATTTCATTTTGTTACTTAAAAATTAATGCGACTAGGCCTAAATTAAGATTTCCATGTGCGCATTTACACGCATCAGGAAGTGAAAGGTGAACCGCCGAGGCATCAGTCTGATGATTCATATTATAAAGGCGTACTTGTGTCCTGTGTTCAATACCAAGGTCGATGATTTCCTCATGACTATTCGTAGATGCCGGTGCGGTAGTCCGAATTTATGTACCCCCTTCTCTCCTCACCACATCTCTCTGCACTGGTAATCGGACACCAATTCAACATAATATCATATCTCTGGGCTCTCGAGACGATAAGAATCATAGTTGTGACTAATATTTATGCCGTCTATCAATTTTCTCAAAACAAAACAAAAAATTACAGGAAAAACGTATTCTTGTCATCGACAACCGTTTACATATTCGGTATATATATCATTATAATACGATTGATTGGCAGTTGAAATTACTGAGTACACCATGTCATTGAATCATTCTAACAGCTTAAAGCTGATCAAGGCCAAACGCTTTTGGATAACCGTAATCGTTTCTTGTTTACAATATACATATTACTGTGTAATTTCTACAGTGTATAATATATTCACAGTATCCCAACAAACAAAAAACTTATGGCATCAATGGTAGCCTCGTTATTATAAAATATCCAATAATAATATAATGTGTTGAGATAATGGCAAAGCCATAATATTCCAACGATTTAAAAACATTTATTTATATCGTAACCGCTAAGAGATATGTTTTTCCTTTGTAATACCACAGATCACTGCCAAAGGCTTTATCATACTAGACAAGTTAATATATTATATTATGGTAGTTTATCTGATAATTACTTCATGGGTTAAACGAATCATTATCCTTATTCACATGGTGTACGTGTAGGTATGTATTACGACGATTGACAGATTTACATATACATTTAAATCAATCTCTTGGAGAGCTGGGGCGTCCCATCAAATCGTTTCTATTGAATTTATTTTTAAAAAACCGCCTTGCTTAATTTGTTGCTGCTATAAGTGAATTCAATATCCTTGATTTCAATTTATATGAAAACATATGAGTTCAATTAAATTATTGATTTACAATTTATTTTACATCTAAATAGTTTTGATATTATCGCTAATATTTTATTTTGTACGAGTTATTACCCCCCACGGTTAGATATATTTAAGTTGTACGGTAATTGTCAGAGTCATCAACCGTATCAAAAATAAAACAGGGGTTCAATGACTAGTTTTATTACGGGCCTCTGGCGTACTTCATAACAGCCGGCAGTTAATTTCATAGAGTAGCCGTTCCCTATATTGACTGAATTCCACAATGACCTGACATATTATATGTAAGGACAAGTGACACATTTTTGCAGTTTGACTATTTATTTTAAAAAAAATTGTACTTATAAATAACAACCTGCTCCCATAATTTACATTTAAAAAGTAACATAAGTAGTGTAACCACAGTTATTTACCAAATCACCGTATAAAAATGGATTTTGTTGTCATGTAACTAACTGCACCAAAATTAAGTCGCTCGTTGAACCAATATTTGATGGAACGGCTCCTCTGGCCTCTATAATATGTAACTATGGTTCATAAAGACGTAATTTAATTTTGTCATCTAGCATTTCGAAGATAATAACGTAATAGTGTGTAATCTTCATAAATAATATTACTCTTTGAGTTCATCTGTATTATCGTCTGGAGAAACTGGATTATCCGTTTTTTTCACTCAGTCTCCACTATCACCAACAAATCCACGATAATAATTTATTCGGATAGACCTTGAACCGTTTTAAAGGTATGACCACACCACCGTGCACCCCATATATGGTGGTATATTTTTTTTTTACCTGGCCGTGTCTGCTACAAGTAGCCAAGATCAGTCATAGACATAACCGCTCTCTCGTTCCCTTGGACCTTGACCTTTCCTTATATAAACGAACTGCACGGTGGCGCAAAACTTGCAAAAACGTGTCTAGCATTCGCTTCCTGGTGGCGCCGTTGTTGCTAATTTCAGCGGAATTGAAATATTTTATTATTTTTTTTATAATAAGACAATGTTGTATAGAAATATATTAATGTCCGTCGGTTAAACAAGGATCCCGCCAAAATTCCGATGATGGCACCGTACACGATCTTAATAATTAGTAATAACTATATCTTTTGTTTTACAGTTGCTGCTGGAAGGCAAATCTCCAATGGAAAATGCCAAATTGTTAAAAACCACGACAAACGGCGCGACACCGTTGCTGATGGCCTGTCGAAACGGGCACCACGATATAGCTTTGTACTTGATCAAAAAACACAAAGTCGACATCGAACAGACTGGATCAGGTAAACAAAAAGCTACATTCACAACATATCATAATAATCTCTCTGGCAGTTTTCATACACAAAGAACATGATAAAAATCATGTACAAATAAGTCGGTATTTCATTGACTGATAGATTAGTTAATCGTTATCCGGTTTATGTTATAACTTATAAAGCTCGTTCAATGAATAATGATTTAGTTGTATTAAAGTACAGTATTACATACTTAGTATAAAATTAGACTAATTAATCATGAGTTAAAAAAAAAGTGGTAGAATAATTAAGAGTAATCAAAGAATAATAAAGGCTTATGACTTGCAACGCGGCCATTTTTGAAGAAAAACTAGAGCATTTGAAACCACCTTATACAGTAAAACCAAGCACAGTATTCCCTAGTACAGTCTAAACCAGCGCAGTCTAAATCAGCACAGCAGAAGTTATATCAAAGTTCGGTAAAAACAATTATTAAATCTGAATGTGATTTCATCACAATCAAACGCTTCGATGAAAATCTGGAAATCGTAAAAATCGAGCACTGTCCAAACCAGCACAGTAAGAAATTATCAGAGTGAGGTCCGGTATGCACAAATAAGCATCGAAGCGTTTTCTTTGACAAAAAAAAACACCATCGTAAAACCTTTTCTTAGCTATCCCATCGAAGCTATGTCTGTATTTTACTATAACAGGCTTTAAGTGGGTTAAATTCTATATTTTTGGGGTCGCCGATTTTAAATTTATCCATTTCACCCCTTACTTAAGCCTAAGGGTTGGGCAGGGGGTTATTTAGAATTTTTGTTTTTTTTGGTATACTTATTTTGTGTGCATAAACAGGTCATATAATACTAAATTTTAAGTTTGTAAACCTATAATAGTCTTCAAAATCCATATTTGTAGTGTTTGAGTCACTTTTTGGGTTATTTTATTAAAAAAATTAATACAGATTTCTTTTTACACATGTGTTGGTATATGTTATACCTCTTTTGAGACTAGCATTGCAATTAACTCTTAAATTGCGCCAAAAAAACTTCCAACCGGGCGAGGGTGGTCGAATATTTCCCACTGTTTGGTGTAATGAATTTACTTTTTCGACTTTTAACCCACTAAAGTATCAACCGCGTTTGATTTCGCGTCTATAGAGGTGCTACACGAGTTATTACTTATTTGGGCCACAGGATAAAATTGTATCGCGTCTTCAGACATAAAAAATACTCTCATTATTCTCATCTATCGCATCGAAACTAAAACTTCTTTATTGCGCACGCTTTGTATGACCGACTAGCATGGAACGGTATTACGGAACGCGGAAATACTATAAACCGTAAAAGCGTTATAACTTAAAATTTTATAATTTATCGTTTGTTTTGTAAGTTATTGTATGGGTCACGAATATTTGACAGGTTTATGTGTGTTAATAGTAATTGCACACATAAATCTATCAAATAGTTGTGACCTAGACTTCACATATTAGTTCCGAATTTCGATAGTTTCAATGCAGCCAGCCCGCCAGTATCGGTTTTTTTATAACGATTGGACCCAAAAAATGTATATGATTGGTTCCAAAACGGCGTTACCAAAAAAACGTATGAAATGGCGTGTTCAATATCTACAGTGGCCATCTGGAATAGCAATGTTAAATAGTAAAAAAAAGTATATAATATTTGTTTCAAATTGACCAATGAGTATAAAATTTAATTATTCAATAATGTGTGTGATAAATAGTAGTTTAAACCTGAATAATTACATAATTGAAATATTATAAGGTGATTATTTTAAAGTGATCCACTCAAAATCTCATAGGGTTAAATAATATTTGTTTTATTCCCCTCCTAAATTAATTATTTTTATATCTCAACTTGTGAAACTTAAATAGTAACATATATATATATATATATATATATATATATATTACAAATATATTATATTAACTTTTTAAATCAAGAATAATTTACTAAAAAACATGTCGATAACTAGTTTTGAGTCATTAATTTTAAAGTAACGAGTTTAAAAGTAAGGAATTAAATAAGATAGAAATTATATAATTATACTAATTTCGTTAATACGTAAAATTAAAAATAATAATAGTATATTTAGAATGCCTCTTTTACATACTTCATATTTAATGGTCCCTAACGGAGCTCGCGTTTAATATATAGATATTTTTTTTTATACTTTCCTACTTATATTATAACTAATTGTAGGCCGGCAACCGGTATGTGAAAGTACACAAGAATATGTTTACACATTGTAGTAAGACTATTGTACGAATGATTTGGTTGGTACATATCAATGTTAATGTGATAAGTTACTGTGTTTTGAGATTTGTTGTGCATTCTACGTACACAAATAACACAATACACGTTTAAATAAACCCATATTTAATAATACACAAAAAAAGCCATGTATTATTTTCGATTTATTGACAGTGAAAGGTCATCGCCGTTATTCTGTTCTTACCTGTGTATCGTTGTACCGTAGATATATAACGCATAGAAAGGTTAATAGTGGTGATTGACCACTGAAATAATTGAGATTGATTGTCGCCTCAGCCTACGCAAAAACTTTTTTTATTAAAAAAAAACAAGTGTTTTTGCTTATCCTATTTTAGCCTTTACTATAAACGTATCCTGTAGGTAGATAATACACGCTTTAAATAAAGTTTTTGGATTCGAATACAAAATTACTATTATATGGTTTGGTTGAAGAGCCACTGTTGTTATTAAATAAATTTCGTTTGTCTTATTATTTATAAGTGTTATTTGTTAGCTGTTGGATTTAACAAAAATGTTATTTTTTAGTGGTTTTTGACGGTGAAACAATCGAGGGAGCGCCCCCTTTGTGGTGTGCGGCTGCTGCTGGTCACCTGACCATTGTCAGGTTGTTAGTCAAAGAAGGAGCTGTAGTGAATTCGACGACGAAGACAAATTCAACGCCTTTAAGGGCTGCTTGTTTCGACGGACACTACGAAATCGTCAAATATTTAGTCGAACACGGTGCCGGTAAATATTTTTACTATTTTTTCTTTAATTTATGTTAACACGATATTTTATGTTATCAATTTTTGTTGTACGATAAATTACAAAACGATTTATCTAAATCAATGACAGGTCTATTAGTAAATAGTAATACCGAACCATACAAGAGTGAAGAGTATCAAATTAACAAAATGTCATTGATTAAATGGTGTGGCGTGTGTCGAACTCTTTATCTTTCATCCAAAATTTCAAATGGATTTACAGTATTAAAAATTTAAATACTAACTTTTTAAAACTGGTTATTAATTTTTTAATAACTCGTTATTTTTTTATTTTAAAGGTAAACAAAACAAATGATACACTGGGTTTTATTTTATAAATCGCAACATTTTACAAACGTACTACCGTCTTAAATTTTAAACTCTATTAACTTTTAAAGTAATGACTTAAAACTGGTTATCGACCAGCCAACAGTTTCAGACAATTATTCTTAATTTTAAAAAAAATTATAACTAAAATACAACTACAAATAACACTAATTGAGGTGTTACCATTGGGTGACTTCCTTTAACGCTACTATTGCTATGTTATTGTAAATGTCAAACAAAAAACTTATTGTAAATTTATTTTGTAGATTGTTTTTCCTCATAAAAAAAAAAAAAATTAAATGTATATGTTACCATTTAGTTTTAAAAGTTATCCTTCCTAATTTTGGCTCAACAAAACGAACATTTTAAATTATTATTATTTAATAAAATTTTAAAATGTTGTTTCACATAAACAATTTTTACAAATTTTTAATATATCAATAAAATATCAGGTGTAACATATAGTACTGATAATTGTTTAGTTAATATTTTAATTTCCACCTAATTAATAAAGCTCCTACCGTTTATATCTGTAAAACTAATTTATTTATAATTTTTCTGGAAACAATATCTTTAAAAACTGAACAAGTCTAGCTTGTTTAGTTATTGTACATTATTACTGTAATGGCCAATGGGGCCCATAAAATATAATTGTGTCGACCGGGAAGTATTTTTTGTACATGTAAAATATAATTTTCTTCAAAATAGTCTGATTGGAAAATAATAACAATATTAACGTTTACCGCAATTCATACACAACGCCAATTATTTATTACTATAGTCTACAATAATATAATATGTATGATGTACTGTAGCAGTGAAGGTGAAATTTATTAACTATGTAACTAATAATTTTTGTGGTTTTTTCGTCGCTCGTGTGCACCAATAATATAATTGCTCTCTTATTTTTTTAGTTATTCTATTTAAACATTTTGTGTTTGACGGGCCCATAATACGTGATGAAATTGTTATATGTATTGCCGTCATTTCTAGTTCTGGACAAATTATTAATTATAATTATGGTTACTATTAATTATATAATTATTTTTTAATTTCTTAATGACTGAGAATGTCAAGCGGTTTAACGATTTAAAATAAAAACTTGTTTCTTTGTTTCTATAAAAACGAAAATGTTTTTTTTTAGATATTGAAGTATCGAATCGCCACGGTCATACTTGCTTGATGATCGCCTGTTACAAAGGTCACTACAAAATAGCCAATTATCTTTTGTCGCTCAATGCGGACATTAACAAGAAGAGTGTCAAAGGCAACACTGCTCTGCACGACTGTGCCGAATCCGGTAGCTTAGATATATTTAAAATGCTTATACAAAATGGAGCCAAAATGGAAGTAGATTCGTATGGTTAGTGGTTTCTTCATCCTTTGTATTTTTATATCATTATTACATTTCTTTATTTGTCACTTACAGGAATGACACCGCTTCTAGCGGCCTGCGTTACTGGTCATGCGGACATTGTGGAATATCTTGTAAAAAGTGATAATTTAGTGTCGCGCAAAGAGAAAATTGAAGCTTTAGAGTTACTGGGAGCCACCTACATTGACAAAAAAAGAGACTTAATCGGTGGATTTGCATTGTGGAAACAAGCCATGGACTTACGGTTTAGCGATGATGATGAGCCAGACATACCTAAACCAGATAACGCGTTGCCTATTGAAGCGTATGAATGGGCACAAGAAGTAAAAAACCTTGAAGAGCTCAACGAACTGTTATCTGAACCCGATGAAATGAGAATGCAAGTGAGTGTTGTTTTTTTTTTTCAAATTCAATTACAATCACAATCCATTTACTATTTTGTATTTGTTAGGCTCTATTAGTGAGAGAACGAATTTTAGGTCCAACACACCCAGACACCAGCTACTATGTAAGGTACCGAGGTGCTGTCTATGCTGACGCGGGTAAATTCACCAGATGCATATCTCTATGGAACCATGCTTTGGACATACAAAGAGGTTCTCTGGAATCATGTCACCAAATGACTGTTTCTTCTTTCTTTTCCTTTGCCGAGTTGTTTTCATTCATGTCGGACGCCTGTGCTACCAACGATGACAATGGTTACAGACAGGTGCCAGCTTTACTGACTTTTGAAGATGTTATTCAGGTTCTGGCAAAAGCTGTTAATGAACTCTGTGAACCTAAGGAACAGTCATCGACATATGATCTGTCTCCTCGATTATTGCTCATTTCCTTGGATCTCTTCAATATGGCGCTCAAGTAATAAATATAAGTTAAATCACTAATGCAAGCAATTTGTTAATATTTTGCTTTATATTCCAGATTAATTAGGACTGAAGAACAATCACATTTAACTCACCGTTTGCTTTATCGTTTGAATAAGTCAAACATATTAGGATATCTAGGCCAAACGCCTATTCATTTAGCAAGTGCGCGCAAAACCGCATTGGCCGTATCTTTACATCCACAAATTGCCCAGTCTGAGAATTCCTCGTTGCTACTTAGAGCTCTGCTTAAGATTGGTGCTGACCCTAATTCACGAGACGATGAGGGTAATACGCCACTGCATCTTGTAGCACCCAAGGATGCAACTACCGTAAAACTGTTGTTAGGAGGCGGAGCTCACTATGACTCTGTCAATGGTGCTGGACGTACTTTCTGCGACATGCGCAAAGCCACACCTCACAATCCACTTTGGCACACATCCTTAGCTTGCCATGCCGCCCGTGTCATACGTAAAAATCGCATACCATTTGTTGGACACATACCTGTAACGTTGTATGAATTTGTTGAAAAGCACTAATTATAAATTGAGTGTACTATGATAAGTGTTTTATACTGTATCGATGGTTTAATGTTTCTGTAATTTATTGTTTGCACGCAAAATAATTATTTTACATAACATAATATATTATACTTAATATTATAAATAAAACATACATTTGGAACAGACTTTTATTTTATAAATTTAAATAAGATCATCAATGTTATCACAACTGCCTTTAACTTAAGGATAGCAATTTGTATGCTTTTCTTATTATGTTCTTTATTACTTTTCTTATATTTTAAATATATATTATAAAATAAAAAAGTAAATGAGCATTTATTTTACATATTAAACTGTTACTAAATACCAAAACAATGTAATACTATTGTACTCGATATTACTCCTTGTTTATAGTGAGAGTAGGCATTTTGAACCTATTTTTATTTATATACAACATAGTTTCTAGTAAGTTTGTTTACCTAAATGAAGTTTAATATTTTATAATAAATTCATATAAAGAAAATTATATTATTATTATAAATGCATGTTATTTTTTTAAAAATGGTTAGGTTCTCTTCCATTTGTTCAACACGATCAAACCAATCAATCTTTGAATATTCGCACTTGTATTTCCTGCTATTTGCGCTATTACCATACTACTTTTATATTATATAATATACTCGTTCCTTATTCTATTTCACTTCTAGACATGCCACACGTCTATTTCAGCATTTTCATTTTCTTTTTATCACTGATTAATGCGGCAAACGGTTATAAAAATACTGGGGGAAAAGGGTATTACATGAATACCTAGTTTTTTTAACATTATTAAGTTTGGTAACATCTAAAATCTAAACCACTGTTAATGGGAATCATGATAAAAAGTTTTGAATAAATATTGTGTGACACAAGAATAAATAGTGTATTATAATTAAATTTATTAATTTAGTGCTTCTAAAAGTTAATTTTACAAACCTTTTAGTAAATATTTGTTTATACTCAAGTGGCTATTGTTCACATGACTTCCCCCTCATTTTCTACTTTCTAGTTCACACTTAATTATACAGTTAAAATATCAACACGTATGCAGCATACCTTGTTTAACATTTTTTTTTCTAAAATAAATGTAAATATATCATATTAAATATAACAATTTCATAAATTATCATTATTAATACATATTCTCAAATTAATCTCACAGTTTTGACAACTTATGTGCTTGTACTATGCCATAAAGAAATAAACAATTATTTTCAGTATAAAAAGTCTATATTTATAATAAAAGAAAACTTCAGATAATACTATTAAGTAGAACCTCATATTTACAAATTTAAGACTAAAATAATTAAAATTTTTCACTTAAAAATCTTACAATTCCAAAAAACACGTACGAAATATAAAAATTGCCTTCTTCAAAAATATTTTTGTTAATAATAAATAATTCATAGATAATATTATTATAATATATTCATTCTTCACAGATAATACATAATTAAACTTAAATCACTGTTACATGTTAAAGTAAGCTAACAGGGTTGTAGGTCAGGATGTTTTGTGGTTGTATCCTACACACCTAATTAAAATTGAACATAACATAAACTCACTGTTTTTATTAAAATTTAAATAATATTACAAACAAAATATTGTTTCACATACTTTGTTTTTAGAATTATTTCCATAAATGTCTTAATAATTATTTACATTTTTATTGTAAATGATTTTAATCGCTATCTGAAACAGGTTCATCTTGAGCTTTAAAACTTCTCTTAAATACCTCCGACATACGTTTCATTGCATCTAGTTTAGTAAATGCTTCAACACTATCTTCATCATCACTACTCTGTGTTTGGGACATTCGTTCTTGTGAAAATAAATCACTGTGTGGTTCGACTATTTCAAGATTTTGAGAACTAGTTGAAGGTTGCATTTGAGATTCAGTCAAAACTTGATCGTTTGTTGCTTTTTGAGTTTCAGTACTATCAACTTCCACGCTTTGTAGAATTGTCTGTTTGTCCCTCATTGTATCTTTTTTCAAAATTTGATCAAATTTTTGTCTTATTTTTTTCAAATATTTATTATAGCTTCTATCATCGTTTCGTTTTAGTAGCTTAATTAAACGATTTACTTTTATACTTAATTTATTGGTCAGCTCTTTGTCACTGTCAAAATCCAGTTCTAACTTATATAAGGTATCGACCAACATGGCAGTGTATGGTTGATCTTCCAATAAGTAATCTAATATGTAGGAAGCCAATTCACTATGAGCGTTAATTGCCATTTTTTCATTTTTAAACATTAGTCCTCTGGTAATATTTATCAAAGTTGAGTTCACTTCTTCTGGGTTAATGCCCAATTCTGTTGTTAAGTTGTGTTCATTAATCTCTTTAAATACTGGTACATAACACTTTGCCAATGTACTACTGCTTGAACGAATGTAAAACACATATGACGTAAAAAACTGTACTAGATCATTGGATACATTAAATGATTCACGAGTCATACGTTTAAACCATATGATTAAAAGCTTTGAGAGCAAATTAATAGATCTGACTTTTTCAAAAATTAATAAATTACAAAATCCTTTAACTACAACCGATTTAAAACTATTATCATCCACATCATAGTCAATGCAACTTGCTAAAAGAGGTAGGACGTTGTCTATATAAAAAACGTCATCATACACTTCATCAGTATCTAAATTTTCTTTCATGTCAAAAGTCTTCAGATCATATCGTAAGAAAAGTTCAAACATTATTTTAAATACAAGACGCCGATCTGTTAAAGGATTTGAAATTTCTGAACATAAAGTAGAAATATGTTGTTTTGCAGCATTTGGATTATTGGCTAACAAATATGGAGATAAAGCTCGTATTGCTGCCATTCTAATATCGACTTTTGAACATTCTAAAAACCCTACGACAATATTTTGAATGATATCGGTTAATAATGAAAGTTCAAAACTGACTTTCAGTAATTGTTGTACTTGAAACACCAACTCCAATCCTTTAAGTAAATATTTTATTGTCTTATCAACCAATAACATTTCTTCAGGTAATACATTTATTTCTTTATAATCCTTCTTCATTTTTTTTATTTTACCGATTAATAATTGAGCATTACTTGATGACGGAGGTTCATTTTCAAGCAATTCTTCAAGACTGCTCATTTTTGACAATAACTGTTTTTCTAATGCCTCTTTTTTGCCAACTTTATCAATTAATAAGTGAATGTCAATTGTTTGACTTTGAATTTCATTTAAAATTTCTTTTACATAAATTAAGACATCACTGCCATTTTTAAATGTAAAGTCTAATAATTTGGCTATAGGTTTTATAGGAGCCACCTCTGTTTGTTCATCTAATATCAAATCACAACACAATTTATTTAAACTCGCAGCTCCAAAGTCATCAATAGCAAATGTTCTAGCCATATCTAACAACTGTACCAAAACAAATTCTTTGTCATCTTTAGAACTATAAGTAAAATGGTACTCACGAACGTAGTCTGAAAACTTGGCTAAATCTGGTAGCAATACATCAATATAGTTATCGTCAATATGACCTTTATTTCGAGCTAACTCAATTTTTTTTTCAATGGTCAAATACTTGGCAACACACTTCCACAAAAAAATCTTTTCGACAGTTAAACTTTCATAGTTTATCATTCTTGTATCAGTATTTAAGAATTCTTCCATTATATCTAATATCTGACTGTCATAGTAAGACTCGAACATGATATTTAATGTTTTTTCACATATTTGTGCATTATCTACGCCTAACTTTTTTAAAAATACAACAAAATCGTTACCACATGATTCCAACCAGTAATCCAATAACCGTTTTCTCACCAAAGACTTAATATTTTCATTTTTATCTTCTAGGCCCTTTTCTAATATTATCTGCCTTTGTTTTGATGACAGACTTTGACATGGATATGTTAATAAACGGTTATAAGCTTCTTTTCTTACATTATCACTAATATCATTTAATGTACTTTTAAGCATCTCACTAATCACATTATTAAACAAGGCAATTTCTTTTACAATAGCAGATCTTACTTCAGCACTGGGATCAGTTGTCATATGAAACATGAATTTTTCAACAATTGGGCATTTAGGATTATCTGGCATTTGCAATCTATGTAGAGCATGAGCTGCTTGTGCTCTAATTTCAGGTTTTTTATCTTGCAATCGGTCTAATAAGAGAAGAGTTGCGACATCACACAGCTCCACAGATAATACAGCACCGGCAGACATATAACTCAACAAATGATTGAGAAATAAGCAGAAGCGCCACCTGATGTTTTTATTATTAGCATTACCATACTTACGACAAAGACGAAATATTTCCGATATTAAATGCAAACCACTACGCCCGTCTCTTGAGGAATATTCAGCCAAAATGGACACTCCATTAGCAGCAAACTTAATCATGTTGTTCACTACTGTACAATGTACGTTAGCTTCCAACATAATGACAGATACGATTGCATCTAAAAATGGTCCAACAAACTCGGTCCAAGTAGCAGCAACGAATTTATCTTTAAGTATTTTTAATAAGTTAGACTGCGATCCAACATTACCCGATTTTTCAAACAGTTTAATTATAGCTCTGTTCATGGTTGATATTATTAATGAAATACTTAAGTATAATTTTAAACAAAACTATGAAACATTTTTACTTTAATACCATATGTATTTAAAAATTAAAACCTATTGGCGATAAGCGATGATCATTTATTCGTCATATGTTACCATCAAATATAAATTAGTATATTGACTATAGAATATGGATCGTTACCGATTACATTCAAAAATTCAAATTCAAATTATTATCAAATATCAAATCATAGACTGGTTAGTAGCAGGTAGATAACAAAAACACAGAATAGACACTGATAAGAAATTACACGGGCTCTTACGGGAGTACGGTAATTTGGTATCGGCTACGCTCAGTGCAACCACCAAATCAAGGGGAAAAAATATTGTACATAATTCTTTGTACCGTACAATAATTTTATATGAACTCTAAATGTATTATATACAGACTACACATTATTTTACGATACCCGTATAGCAAAAAAAATAAAATCTGTTATAGTTAATTTATTATATATTTAGTAAAGTAATAAAATATTTAAATAATCCCTTAAACACAAAAAATAATACGATAAAAATAACAGAATGTACTTACTGTAATGTAACTTACTTAATACTACTTAAAAAAATAAAATCGTCATGAGTTTTAGTTTAGCTGAAAACGCTAAATTCTTAATTGTTCCATGTGTGAAACATTGTTCAGTGAAGGGTTAATCCATAATTAGAGAGATAATTAACAATGGTTTAATCTCTTAAACTACAAAACCACAGCTAAACACATATTAATAGAAATATTACCTAGTTACTAGTACCTTGAGTTTTTTTTCTAAAGCTTTTACAGCATATTTTCACTCTCTTCTAGCTCTGTTCCTGGTGCAGCCTTTACCAGATCTATTTTCAACGTGTCCATCCAGCTTTGCCTAGGGCGGCCTCTGAAATTATTCTTCAAAAAAACAAGTTGATTATTAATACATTTATATTTATTAAAATATAATATATAAATATTAAATAATAATAAAGCATATACAAATTATTTACAATTATTTAATTTTTTACTTATTATTATTATTATTAAAATATATACAAATTATTTAATTTTTTACTTATTATTATTATTGTTATTATTATTTAATTATTTATAATCATTTAAATGAACTTTACAATACTACAAATGATTAATTATACTTAATTTTCTATTTTTTAATTTTTTTCCCGAGACCATAGCTTTATTTAAAAACTGTATACATGTTAAATTCTAAATCGTGTAAATAAATTAATCAAAAAAAAAAAAGCCCACTTCAGAGTAAAACCAATCTCGAATACCTTCTCGCTTTGCATCGAAGCTAAAAGACTTTTCTAAGTTTTTACATGGATGGTTAGTCTATTCTGTGCCTAGACCATAAAATAGATAAGACAGAGACAGTTGAAAAGTGTCGGACAACATTATTGTTTTCACAGCAGTTTAGGTAAAGTTAGGACCAGCTATAGAAAATTCCCATTTTATCACAGATGTCAGTCGTTGTACTGTTTATTACGTAGTCACACTGTTTATTCCGCGGGTCGATTTTTTAAAAATTAATCCATGTACAGAATGATTTATTTAACTCAAGACATTCAATACTTCAATACAACTTAAGTAATCACAATTTTGTAGTTTTTCTTTTAGAAAAAAGTTTGTTTATGTAATTTTACAACATTATAAAAGTATTTTAGTATTATCCAGAGCTCTATTAATTTTTAAAACTTATATGGTAACGTATATTATAGGTAGTTGACATGACATGACTATTATAATGGGCGACTTTAACTCAAAGTTCGAAAAGAGGAGTCAATAAGATCATTAGTTGTTTTTTTTTAATTTTGAATAAAGAAGTATGGACAAATTTATATTTTAAGTTTAACAAAAATGCATAATGCTTAACATTTTTTTATACAAAAAACTGACAACAAAAAAAAGTCATAAATGAAATAGTACACTCAAATGTAAAATTTTAATTCCGCCTATCGGACTATGATAATAATTACTGACATTTTCCATAAGGTTCTGTTTGTTTCGAGCAAAATATTAAAAGTAAAATATTACCTATATTATATAATTCTAATGTATAAAAAATTGAGAGGGCGTCACTACACTTATATAGTTTGGCCCTTAAGCTCGTGGGGCAAAGATTTTTGATTTGTACTCGTAGTAGAATTACAAAATTTTTGAAGTAAATAGAGAAGAACTTTTCCTGTGTTATAACGTTTTATTTTTTTGAATAACTTAAACAAAATCCAATACATAACAATAAATATTTATTATGACATAATCAGATAAAATCCGCTGATAACACTATACTTCAAACAGTGTGACTGTTTAATTTTTTTCTCTCGATATTTTCAGCACAGTGAAATTAACTCTATCAATATTATTCAAATGTACCCCATATTTAAATTTACCTTATCCTCCCCTATCATTAAAACAATTGGTCATATATATTAGGTAAGCCACTTACTGTTTATCATTACACATTATTATTTTAAAATGAATACGTTATATTTATATTCCTTTTATTAAAAAAAAAGGTTAGTTAATAGGTAATAAAAATTAACAAAATGTACTGTTTAAATAGTACTTGTTTTCCATATTGGCTAATTATAAAGTTTAACATATTTTATTACAATCATAAATTGAAAAACAATTGTTTTCAATTAAATAATATTATTTACATCTACCTTGCTTGTTTAATTAATATGCTCACATTTTAGCTTATTGATAGCTTAAGTAGAAATATAAATAGAAAAATTTTTTTCAAAAATGGTGCCTTAACTATTTTAGTAACATTATAATTCCTTATTTTGTATGTAACATGAAGCATATAATTGATGAAGGAAAACCATTTTCATTTATAATCTGGTACTTGGCCGATGAACATTTTTTTGTTTTCATTTGGTTTTTTCTGATTTATTGGCTCCACTTTCATCATATTCATTGAAGAAGTCATAGACTATAACAATTAAAATTCAAGGTGATAAATAAATAATAAAATATTAATATTTATGTAAAAAAAAATATTGTATCACATATTTTGTAAACATAAGTAAAGACAATAATTGTACATTTAAGATAAATTATAAATTAAATATAATTGTAACATACATTTAGTTTTTGATTGTATTTTTGTTGGTTTTGGCCAGATGTACCTGGTTTAACTGTAGAAGATCCTTCTTTAATATTTGTCTAAATTAATTATAAATATTATAAATTAAAAAATGTATAATATTTATAAAATATTTATAGCATATAACATATAATAGGTAAGACTCTTTTTTCAGAAAGTAATAACAATTTTATAGTATTTCTTTTTGAAACATTTTTCTTTTTGTTATTTTACAACGTTATAAAATTACTAAGTATCTTTTAGTATTTTCCAGAGCTATATTAAACTTTTGAAACTTTAAAGATAACATATATTATTCAACTAACTTTTTAAATTAAGAATAATTTACTGAAAATGTTGACTGGTCAATTACTAGTTTTGGATCATTTCTTTTAATGTTATTAAAGTTTAAAATTTAGGACAGGAAATGAAAACCGATTGAGTAATGTGCATAGATAAAAAAATTAAAATTCACCATTCCTGCCGTCCTAAACTTTATACTCTAATGAATAATCTGGAAAATACTAATAAAGCTAAATATTTGGTAATTTTATAATATTGTACAATTATATATAAAAAAATATTTTCGTAAATAAACGCTATAACATTGTTAAAACTTTTCATACACTCTGCTAGGGCTATCAGAAGCCGGAATGCGTCGCCAACGGGCTGGACCAAGTGACAGTATACATTTCATATGCAAACAGGGAGACCAAGGAATGAAATAAAATCTTAAAAAAAAATTAGTAGCAAATGGATAGAAGTGCACTTGTATACCTTATTGATTTACTATTACATGATTTAGACACTTATCATACAATTCATTTCTGAGGGCAAATGAAGTTATATCAATCTATAGTTGTACTATAAATAACTGTTATTGTAGAATTTAAGGAAAAATTAATTTTGAAAGAATTTCACTCATATTTACTCTTTTATTCTCACTACTTCATAGTATACCTTTTCCGAACTTTTGTGTTGTTATGAAAAATAATTAATTGTATAATTTTACTTACATCTGGTTGAACAGATTTATTATTCAATTGTTCATGTTGATGCAAATGTGCACGATGTTGTTTTCTTTCAGATTTAGTTAACCCATGGATTGCTTTCATTGAAGTTGTAGTTGAATTTATTGTTTTTAAAACATTGGATTCTTCCAGCTGAAAATATTGTTATTTATTTTTTAATGTCCGGCAAAAAAAACCTCCCGTATTTAGAGATGGCGCTGTGCAACTGTTGTGGAGCTAGTACAATGGTGGAGGGAGTATCGTTTGATAGTGGTATGCATGCCATTTTTTTTACTTTACCTAAACCTGTTTGCTAAGAACAATAAAGAGGAAGAAGTCTGGTTCCAACAAGACGGAGCCACAGATCACACTTCGCAGCGTTCACTAGCAATTTTGAGAGTTGTTTGCTCAACGTCTTCTCTTTGCGAGGAGACATCACCTGGCCTGGAGGTCACCCGATTTATCACCTTATGATTTTTTTCTTTGGAACTTAAGGTGGCAATCACCCAGGTAGTGGCTGCCATTGCACTGGAAATGACCTAAAGAGCTATGGCCTTTCCTGAAAATTGTCCATAGCTCTTCTATCAATCGATACCCCCTCCACATCCCACCACCACAACTCACACAGCGCCATCTCTAAATACAGGAGGTTTTTGCCAGACCCTTTTTTTAACATAACAACAGTTAAACAATGATATTTAAAATTAAATTTAGACATTCAGTTACATTTTCCCAACTTTCTTCATATTCCAATACAGGTACGTTAGTTAAAACCGGAACTGGCCTCTGAATATCTGCCGATTGAAAAATAAATGGATCAATCATTGTTCTATCTGGACACTCGCTTTCATGCTTCTAAAATGTAAAAACAATAATAATTGTGTTTTCTTTAATATGTTTTTAATAATCAAGTGTTTAATATTACTTCTTGTTCAGCTTTATGCATAACATGCAATATATTGTACATACAATTCACATAATTAAGTGGTCTATCTGGACATCTTACAACGTGTTTTTGAACTGTCTTTTTCGGCATACAATGAGCTGGGTTAAATGGACAATGGTATATCATTGATTCCGTCGAAATAAGCCTTGCGCAAAAAAGAATAACTTGTTTTCACAAAATAGTAACAGTTATTGTTTCAAAACCAACAGTTAATTTGGAAGTAATTTATTATCTACTATTATTAGAAATGTACTAATAAAGCAACATTTTAATAAATTATACCTAGGGCAATAATTTATTTTTAAGTTTTTGTTAGCTTCACTTATTTAAGTTACAGCATAAATAATAAAAGATTATTATTATAAATAGAAATCAAGGAACTAACTTACATTTGTTTAAGGTCTTATACTTAATACAAATGGTTAATGCTTATTTACATTATATAATATTTTCGATTTGTCTACATTTTTTATGAAAGATGACTTTATTGATGTTCTAATTTTATGGATGTTTTCTACAAAAAGTGATTTAAATTTAATTAAATTAAAGTGATTATTTCTAATTGATATTAAAACATTTTTTTTTTTTTAGAATGTTTGTTTATAATGGTTTTATTTTAATTAAAACCCTGGACGAAATGATAACACCAATTTAAAATGGTTGTTTTGAAATGATATTACTGCACCTGAAAGAGTCAATACTTTAAACTTGTAGTTCAATCATATATAACTAGTGGATTATATTGAAAGAAAATTTCATGTATTGCTGCTAAACCGTTTAATTAAAAGGGCCCAAGGGTTTTTAATCTGATCTGCTATACCACTGTAGAAAAATTACAGGGCTAACAATGATTGAAACAAACCGTGTACATTCTTCTCATAAATTTAAATGAAGGAGTCTTATTTTCAAAATTCAACCAACCTCCCCTCCTTAAAGAAAATTTGTTTAATATCTTGTAACCTTGTAACCTAACTTTCCACCTACACTCAAATAACGCATGTAAACAATTCATAAAACTCTATAGGTATTAGGTTTTAACCATTAAGAATATTATCAGAACTTCATAAAATTTATGTCAAATTTTACTATTAATTTTGGTTTGCCTGGGAAATACCACCGATTATTGTTACATAAATATTAAACATAACTAAAATCGGGAAACGTTCACGTAAGAATTCCAATGCCAACTACAGAGCAGGGCATAGATGCATACAATAAAGTCACTAATATATTTTACAATAAAACTCTATTAAGTAAGTAGGTACTTACATAGACTCCATTGTAAAACTCAAATAATCTTAGAAAGAACTAAAATTGTACAATTATTTACAGTGACCAGAGGGAAATGATCACGATTAACGGCTTTAGAGTGTAAATTTTAAAGTCAAAGATAAATTTGCACAATTTGGGTTATCTGTCTAGTCACTAGCATAGATAGTATATACATAGATAGTCCCTGACCATTTTAAACACGACAACCCAATATTTTTTGTTCATAGATAGCGTGCATTATTTGCTTGTAACATGTTCACTGAACTCAATATAATATGGAACGTGTATTTAATTTGAAAAGTGTTGTCACCTGGGCAGCAGCCATTTTGTGTACTAATTTCATAGAAAGTAAAAATACTACGTCACTTCTCCATGATACATATTAAAATGTACGTTCAACGTTCAAATTAGAATTATATGATTAATTCAAAATATTTTAAGGGCCCAAATTCTCTATGAATTGTTTTAAGCCAGATATTAAACACTACAATATTAGCCAGAAACTTGATGTTTTAATATATTAGCTTGTTACTATATCATTGTCTATAATTCCACCACTACTCTAAATTTATTCGGTACTTCAACGAGACATGAAAATACTCTTTCGTGGTTGCAGACTCGGCTGAAAAACTTTTTATATTAGTTGTTACACAATTAGGCGCATTTGTGCAATATGTTTTATTAGGCAACACTACACATCTTAGTGGTCACTTAAAAAGCCAGCACAAAATGTCTTAGATACTATTTACTAAAACTTTGCCCATTTTAGAACTTTGGTTGAAGAACTTAACTATAGATGATCCAGTGGCATCCACATCTACAATGTGTTCCCAAAGTGAAAATACTAAACTTGATAATTATAGTAATGCGACGTTTAATAAAACGGTGCCAGAAAACAATAAGTTAGTCGTTTGAATTTATGATATCTTACATCTATGGTGGTTGAAAATCTGAAAAAAATTACTCATGAAATTAAATACATAATTTGTAAGGACATGGAGCTATTAAGTATTGTAGAGGATAAAGGATTTAAAAATGTAATGAAAACTGTTTCGCCTAACAACCGACTTATGGACATACAGACTAGAAGCTATATTGGTACTAAAAACAATACAATATGGTCTAGAATATTAGGAATTTGCGAATTTGGTTAAAAAGTACACTGGGGAATATATTTTCAACAAATGAATAGAAATTTGTGCCGATTGGAGTATACCTAAACAGAGTGTGGTTGCTGTGGTAGCTAACAATATTATGTCAATAGCGATTGAAGTAGTGTTTGGAAAGAAACATTCTCTTACATTTCACTCATATAACTAACCTTGTCACTCAAAATTAGATTTTAAGTCTTCCTAAGCTAAACATTTTAATAACAACAGTTAAAAGTATTATTACATTTTATATTATGTTAATGAGTTTTGTTATTTTATGTTGAACTATAAATGACATAGTTCATTGGCATTCATCTGCTCCTCCAATGCTATCCGCAAAAGAAATAAACTTAAGCTAACATAATGAAAAGAACAACAAGTAGTATGGTGATTCCCATGATTCAAAAGCTTAAAAAAGTCATAGCTGAATTCAAACTAACTGAATTATTAAGTACCAAGTTGAAAACTTTGATATTAGTACAATGTGATAAGCGTATTCAAGCTGTTGAAAGTGTTGACCACTTAAAAAAAACCACTATTTTGGATTTGCGCTTAAAAAAGATTACTTCTGTAGCTCTATAAAAAATGTTAAATTATATGCGAGATAAAATTAAACAAATGCAGTTAGGTTAGCAAATGACAGTGTTCCTCAGACACTGATAGGCATACAAATTTCAATAGTTAATAATTGAATTACTATAATTGTTAATAATTTACCAAATGTTAGTTGTTTTAATAATTATTAACTTATTAATAAAAATATATTTTTAATATAGTATCACAAATTTGCATATTATATTTATTGTGATTTTTTTTTATACAATATCGATCTTAAATTATTGTAGTCAAATCTGGAAATCAAAATCAACCAAAAAGTGTGTGCTTCCTTGCTTGTTTAATGTTTGTTTATCAGAAGCTGATTTGAATAAAACTTTTGGAACTATTTATTTCAGCCACTCGTCCTACAATGTGAAAAAAATATGTAAATTATATTTAAAATAAGGTGTAAAATAAAAAAATTGCCATCATACAGATTTTCTAATCATTAATCTTTAATTGGATTAAACTGTGCAAATGAATTACGAAATTTTATCACTCCATTTGCCTCTTCGTTTTCAGTTTGTTCGCACTTTTTCCAATCGATACGATCTTTAACATTCAATATTTTTGAAGATGCCAATACTTCTCTAAAATATAGTACAATACTATAGTGATGCGACTTAAAAAAAATGTATTTATTGTAAATTTAAACACAATCATTTTATATATAAAGCAGCTTTCTCTTTTGTTAGTATCAAAACAACATCATTAAGCAGCCTAAGAAACATGCTATGAAAGCCCAATGCTGCCATTATGAGATGGTATCTTGACTAACACGCTTTCGAGACGGGTTGTTGTAGTGGAAAAATGGTGGCTCCTTTTCACTAGAAGGTTTCCCACCCACCAAACAAAATCGCTTAACGTAGTCTTGAACCAGTGACAATGAAACCTAACAAACTGCTACCTTACCCATTCAGCCATTTGCCCTCCTCAGTCCTCATTCTAACTAATGAGTAATCTCGTATTTGTTAAGCTAATTATTTTTAAACACAAAACATTAACTGCAATATTTTTTAATAGAAACCTTTTGATTGTAGTTAAGCTACTAAATTTTATCATCAATTAAAACTAACTAATCAATTAACACTAGGTACTCTAATTACTAAATAAATGCTAATATTAAATAATTACAGTTAGCATAGCACATAAACCTATAACATAATAGAGGTTTCCATTAAAAAAAAAAAAAAATAACAATGCACATGCACAAAAATAACTAACATATATAATAGCGAATGTAAATATTTATATTATTAAAAATGATAAGAATACAGCATACATGATGCTATAGCAAACAAAATAAAATGATTACCTAGCAATTTGTATAGGAAATCGTTGATCCGTTTTTTTGGCCGCACAATGATAAAAACGTTTTCCATTTGGCAGTTCCAAATAGAAGTATTGCCCGTTACTTTTTTTAGCAATTTGTTGTAATGAAGCTGCTGGAGGTAATTCCACCAAATTCAAGTTATGGTCTTCAAATTTGTTCTACCGAATTTGATGTAATACATAATTAATTTTTTAAAATACAAATATAAAAAATGCAAAAATATTACTTTAAATGCACTTTCTAGACGATCAACAACTCCAATAGAAACAGGTACTACTTGTAACTGAAAATGAGCTGACATAATACTACGTTCAAAATAAACTACAGCTTGATTTATACTTTCAAAATATTGATTTATCGAACTTTTTAACCTACACACACACATACACACAAATTATAACATAATATTTCTATCAATATTAACAATTATAGTTATAAATTAAATTTTTGCCAGTAGAGAATTACAAATTAATCTCGGTTTCTGTAGCAGATGGTACATTTGCAAGTGATTTAATATGTTCAATAGGTATCAATAATATATGGTTCTCGACTAAAGGACCTTTAGCTGCAGCTATATATACCTAAATTATAGCACAAATTATAGAGATAAATAATTATATTAAAAGAAAATTTTTTACCATACCGAATTTCCGATAGAAATGATCATATGTTTACTAACATTTTTACTTGATAAACAAAACCAACACGATTGTGCATCAATATCTAGTGCTGTAAAACAATAATATTATTTTCATAAATTGGTTTTAATTGAAAAATAAACTAAATAAACCTTTATGTGATGTAGGTCCATCATATTTTCTTTTTTTGTGAGGTACAAAGTTATTAGAATTTTTGTTTAATTCGGTATTATAAAAGTATTGCTTTATATTAGGTGCAGAACCAATGGTATATTGGGATGTATCAGTTATGTATGGAGAATCAGTTACAGTATAATCCATTTTGTGTTGTATACTTCCAGGTGATATGACAAAACCATACAACCATTTTTGCTTACTGTGCTTATTTTTATAATAATCACCAATGCCAACAAACCGTGTTATGACATTACTATTATGATTTCTACAATAAATAAATTATAAATTAACATTAAAAGTTTTTTAAAATCATAGTAAAAAAGTAAAACTAACTTGTATGGACTACGTTGATAAAAAAATCCTTGCATTCCTGCAAAATGATAGCGCGGAGTTAAATTATCTGCAATCCATGACAACAATGGCGCTTCTAGATTCTTATCTAATAAATTGTCCTTTATACTCCCCTGATAAGTATAAATATATATATTATAAATTATACAATAAATACAAATTATTCTTGAACCAACTTCTACACGTTCTTTATTACAAATATCAGTTGGCCAAGGCGATGTCAACAAAATATCCAAAGGAACATGACCAGATCTATGACATGAATCTTTAAATTGTACTAGAGAATCATAATTGAACATGAATTCTTCATTATTTGATTTACTACTGCTTTGGATACCACTGACATAACCAATTTTTAATCCATCAGTTGTAGTGAAAACTCCATGTTTACCTGGAAAATGCAAAAGCAAATAGTAGCAAAATAATTTACTGTACATTTTACTAAGAATCTACCCTAAAAACATATTATTTTATATCAATATATTTTAATAATTAATAATTATAATTTATATACTACCTAAGTAATATATATTTGGAGCCAATTGTTGATTTTTTAAATTGTGATAATACTTTTCATGTTGTTTCTTATTTGGTCCTAATATATACACAGGAACTGAAACTAAAAATAGAGTGGTAAATATAATTTTTCAGATTACAACTGATATTCAATTATTTTGTCATTACCAATTTTGTTTGTGTTTATAAATTGTTCCCATTCTTTATTAGAGTCTGAATCATCGTCCCCAAAAAAATCTCCAATACAAAACACGTAATCAAATGATCCTTTTTTAGAAAATAGTCCTTCAATATGATTAATAAATGCTCTAAATTGTCCTTTTACGCCACAGCAAACTAATCTGTAATTAATTACTTTTTTTAAACATAAGAAAAACATTTTCTTCTTTTCAAATACACTAATTTTCAATTGTTAAAATCAATACAAAATTCCTCAACTTATAAATTATTTTATGTTGTTTTATTAACACTCACATTTTTAATTTTTTGTCTTCCATAATATGATTTACTTCTCTTAACTACCTATTCTAAAAATAATAACTAAAATATGGCTGTATTAATTAAGACACAAATACTATATATCTATAATAGTGATTAAAATGTTTATTTTTATAATTTTTTTTAAGTCTGATTACACATTAGTCGAACACTATTAATAAAATATACTCAAAGTTGATGGATGTAAAATTATTATAAATTTTAACTAAATTTAATTAAATAAAAACGTTAATGTTAAGTTAACGGGCTAAGATCGGATATTAAAAACTAACTTTTTTTATAGCTATCGATACAAATTACAAGTTAAGAGTCCTAGTATAATATAGTTAATTGTTAGTACAGTTAGTTTTTAAATGTTGTTATTGATAATATCACAGAATTGACTTTTGTATTCTGTGGTAATATGATGATAGTAGTAAAATATAGATAAATGATAACGGATTACACTCTTTATCACATTATAGTGTTAATTATCGAGTATGAAGTTAGCCATAAACGAGCCAGCAATATTTTATAACAGAAAGTGTCATGGCGTTGGTGTATGTTTAAAAAAACCAGTAGACATAACTGCCGCCGGTTTTTTTATTGCTGGGTTGGGTTCAGCGGCTTCTGGTGGCCGCAAGACCCCCGGTGCCAACTTTTTTCATAGAGACGAATTTTTAGACATTTTAGTAAGCTTTCGATTTTAATAATCAAATTGAGGGGACCTCTTCCGGAACATTGTCAAAAATTGACATAACTGCCGCCGGTTTCGGTCGGCGTTCGGCCGCTTTTTTATTGCTGGGTTGGGTTCGGCGGCCGCAAAATCCAAAGTGCCATTTTTTTAAGTTAAATAATATACTCTTACTGTTTTGTCGATAATTAGAATATATTTTAATTAATTAGGTCGATATCGTATAATAATAATCGTCGGTGTACGTGGATATATGGACTGCCCCTTAGAATATTTAGTGTATTGGCAACACAACATACACCAACGCCATGACACTTTCTGTTATCAAATATTGCTGGCTCCTTTGTGGCTAACTTCATACTCGTCGATCACCCAAGGGCCAAGTGATACATCTAAGAGATAAGCGGCAAACCCTGGTAATGCGGCGTGTTATCAACATTATAAAATAATCTCGGTATCTCACCACTTACACACTTTTCTGTGCTCTCTCACCCTGCTCTCAACTTTTAATTGTTATCTGTATTCTGTACCCTGTTTACAGAACTGAGTACACTGTACAGTGTACAGTCTAGTTTCTCTATTGAGTACTTTGTTGTGCCGTGTTTTAGTTTTGGGTTTACACTTACATTAACTGTCGTCTGTCAGATTTTAAATTTTATTTTGAAGTAAAAAGAACCTTTTTTAAAAGATCCAACTTTTTAAATGGACTTGAATAGAATTTTTATTATTAGTGTACTTTGAGTTTTGCCCATCATTACATATTATATCGAATATTCAACATATTATTAATTAAGACAATTTATTAAATTTATTTATTTATGCTAGTTTAAAAAATTAATTTAACAACTAAAATCTACAATTATTAGAGGCTTTAACAAAATGTTTGATTAGACTATGTCGGCCCCTGCTTATCCAATTTAGCTGGTTAGCAAGCTAGCTAATTTCTATTATAGTATTTACATTCTAACAGTGCTTCTATATTGTAATCTATTTTTATTTGTTTCCAACAGATTTTTTTATTCATCACTAGGATATTATATTGATGGTAAGTTTCAATGGCGTTGATATTTGGTGACAACATTCATACTAAAACATTTACTCCTCAAGAATACCTTGTTGAACTTCTTAGTTCAGCTAAGAAAAAAAATGTAATTGTATCATTTGGAGGTGTAACTAATAAAGCTTTTTTGATATTGAAACTTGTTCAAGAACTTAGATATACAATTTATAGGTACTTATTATTATTTTATTTTTAATATATAAATTTTACATAGTTAACATTATGTGATCACTATAAATATTCATTTTGAATTATTTTAGACTGACAGAAAAAAGAAAATGGACTCTTCTAGTTGTAGATGAAGAAGAAATAGAAAGATATATGTTCTGTATTCAAAATTTAACAGATTTAAAGCCTGTAGTAATAAGTTCATTACAATATTTGGATTTAGATGCCTATGAAGTGTGGACTATCAATATTTTAACTTTAGATAACTTCATTAATAACAATTTTTTTTTTAGGTTATTATTACAACAGAGGCTAATTGTCTAAAATTGTTTTGTGACCACATTTTAAATTTTGAAAGTCTTAATTTAGTCATATTTGACAACTGTCATAGAATTCTCAATAAAAACAGTTCCTATTTTAAGGTTAATATATTATTTAATTCAACAATTTAACTTTTGATAAAATAATTGTATGCATTTAATTTCTTTTTAATTAGATTTGCAGTTTTATAAAGCAAGACACAGACTGTCGAATTTTAGGAATTGTTCATCCGTTATTTGAAATTGACGCCAATCCAGCTTATATAAAATGTCAATTATCATATATGTCAAATAAATTATTTTCGTCCATAGAAACTACTAATGACATTGTTTCCATATTACGTCGATGTTGTAAACCAATAGAAATTCTTGTAGAATGTGCTTTAAGAGTCGAAGATGAAATTAATAAGCAAATAACAGATATTTTACAAAGTTTAACAGATTTTTTAAATTACCACAAGTATGAACCCGCTTCAATATATGGGGACGATGAAGAGTTTGATGAAGAATTAAAACAAATTCCTGATCCTAAAAATGAACCCTTACAAGTAATTGCAGATTTTCTAGAGGTATTAAGAACAATGGGGCCTTATTGTGCAGATAAAGCAGCTTTAACACTTTTATATAAGGTGGAAAAGTTAAAAGTTAAAACGCCATACGAACGACATTATATATTACTTTGTATTGTTTCCACTATGTTAATTCAAGTGAGATCAACATTTGATGACATTTTTCATGGTTACAGCAATAAAGAGAAAGTATTAAAATTTAGTTCCCCGCATGTATTACGTTTGATTAGTATTCTTAAACAGTTTAAACCTAAAATGAATAATAAAACAGACAACTCAAAAAGGTCAAATGAACAAAAGGAGAATCAAATTAATCATACTAATGACAATAAAGTAAAAACCACTAGGCGTAACTGGAAACTAGCAAGACGATATGGTACTCATAAAAAGCAAGGACGACCACGAGTTTCTAGCGAAGAGACAATTTGTGCATTAATACTTGTAAAAGACAAAATAACAGCATCTATTATATATTATTTGTTACTTGTAAGTATAATATATATTTATGGGTCGAAATATCAAATACAAACGTTAGGAGCACCCCCCCCCCCCTCCCTACAGAACTTTTTAAAACACTTAATATATATATATATATATTATCTTCATGTAAAACAGTATAATACATAGTAATACATTATACTTTTTATCCAAATATTAAAAACATATTCTTTTTTATAACAAATAAGACAGGTTCTTATATTTTGTTTTAAAATTTTGTAGTACAATGTCCAGTTTTCGTACATATTAATTTGGACATGAATTTCTCCTTGAAGCATTGCCTTATAGTAGCATAATTTTAAAAATTGTTTCTGAAAAAAACTCATAATTTTAATTCATAAATTAAAAGTAAGCATTTATTGCATATAATTTGGAAAGTTACTGTTAAAAATATTATTGTTTATTAACATTTGATCTTAGGTACTGTTTTAAATTTATAATATTATTGTACATTTCTTTAGTTTTCTTTATTACTTTAAGGACCTAAAAAATAGCGATAAAGATGAATTCAGCTGGCTTCAGCCTCAATATACCGTAGACAAAGAAGCAGATCCTATATCCGAGCCAAAGGAATTCGAAATTGAGCATAGAAAACAAGAAGAAACACTCAGAAGGTAATACAAAAATTAGTAAACACAAGTTCTTATTACAATGAAAAGGGTTTGTATTTGTTCCAAACCCCTAATTTAACATTCTTTTTGGATGTTCAAATGAGACATCAAGTTAATTTGAAAGCTATGTTCATCCCTTGCCTATATTTTTATTTTGTTAATTAATATTCATATTACTATAAGATCCAAAGAAAAATTTAATTAATTTGATTTGTGTGATGTATATTTTGTATAATAGTATAATTTTATAATGTGGCCAAAAGAATTAACGCAGCAGTGCTCCTATTTACTATCTGCAGTTCAAAACCCGAAACGCTTGTAAAAAATGACCATCCCCCAGTGCAGAAGGTAATGACAAACTGCCGCACCATAAATCTTCCTCTGGTCACACACCTTGTTGTTTACCAACATGCCTTTATCAATAATAATTGTAAATATTAGAAGATCACAGAAAAAGTTTTCGACCCGGTTGGGACTTGAACTCATGACATTCTCCCCGTCTAACAATAGCTTGACTAATAGTATTTATACATGAGTAGTATCATAGAGTTCAGTCCATATTTAAGACTTAATATTTCAAAAATATTTTAATTAAATTATTTTTATAGTTTAGGAAGGTTTAAAATATTGATTCATTTACTATCTTATGTTTGTTTAATAGCATCATCATGTAAATCTATATTCATTTTTTCTTATTAAAGATTTCGTCAAAGAGAATGCAATGTACTAATTGGAACTAAAATACTAGAAGAAGGAATCGATTTACCTAGATGCAATTTAGTAATTAGCTATAATACACCTAAATCATACAAATCATATTTAAAATCTAAAAGCAGAGCAAAAACTATGGATGCTTATTATGTTTTATTGTTTAATGAGGAAAGTACATTTGATATTTTAGCTCGTTTAAAATTATACAAAAACATAAATAAAGTAAGTAATAGGTTTTATATATTTTGCCTGTAGAATAATAACAATACTAATAATAATTATACATTTAAGATGTTATTGAGTCATTGCAATCTAAAAGACATCGATATTAAAAATGAAAGCTGTGCTGATAAATTCAACTGGTGCGTTGCACCCTTTAAACCAAGTAAAACTGAAGATGGACCTTATGTGGATATGGGCACAGCAATAGGTTTGGTGAACAGGTAATAATACATCTTAAATTTGTTAAACAACTATTATAAGGATTCATTAGTATAATAACACCTTATTGAACATTCTACATAAAATACATATTTGTGTATTATACTTATAATATATTTAAAATTGTGTTATTTTATACTACAATTTAAATTAAATCAGTAAGGTTCCAATTAGCTGATATACTGAACAAAATTCTGTCCACGTAGTTTAAAAATAATGTGAAATTCCATAAATCAGTGGTATTCAAACTTTTTCATCCCATGGCTCCTTTGTTCGATCTGGCTTCCACAATGTGACCTTGTTAAATTAAAAATTAATTCTAGAAAATGTGTTACTAAAAAAATTATAATTTTATAGATACTGTGCTAAATTACCTAGTGATACATTTACTAAATTATCTCCAGTTTGGAATATTGTCAGTACAATTTATGATAATCAACCAATGTATGTTTGTGTTATTCAACTTCCAATAAACTCTCCTATTAAACATGATATATATGTAAGTAATAGTTAAATTGTTATACTAGTCTATAACTGTTTAACTGGTATTTAATGTTTAAAGGGTCATCCAATGCCTAGTGAAACATTAGCTAAAAGAGTAGCCGCATTAGAAGTTTGCCGATTATTACATGTTAAAGGTGAATTAGATGACTCCCTTCAGCCTATAACAAAAGAATCATTTCATGCTCTTTTCAATGCTGATGAAGTACCTCCAGATGCTGAAGATTCTTTGATACCATGGGATACTGAAGAGCCTCGACCGGGAACTAACAAGCGTCGTCAATATTACTATAAAAGAGTAAGTATACCATTGAAGAGGACGTTATACCCTTTAAAAAAAATCGTAAAAAAGGGGTTTACGGTAAAGCGTTTAATGTCAAAGCGAATTGGTTGTACAATAAAAATGTTGGTACCGTTAAAAATAGGAAAACTTTAATTAGGTTCTCTCGTCGGTTTTTATGGAAAACTTTAATTTTACCTTAAATACAAGCAATTAATAAAGTTTAAAAAATATCAGAATTAAAATATAAATGATGAATGTTGGGTTAATAATATCAAAAAAAGCCAACGAGAGAACCTAGATAAAGTTTTTATTATTTTAAATATGTAAGAAAAAAAATTGTCTACGATTGTTATTTAGTTGATAAGAGAGAATATGCGTAGCCAGTTTAGATGAAATTTTTTTTTTAAATCGCTGTCAAGGATGCTGTGATATTTTGAAAAATAAATAAACTAACAAAAAAAAGTCAAAATTACTTAATTAATAATTAAACATCACAGTTTAGCCTTTAAATTAAGATTTTACAAAAAATTGCCTATACCTAACTCCTTAATAAATAGGGGGTATAACGTCATCTTAACTAGCTATTTTACATTCGAATTAAAATTTAATGTTTTTTAGATAGCTCAAGCATTAAATGATTGTAGACCGGTTGAAGGTAAACCTTGTTATTTTTATGCCATTTTATTAAAAATGAATTGTCCTGTGCCAGAAGAACAAAATACAAGGGGTCGCAAAATTCATCCTCCTGAAGAATCCATTCATGGTTTTGGTATACTTACATTGAAGCATATTCCAAGTGTATGATTTAATGACATCATTAAACATTGGTTTCTTATTGGAAAATCATGATAATAATATATTTTTACAGATTCCATCATTTCCTATTTATACTCGATGTGGGGAAGTCTATGTAAGTTTGAAGTTGGTCAAAACAAATTTATATTTAACACAACAACAACTGGATGATGTAGCATCATTTTTAAATTATACTTTTACTAATGTATTACGCTTACAAAAATGTCATGTTGCATTTGATCCAACTACTACTCACAATTGTTATTACATTGTACCTACCATAAGAGGTATATAAATTTGTATTTATTATTAGTTATCTATCAAACAATAGAATATTTAACAAAAATCAGTTGAATTTTTGAACATAATAAAATGACAAGCATATAATTCAGAATTGAACTATTCTATGATAATATTAATAGGATAATCTACAACATATAAATAATACATTGATACTTATATCATATTAAATATATTTAATTTTAGATGCAAAAGACGATGTAGATATTGATTGGACATTTTTGGATTCAATGCACAGAAGGAAAGATGAAAGACTAGAAATTATACCGGATACAGACCGAATAAATTTCCAACCAGACTTTGATGTTTTAAAAGATGCAGTTGTTACACCTTGGTATAGAAATCAAGAACAACCTCAGGTATTATCTTTAAAGTGTATGTTTCTTTCATATTGTTAATATATACAATTGTTTTAGTATTTTTATGTAGCGGAAATATGTACTAATCTCACACCAAAATCCCCTTTTCCTGGTTCAGTAGAAAACTATAAAACATTTATGGATTATTATTACCTCAAATATAATTTAAAAATACAAAATCTTGATCAACCTCTTTTGGATGTGGATCATACTTCAGCCAGACTAAATTTTCTCACACCGAGGTTTGCTGTTTATCATATTTAAAAAATATAATTGCATTGATTACCTTTAACTATTTTATTTAGGTATATGAATCGCAAAGGTGTAATTTTACCTACTAGTAGTGAAGCAACTAAAAAAGCGAAGAGAGATAATTTGAGTCAAAAACAAATTCTAGTCCCAGAACTTTGTAAAATTCATTTATTTCCAGCATCAATGTGGCGTAAAGCTGTCTCTTTGCCATGCATATTGTATCGCATAAATGCTCTATTATTAGCTGATGAAATTAGAACCATTGTGGCTAAAGATATATCTTTAGGATCCCTACATCTATCATATGGTAAGGCTATTTTTTTATTAACATAATTATAATTTTTTACATTTTAATTTTTATAGATCATCAATGGGAACCTTTAGATTTTGGATGGACAATGAAAGAAGTATTAAAAAAAAGAAAAGAACAAAAGGAAAGTAGTGGAATTAAAAAAATAGTTAAACATATCGAAGAAGTTGAAATCAATGATGAAGTAGAAAAAATAACAAAGACAGACGATCCTAATTGGATGGATATTGGTACATGGTCTAATGATATGGCTAGTTTTGCAATGAAAGATATAGAAAATGATCCCAATGAAATAAGATATTCATCACCAACTAGTTGGATGGTGCAAAGTGATAATGATTCAAGCATATTTAGCGATGTTGACTCAGATGATGGAGCTCAAGAAACTGGTGTACGTTCAAGTGGTTTGCGCATAGAATTTAGAAATACATTTTTAGCTGAAGCTGTAGATGAAAACGAATGTAAACCAAATAAACTGTCTTTATTTAAAAATGGTGAAACTCATACATGGTCTTGGAATGATAGTAGTGATGTTCTTATTGAAAAAAATGAAATTTTTTCTCAAGATGATAATCAAATTGATGAAATTATTTTCTTTAACAAAGAAGAAGAAATTCTTATTAAGTGTGAGTTAAAAGACATTAAACCACAAGAAAAGACACCTTTTTTAGAGTTGCCATGGTTATTGGATGCAGATACTGGATATGGACTTCCAGATAAAAATGTTTTATCAAATACCATAGAGGCAAAAGAAAAAACTGACGATAAGGTACTTATTATGAGCGATTACAATTTTGTTTTAGAAAACAAACCAAGTACAGAAAAGTTTAGTTTTGATTATCAGCCAGATTTACTTAATCATTGTGGACCAAGTCCTAGTGTTCTACTTCAAGCACTTACTATGTCAAATGCTAATGACGGTATTAATTTGGAACGTCTAGAAACAATAGGAGATTCATTTTTAAAATATGCCATTACTGCTTACTTGTATTGCACACATGATAATGTTCACGAAGGCAAGTTAAGTCATCTTAGATCAAAGCAAGTTAGCAATTTAAATTTATACCGTTTGGGAAAATTGAAAATGTTTGGAGAACGTATGATATCTACTAAGTTTGAACCGCATGATAATTGGTTACCACCTTGTTATTTTGTTCCACATAAATTGGAGAAAGCTCTTATTGATGCTGGAGTACCCACTTCCCTATGGAATATGATTAGCCTTCCTACTTATAAAGATCCAACAGATATGGAAATAGACGAGGCCATCAGGCAGTTTAAAGATGGAATCACAAATGATAATCCAGCAAATACTCCTATATTTGTTCCTTACAACCTCGTTACTCAACATAGTATCCCAGACAAAAGTGTTGCCGATTGTGTTGAAGCTTTAATTGGTAAACAGTAATTATAGTTAATAGTTAAAATGTTAAACTGTTGTATTGACAGTAGATATTTAGAATAAATAATATATTATTTTAGGTGCTTATTTGATATCTTGTGGTTCTCGTGGAGCACTACTATTCATGTCATGGTTGGGCATTAAAGTTTTACCTACTCAAAATGATTCGACATTAGGTTATCTTAAATGTCCATCTTCACCTTTACTACGTAATGTTTCGGATCCTGAAGGAGAGTTAAAAAAACTAATGGATGGTTTTGAGTTGTTTGAACAACACTTAAGATACCGATTCCGAGATAGAAGCTATTTATTACAAGCCATGACTCATGCCTCTTACTATCCTAATCGTCTAACTGATTGTTATCAGCGCCTAGAATTTTTGGGTGATGCAGTTTTAGGTAAATTAAATTTAACATAATATTAAACTTAATTATTTTTCTAAAAAAATCAACAGTCTATGATTAAATTAGATAATTATGCATAATATATTTTAGATTATTTAATAACCAGACATCTATATGAAGATAAAAGACAGCATTCACCTGGTGCTTTGACAGATCTTCGTTCAGCATTAGTAAATAATACAATATTTGCTTCATTAGCTGTTCGTAATGGTTTTCATAAATATTTCAAACATTTATCACCTGGATTGTCTGAAGTTGTTTGTAGATTTGTTACAATACAAGAAGAAAACGAGCACAAAATTGATGAAGAAGTACAGATATTTAAACTTTTAAAAATTTCAATTGTTAAAAAAAAAGTTATTCTATATTTGATTTAGTTTTATTTCATGGGAGAAGATGAATGTGAAGATGCTGAAGATGTGGAAGTTCCAAAAGCCTTAGGGGATGTTTTTGAATCTGTTGCTGGGGCTATTTATTTAGATAGTGATATGTCTTTAGATACTGTTTGGAATGTGTATCATAAAATTATGGAAAATGAAATGGGTAAGTAATAAAAAGACACTTATAAGCCATTTATCAGCTTTTAATCACATAAAAATACTAATTATTTTAAAGAGAACAATTTTGAAATTTTTATATTTTAAAAATTAAGTTTGTTATAATTTGCTTATCAAAATGTAGAAATAAAAAAATGTTATTATTTAATGTTAAGGGGGGAAAGAGACTGAGAGAAATATAGCTGCGAAGAGATGACTGGTTGCCCCAGTATAATTATAACAGTTAGCTAATACTATCTTTGGACTTCGAGAGAAGCAAGTTGGGCTGTTTAACCTAATATTTTGATTGATTTTGTTGGGGCTTTCCGAAGGCTACTATATTTGAAATGCAAATTTAAAATGTGAAAATAATGTCATTTACTTTGCAGAGCAATTTAGCACTAATGTGCCAAAATCACCTATTCGAGAACTTTTAGAACTAGAACCAGAAACAGCAAAATTTAGGTAATATAATTTAAAATAAAATGATTACATAATACATATAAATTATTTTAAGTTTATGCCATAACTCAACTTTGTTTAGCAAACCTGAAAAGTTAGCAGATGGTCGTCGTGTACGTGTTATTGTAGAAATTTTTGGAAAAGGCGAGTTTAAAGGTATAGGCCGAAATTACAGGATTGCAAAATGCACAGCTGCTAAATGTGCTTTAAAACATCTCAAGAAAAAGAAATAATCTTTACAAGTACTACAAAATTACCTAATTTGTTTTGTTTAATTACCTAAGTATTATGTTGAGTATGTAAGTAAACAAAAAGTATAGACTTATATCACTTAAAGATTAAAACAATATTAGTTTTTACAAATTTATTTTTCATTATAAATAGTATCTAAAAATAATTGTATGCCACTACTGTTAATCACTTAATACTGTATTTGGAATGTATAAAAGAGAAAGTGTGTTAAAATAAAGAATTTATGAAGGGAATGGTACAGTTTTTTTCAGAAGGCATTCATGTGTGGTAATGCGTTGATTATGCAATAATTTTGAACTTTAAAATATACATTTTAAAAGATATTCAAGAATTCCTAATATGTATGGTAAACCAGACTAATTATAAACTAATGTATGAAGTCCTTGAGGCTACTAAACGTAATATAACAATACCTATTTTTATTGACAAGGAAATATGGAAACTACTTCTTACATTACTGTTCCCAATATAACAATAACTATTTGATTATATTTTACAAACCAGCAAGCAATTTTTTAAACACTTAATTTTTTCATATTTAGTTGATTTGAGAACTCTTTGCCAAGTACAGTATTTCACAGGTTTATTTTTATGAGAACTTAAATCTCAGTTACCTTAATGATATTATTTAACATTTTCCTAAAACTTTAATTATAAAAACAATATCAGTAATCATCTAGTAGCAAGTATTCAATGCTTTAATTGTAGTAATAGTAGTTTTATAGCAAACCACAGATACTTAAAGTTTCCTAATTTTTATTGTATAGTGAACTCATCATACACTTGTATAAATACACATTATATTAAAAAAATATATATTATTATAAAAGTTATAATAGTAATTTAACAATTTAGCTTATTGGATAAACCATTATAATACTGTACTAGTTAATGCTATGTATAATAAAATGTGTTATACATTTAAACTTTGTTTTATTATAAATAGTACATTACACTGAGTGCAATAATGTCAAATTTGAAAACTATAGTTCATAGTTCATTCATAGTTGATACTCTTGAGAATTATCTATAAAAATTGTATCATTTTATAATTACAAATTTTTCAATTAAACTTTGACGCCACAAACATCTAATTTTTATTACAATTGTTAAGACTGATTTCCTCATCAGATTTTAATTCTAGTACAGTGTCATACATTTTCCCTTTAACAAAACGTTCCAAATCTTCTCCTTCATAGGATAACAATGGAGAAATTTCACATTCTATATTATCTCTTATAAATTTTCCTCCTGCTTTTTCGATAAATTTTCTATGGAGCTTGAAAACATCCAATCTAGAAGTTGAAGGGTTATCTTTACCGCCAGGTGTGTCTCCATTTTTCAAAGCACTGAATTCTTCATCTCTATTTACTTCCCAAACAGCTAACCGATTACTAAATTCAAACACATCAAAAATGAACTTTTCTATTTTAATGCCATTAGGTTTTTCTGGTTTACAGTCATTGCCTTCTGAATCTACACATAATATTTTTTTTTTTGCTACGTGTAATTTTAATTTGTTACTATATTTGTTGATTACATCATTTAAAAAGTTAGTAGTGAAAAAGTGATTACAAATATTACCAGCACTATAAGTTAGACTTCCATCTGAATTTTGTTTTTCAGAAGTGCTTTCAGTAATTTCACTGTATTCTACAACTTGAAATTTTCCATCTACTTCACAAATAACACCTAATGGCTCGGAGGGATATGCTTTTTTTACAACTTTAGCTCCACAATCAGCACTTTTTGATATACAATAGCCAATAAAAGTTGGATCAGCTACTTTAACAAGTATATTGTCTACACTATGAGCATGTAGATACATAACATCTCGTTTCTTAATCTCATTTAATATATTACGATCACGTAATGCTTTATAGATACCACCATTGCCATCTGGAGACTTAGATATTTTGTGTGTACTTTCCATTATAATTTTCCCATCAAACGTGAAAGCAGGTAGCATATACTGTTCAAAGAATATTATATCTTTTTCATTTAAACCAAAATGATTATATTTTGCGAAGTACTCACGAGTTGGTTCCATGGTGTGTTCACTGGTCATTATAAACCAAGGCAATCCTTTACAACTGCCATACTTTTGTTGTGCCAGATTGATCAGACGACGAATACGTTCTCCTTGTATACGATATAGTGATTTATGAGATGGTAAACCAATGTCATACATACCTTTTGGATAGCTTACTCCAAGTCGTGTTCCTTGTCCTCCAGCCATTAATAAAACTCCTACTTTACCCTTTGATATATTCTGAAGTCCTATTTCTTTGTAACTATTTAATAGTTCTGTAGGACTACGACTTACCGAACCATAAAGCTCAGAAGGTATGGACTTCATTTTATCATCCAATTTTTGTTTGTCAGCATTTATGTCCTTAATAGTTTTTTTAAACATATCAACAACTTCTGGAATATTGACGTTCTGAATATCTTCCAATAATTGTTCTCTTTCATTGTCATCAAGTTTATCCCAAAATTGAATGATATGCTGTTGATCATATGTTTTTAAAACTGTAGATACAGATTCGAAATTACTCATTATGAGTAAATTAACGTAATATATTGAAAAAAATTATATACACATAAGTCTATTTAACATAAATGAAAACACTTTCACTTGCACGCCTTAACATAGGAGAACCTCTTAAGCGTGAGAGTGTTGGAGGACTAAAAAACAGTTATCTAATACCTGATGGGCAATGGCTAACGCCAAACAAAATACATACTTCACCAACCACCACTACCTACATACATTGTGGGCTGTACTGTAGTGTAAATTGTAAAAAATGTTTTGTCTTTAAAAAAACTGCCCGATTTCTAAGTAATTTAGTCAAGTATCTAGTGTACACGTCAGAGCCTTCGAGTTCCGGCTATAACTGAACTAATTGATCTATTAGATGGTCATTAACATAGAAAATAAATTATTACGCAAATTTTAACGTTTCATAATCCATGATATTTTATTCTATAATAATAATGAATACTGTGTATTTTTATATATTATGATTTATGAATTTTTTTATCAATATATTCATGGCTGATGGCATTGTTGTGTGTACTGTGTTGCACACGTAAATCACAAATCTGAAATCGCAATAAAAATTATTGAAGAATAATCAGTATACCTGCATACTGTAGGCAATACTGCATACTGTTGTTAAATTTTATCTAATCTGTGGTATAGACCAAGGTGGATTGACATCAATCCACCTTGACTAGTATCAGGTATAGGTATCAATAAAAGTAATAGAGGCAAAGATAGGCAACGACCTTATCTTTATCATACCTTATACTACTAGACAATGAAACACTGAATGAAATACTGTATTCAGTTCAGTGCAATGAAATGTACAAGTCGGTGTATATATGCTGCCCCTTAGAATAATATGATATTGGCAACACAACATACACCAACACCATGACACATTCTGTTATCAAAATACTGCTAAGTGCTGATCCGTTCATAGCTTTTATTAATTTTATTTTATTAATTATTATGAATTAATATTAATAATTTTTTACTGGTCAAGTTTTTATTTTGTTCTAGATTTAGGTTATACACACGTTATTTTTCATAACGATTGTAATTAGTAGTAAAAAGTCATTAATATCGCCTACCCAAATAAAGTTTAAGCATAATAATTAGATCAACTTAAAAATATTAAGATGGAAATGAAATCTGAGCAAGCCGTTGAGTTAGAAAGCGAAGTTATTTTGAGAGTTCCATTGGTAAGTTCTATTCTGAATAGTTAATCAATTAACTGTAAATACTTATTAACTGTTCAATCATATTTGACATTTTTCAGAAACAAGAATAAGATTCAACTTTTTTTTTTTTTGTTAAATCTTAATCTGGATTTATTATTGTTTATTTTATTATTATTATAATATTATCAATATTGTATTGAACAACAATATAACTTTTTTAAGTATTAAAAACTTTAAGTTAGTAAATCATTAACTATATATCATAACTATTAATCATTAACTTATGCCTACGGGCTTTAGGAGCCAACTCGAGCTCCCAAACCCCTGAGGAAAATATATCTTGCCTAAAGGACTAAACTAACCTAACTTAACCTAACCTATACTCCGATACTCCTATTGCCGACAAAGGTGTGTTGTGACCGCCGCCTATTATTATGTACATGGAAATATGCAAATTGTATGTAGCTATAACTTTTGAACCAGAGGAGTCCGTTTAGTTCTGACTTCTAAATCGTAATTAGTGTATAAAATTCTATAAAACGAGGGGAAAAGGGTGTCTGTTAAAGTAAATTTATACAGTATTTTCTTTGCTGAATTTAGAATGAGTCTATTAATACAGAAATAATAGAATTCATTGTGTTTGTTTTTCAAATATAAAAGAAAATCCTGATTTTCGTTTTATTATTGTTAATTATTTAATACATAGGTGGCGATTTTAAAAACAAATGATAAGCAGAATAAATTCCTGGACCAAATTTTACAAAAATATATAAAAAATAATCAAATTTTACTGTTAATGTTAACATTAAAATTATGTTAAAAAGAGTTTACTTGTTTGATTACATTGTACAACATTACAACATTATTTTTCACATTATTTTTAGGATGCCGCAAATACTTTGAGAGAGTTAATTAAAAAAGACGCAAAAGAGCAATTAAGTATAAAATTAGAAAATGATGTACGTAGAGGTGAAGTTATTATTGGTAATCATCATTTATTTGCAAAGGTTAGTTTTTAATGATTACTTGAAAAAAATGTTATTATGGGAGTGAAATTATTAATATTTTATTATCAAATGAAGTGTAGTAGTTAAGTTATTGTGCACAAATTAAAATTAACAAAAAGAAGTTCTGCTAATTAAAAATTAATTCTAGGTTGTAGATTTGCCAACTATTATTGAAGGGCAAAAAACTATTGATAACAAAACTGTTTACAAAACTGCAGATATATGTCAGGTATGTAGTTATCATCTTCTTCGCCTTAGGTGCGTTGCTTGTACAGTACGATTAAATAAATGTGGCCAAACAGCAGACTAGAATCGTTTAAGCTCTAGAATCTAGGAAAAACAGTCATGGTAGGTAAAAAAAGCTATAAGAAAATAAATATATAAAATATTTATAACCTATCAGTCATAATATTTTTAGTCAAAAAAGTAATCATTAAATTATATAAGTATCAGATGTATCACTAATTATTATAGTATTTGCTTCTAATTAAAGATATTTTACAAATTAATTTATTTTTCTTTATTTTTGATATTCTGATAGCATGAGGTGTATTTTGTAAACGAAATGGGTATATCATATTTATGGAATGAAAACCGGAAGGGAAAAGGCCTCGAGGCAGACCGAGGAAGAGGTGGCTAGACGTAGTAAAAGAGGATCTTAAGCCCTCGGAGTGCAAGAATGGAAGGAAATTGTGCAAGATCGAGGGATGTAGTGATGGCGGCAAAAACTCTAATAGAGTTGTAAATGCCAGTGAAGAAGAAGAATATCATATTTTTTTATCATGAAAGTTGTTACATAATATGTATAGTAACTATCTTTAGGGTTGCCATAATATTTCGTGGAACACCAGGACTGTTGCAGGTGTTTGACTCGGTGTACTGGTGTCCCAAAAACAATTTTATGGTTCACTTATGTGTTCCAGTGATAAGTAATAATAAAGAATTTAAAACTTAATACCACAGATTAAGTATAAATATTTAATCTATGTTAATACAATTTAAAACTTTTTTAGCTATGAGTATTCTGCTAGTTTTAAAATAAATAAATGTGTTGTAAAGAAAAGAACAAATATGTAAACATTATAATTATTAGATTATTTTGTCTTATTTATCTGCGTCTCTTTTTAACTTATTTTTCTTTCATGGCTGTTTTCACCGATTGTCTGGACTACAAGTGATTCTGTTTAGACACCTGGTTGGTTTGGCCGCGGTCTTTCACTGTTTGTACAATTAGGCAGCACATTAGTATCACCCATTTAACATAAAACTTAAACTATTTATCTTCATTATTTATTCATAACATTCATTTAATTTAACTTCAATCTACTTCTATTTTTAAGTTTTACTACCACATACCCATACCCATTATTATTATTATAATTTCAGCTAAATCTATTTTTTTTTTTCATTTCTTATTTATTCAATTTGTTACTTAATACTTTTTCAGCTGATTCTGTGTAAAGAAAATGAAGACTTCTTGTTATCTGACGAAGAGGATAAATCAAAAGTATTAAAAAAAAAAGAACCTAACAAAGTAGAAAAAAAATATTTATGGCCACATGGTGTCACACCTCCGCTAAAAAATGTGAGAAAACGAAGATACCGTAAAACACTAAGAAAAAAATATGTTGAAGCTCCAGAAATTGAAAAAGAGGTAATTAAAAAAATTGTATTATCATGTTTTATCAAAAATAACAAAATATTTTATAATAAGGAGAACTATTAATAGAATAAAATAGCGTTAAAAGTAACAAAACATATTTGGTTTTGTTAATATTTTTTTGAGATTCCTGTAAAATAGAAAATAGGTATTTATTAATTTTACTAGTTCACTAGTTAATATGGTTAAAATGATAACAACAAAATATTTACCATTTCAATTTTGTTTTTTAAATTTCCTTGAATTGATTTTATTTTTAGAAATCATAAAAAACATTTTTTTTTTTTCCTATTAACCCGTTGTTGGTATCAATGTTAGCATTTTGCTAACAATAATCTTATACTAGAAACTACATGTACCTTTCACAAGTATAATATTTACTAAAGTAACAAAAAAATATGTAAACATCTATTTTTGGGTATGATGACCTGTCAAAGTCTGCAGTACCACATTATATTAGCTTAGCTTCACGCTCATACGAGGCTAACCTTGTTCTATATAATATAAAACATTCACAATTTTGTTTCATTCTTTTATAAAATGAACAAATAACGCATACACGTTTCATTTAAATTATAAAAACTGTATTTGAACAATTATAAAAAATATAATTTAGCAAGTACTGAAGTTTGTTTAAAAAATATAAAATAAATTTATTTTAAAAAAAGTTTTATAACTTGAGTAGGGTATTGTATTTACAGAACATGCAAATATTCTTTCTTGAGTAGTTTGACTGGTCTGCCAACGTTTCCGAATACTTGCACATTCCATCTTCTTTAGGAAACCACGGTACGAGCACATCAAACCACATTTATTTTATTGTCAAATATGTATTTTAAATAGAAAATTTTAATGAAATAGATTAAGAGTAATCTGACTTCTGTAGGATATAACTAGACAAACACTTTTTACCTTTGTTGTACTACTCTAAGTTCAGAAAATAATTCACAGGAACAAATGAACAACTATGTTAGTATGGCGCTATTGGTAACATGATACTTACACAAGGTTAATATATTAAACCAAAAACAAGATAAGTCATTCAGAAAATTAAGTTTTTTATGGATTTCTACTCCTAACACCACTTTTAGTAAACAATGCTAGTGTAAACGGTAGTGTTCTAGTATCAAGTTAAACTGTGCCACACACGTTCACATTCACATATTAATACATTTGTTTTTATTTACAGGTTAAATATCTTTTAAAAAGTGACAGTGAAGCTCTCAGTGTCAAATGGGAAGTTGTAAATGAAACAGAAATACAAAGTAACAGAAAAGTAAAAGAAGAACCATTTATGCATGGAGAAATGCGTAATGATATCAAACAAGATATTGGTAATATGTATACTATATATATATATATATATATGTTTAAATATATATATAAATTTAGTAAATTGCTCAAAGTTTAAGTAAGAATATATATATATATATATTTTTTTTTTTTTTTTTGAGGGTCCCAATGTAGGTTTTTTATAGCTTCAATGCAATAGCTGAGAAGTTATTGGTTTTATAATAATGTATTTTTTTGTCTGTAGATACAATAACATTTTTTCCTGTTGATCAATTTTCTTGTTTAGCATTTCTATAGATCCGAAATTGTATGCAGGTGATACTTTGGTGGGTCTTAAGTTAAAAGAAACTAATAAGACTATAAATGTAGATTTGAAGACTATTATGGGTTTAAAATCTTAAGTTTAGTATATGACATGTTATTAAACATTTTAAGATTTAAAAAAAAAAAATGGAAATTCCCCCTCAAGGGGTATAATAGAAAATTGATGCTAAGTTTGGAATCAGCGACCCCGAAAATGTATGAATTCACATTCAAGAAAACATTTTGTTACAAATCTGTAATATGTTAATATTGTATATTCAAAATTGATAATATGTAATGGGATATTTTTCTCTGTAATAAATATTACAATAGTATAAAAATTACAACAAATCACTTTTACAAGATATTGTATTTCTCATTAATTACTTGCTGTTACATTTGTATATAACTCTTTTTTATTTATTTTAGAAGCAAAATTAAAACCAAATTTATAATAACGTTTTTTTTTAGTTGAATTTTTTAGTTAAAAAAAAAATTTTTTTTTTTTAACATTCTAAAATTATGGTTTTATTATACAAATTTAATGGTTATAAAAAATTGAAGTAAGAAAAAAAATTAATTGTTTATAATTAGCTGAAAGAGATATCTTTGGAGAAGCCCTCAGTGATTCTGAAGAAGAAGCTGGTAACATAAATATTATGGACTTAGATGAAGATATGAGCCGATTAAGTGCTGATGATAGCCGCCTATCTGACACTAACTCATTAATGGTTTGAAATTTAATTTAAATACATTGAATAGTATGTAATGGATTTTTAATTTTTAATTTAGGAAGAGAAACCTTCTATATCTGGTAACCACAAACTCGTCACAGAATTCACCAAAGAAATGTTTATATCTAATGATAGCTCACAAAATGAAATAAAAAAAGAACATTGCATGGAATCAACACTAGATGAAAGTTTGGGTTATAGTAGAGATGAAATTGGTGAAGATCTTAAATCTGAATTGGAACTAAGCGATGACAGCAAATTAGGTGATACACCAGTGTTATCTACATTAGTTCCGTTAGAAGCTGGAAATGTGTCTTCTGGTAAACTAAATTATTATATTGTTTTTATTAAAATATTTTTATTGATTCAGATATTTAATATTGATTATATTATAATTTCTTTAAAAATATCGTAATATTTTTGAATAGATGATATTAAGCATAAAATTGAGCAATTACAACAAGAAATAGAAGACCTAAAAGAGCGTAAAAAACAACAAGATCTAGAAATTTCAAATATAGAAAACATAAATTTAAGAGAAAGATTTATAAGTATTTCTAATAATCTTTTTGCTGAACAACTGGATAAAGAACAGCAGGTATTGATAGTCTACTTGATAAAATAGACTACTAAAATTAAAATTTGATTATGAAACATGTACAATCAAAAATTGAAAACATTCCTTTGACAGATCTAACAGAGAATTTCTACTTCTTTCTTCTTCTTTATTTTTGCCTTACACTCCCAACTACATGGGATCGGCCATTCTAGTCCTACACTTCCATAGAGCTCAATCTTCTATCCTCATATCATTTTCTATTTCGTCTATCCATTTTTCCTTCTGTTTTGCTCTACATTCATTTTCATAACAACTCTCACACCTCTGCCTTATCTCTCCTCATAATATTACTGGAGCATCTCAACCTTTTCTCTCTCATTTTCCCAACAATTTATGCAACTCCTAGACTTACCCCTTATGTATTAATTTCTTATTCTATCCTCCCTACTCACTCTACTCATCCATCTTGGCATTCTCATTTCCGCTACACTAATTCTGTGTTCAGCTTTCTTGTCTACTGCTCATTATTTCAACTCATATGACATTTCTGGCCACACTACCATCTTATAAAATTTACTTTTCATTCGTATAGGCATCCTCCTGTCACACAAAACACCTGGTGCTCTCCTTCACAATTTATCCTTTTTTTCACATCCTCATAGCCACCATTTTTTTGTACTACCGATCCTAAGTACTTAAACCTCATAGTTGTAAGATCAATTTAACACACTTCATCACCCATTCACATTACCTGTCTTGCCCTATAAATTTCGCCAAAAATCGAACATGATTACCTTCATTTTCCTCCTACAAATCCTCAGCCTTCTCCCTTCAAGTCTCCCACCCAATTCTTTGAGACTTTCCCTCACTAACACTACATCATACACCATGGCACCTCCCCGTGTACATCTTTCGTAATTGTAATACTTTGTATTTCATTATATTATATATTATTAATTTCAACGATTTTATGATTTTAGATTCAAGAACTTCAATCATATCTACTATAAAAGTATTGGATCAAATAGAATAAACATTTTTGTAAATAAGTATTTATTAACTAAAATACAATTGTTTTTTGTCTATTACTTCATATTAAATAATAAATAATTATTCAAATTTGAAAATCTTTCAAGTTTGTTATTCATGTATAATAATTATTATTAAAATGTATTTAAATGATTATTTTCTTAACTGTGTATCTTCATTAATTACTCATAATTTCAAACTACAATATATAATTAACAGCAAGTAAGTATTTTTCTCTCGTTACAAATTAAAATTACTAGAAATTTCATACCTCATGTAATTAATACATACTACTTTATTATGAAACACAAATTAAAAACAACATAGAAAACTTGAAAAAATAACTGTTCTTCTATCAATTTGAGTCTTTTTAGCTGTTGACAATTAGGTTTAGTCATTTTTGGATTCTGTTTCATTTAAAATATTAGTGTTTTCTTGCTCAACTAAACTCTTTTGATTGGCTTCCTCTACATATCTTTGCACCGACTGTTGCTGATGTTCAATAAATGCTTGCATACACTTTTTATCTACAGCAGTAGCTTTCTGTACACAATTATTTGCACATGACACCTGTTTAAAAAAGTTTTGATATTTTCAAATATTCACAACTTAAAAGCTTTTTAGGAAAAATTACTCAAATATTTTAAAACTTGTTAATAGGAGTGATAATTTCATAACATGAAATTCATACACACTACCCAGTTACAAGTGTAATATTTTAATGTATAAATATTTATATACACTAAGGCTGATTACAAACCATGTATGTTTTACTAATATTTAAACTTTAAGTAATAATTAAAGCAGAAGTGTAAAAAAACATCTAATTTAAAGTTAAAAAGCATTATATTTATAAAATAAAAAGAGTCAACATTCTACATATTACGTACACCCTTTGAATTGATCAATATTTTAAGATTAGTATTTGTGGTAGTGCTTATATTGACTAAGAACAATGCTATTTAATAAGAACAATGCTATTTAATAAAAATAATCATATGCATGATGCTTACGATTATTTTTATCTTTATGTTATTATTGGTTATTAATTATAGTTATAATATAAAATAATAAATTAACTATAGTATAAAAGTAGGTTTTGGTAAATTTTAAAAACTAAAATTTTTTTTCCTTTGTAGAGGCTTTATTTTTAGGAGACTTGCCCTTCCCCCCAGATTTAGTTAAATACCTCATCATCTGTCAATTTGCTTTGAGCTAGAGTATAAACACACTGAGTGAAACATTCATCAGTAATTTTATTATAATTTTGTAAAAACTCTTTAATCTGAAATTAAAAAAAAAACATAAATAGATAAAATAAAATTATTTATCATTATTCTTCTTACATTTTTAATGTAGACTTCATCGTCCATATTGCATAACAGTTATATCAAATTTAGTTTGAAATAAGACATATAACATAATTTAAAACAATAGGAAAAGTGCAGACTGCAGGTTTTTCATATCCCGGTCTCCGTAGTTCAAGATGATATGATAAGACAAATGTGAAAACCGGTAAGCGGTCATAGGTACCATATAGGTAAGTGGTAACTTTAGAACCTACGACCGAAAGCCGTCAAAATCACAGAATATTCGAACACTACCATGATTAAATTAAACAACGTTATCGCATATATACCCCTTCATCAAATTTTCAATGAAAAAATCAAATAAGTCACGGTAAAATATACAGTAATAGTTAAGTCTATAGTAAAATTGATAACCTGTTATGCTGTCATTTTATTTCTAAAAATAACAATTCGAGACGATGTGATCTGTATATTTCAACCATGATCACTACCTTTTTTCCATAGACCTAAAGTGCAGAAGATAACGTAAATCACGGTTGTAGACTGGTTGCGTATCGACTCGATACTATCGAGTATCGACTATCGAGCTATGAAAAAGCGGCTACAAGAGATCTTTCTAAAAAGTCAGTGACTGTTAGCGCTCCTTGTAAAAAAATCGTGGAACTTATTATTTTTCACCAAGGATCTATGTTATATTCAGCCGCGTATAATATGATAACAACTAGGTTATAGCAGGTTTGGAACATGGCCGCTTCGATTTTGACTGATAAGTATCTTCTCCGTGTTAATTTTTATCAGTGTCCGGGGCCTGGTGCAACCATTTATCTATAGACGTGTTCATACAAGCTGAAACAAAATATGTTAACAGTTGAATTGATTTTCTAATTTCTATAACTAATAATTAATGACTATATTATTATACTTATACTTCATATAACGTATGGCAATTTAGATTAATTTCCCAAATTGTTTTAGATCTATGATGATAAATATTATACTTTAATAATTTCATGGCAATTCAATTTTTATCGCACGAATTTGTGATATAAGAAATTTATATTTTAGGTAAGGCGATTTAACATTGTGCCACTAATTTATATCGTTTCAGCGTATTTAAATAATTATTGATGTTATTACAACTGTCTAATTTAATGACTTGTGAAAATACTATAAGCAATTATGAACAGGTCATTGGACAAATCATTTTTACTCATCTATACATTATATAAATGCACAAAAACTCAATACAAAAGCTTCACCTATGAAAAACTACAATTATTAGTATTAAACATAACTCTACCAAGTACATAACATACATCTTAATTGATTTAATGGCGTAATACCTAATTATTAGTTTAATTACTCATAACTAAACATTTTTTTCTCAGGTTAAAAATTGTTATTTAAGAAGTGTTAAAATGTCACGAATCAGCAGTTCTGGTGATCATACTGTACATGAGTATATAAACAGAAATGTTGAAACTGATAATATGCACCCAGCAATACTAAGATCTGAAATAGAAGCAAGACCTATGAGACCAAGGTCATTTGTTCCTAATTCTCTACCTTTAAAGAATACTGCAAGTAAGTAATTTTGTTTACCTATTCATGTTAAGGCACCATTTCAGAGAGGTAAACAGATTTAGGCACTTTCTTTAGCTTATTATTTTTTTATATTGGGTTATCTAAAATAAAACTTTAAGGGTAATAGAAAGCGGTTATGTAAAAATATTAAGTTTTTCTAGTAATAAAACTTTTAGTTATTTTTCTTAAAGTTATGGCGAAATTTTGATAAAAAATGACTTTTGTAAAAGTCAATTTCTGCCATGTCTATTGGAGAGAATTCAATTTTAATATTTTTTATGTGAAGCTTACTATTTTCTTTATGGAAGCTAAATGGCCGATTTTTGATTAAGCTATCAGAAAATTAGTTAAATTTATTAGAAAATACCATAAAAAGTAAAAATATAAATGCTTATAATAAAATGTTGAAAACTGAAATAAAAAAATCAGTATTTTAGCCCCCATAGAGAAGATGTTATATATTATAACAAAAAAAAAAATTTGAAATCTTTCTTTAGAAAGTGACACTGCGTTTTATTCTTTATTTGTATAACATTTGACACTTTTCGTTCCCCTTAAAAAAATATTCTATATCAGTGGTTTTCAAACTTTTGCAACCCACGGCGCCTATGTGTCTTTACAATATTTTGATAAATCCCAATTTATTAATTTCCCACTTCGGTATACGTAAATCCATAACCTCTACAGCTTGCTTGACCAACTCATATGACGTCCCCGGGAGCCACAAATTATAGTTTGAATACCTCTTGTTCTATATTCATTTTTTTCCATTAGTAAAACAATTTTTATGAACGTTTAGACCCTATCAGAGAGGTATCTTAGAGATACTTAATCATCAAAATTACTGTACCACACATGCGCGAGATAATAAAGAATATTTTCGCAATGTGAGGGTTTGTTATTAATTGTGGGAATCTATACACTGTTTTAGAAACATATTTTTTTAAATAATTTATCATTCACCGCCAAACCCATCTCTTAATTTTTAGATTTGCATGTGTATTAAAATTTGAGCTTTTATATTTACATTTTTTAGCCCCAAGAGGATACACTCCTAGTCCGATAAATGGTGAAATATCCAACTCAAAATACCCTGCATCTAAAATTGAAGTGATTAAAAATTGGAGTGTATCAACTTATAAGTGTACAAAACAGCTCATAAATGAGAAATTGGGAAAGTCATCTAAAACTGTTGATATAGGTAAAACATATATATTTAAATATGAACTACTTAAGTTACCCTTGTCCTTAAATAATATTGTGTTCTCCTAGAATTGGAGACTGAAATTGAGCAATTAAGAGAAACCCAAAAGAAGTATGGAAATATTTTAAAATTAGCAAAAAATATGGCAGCTCAGTTTCAATGTTTTATTCAAACTCAAGTAATTATATTATAAAGTTTGTGTTATAAGTATTGGATTTTGTATGTTTTTTTCTATTGTGATTTTAAGCAATCACTCGGAGAAGCATTTGCTGAATTGAGCCAGAAATCGCCAGAACTACAACAAGAGTTTATACAAAATTCGGAAACACAGAAATCCTTGTCAAAAAATGGTGAAAGCCTGTTAAATTCACTTAATTTTTTTGTGTCATCAGTTAACACTCTTTGTAATAAAACTATTGAAGATACATTAATTACTATAAAGCAGTATGAATGTTCAAGGTACTATATAATATATCAAAAAATGTTTGCTATAAATATTAAATGGCATAAAATAATACATATTTTTTATTCCAAAGTAAATTTTCATATTTATTTCATGTATCACTGATTTCTTTTTAACTAAGAAAAAACGAATTACTGTAGGAAACCAAATTTCTTAATAAAATGTTAAAAGGACTGTATTTAAAGAGTTTTTGTTTAAGGTCAAGATTTCTCAAACAATTGAATGTATAATTAAAAATATTTTTTAAAATTATATCAGATACACTACAAAAATACATTTATGCTCTATCCCCCGGATCTTAGAGATTGCATTGGTGAATGCAGGGCCGGTGCAAGGCATAGGCAACAGGTATATTGCCTAGGGCGGCATTTTACTAAGGCGATAATCTTTTTACAAATTTAAAATTGTTATAAATTAATATTTCAAAAAAGCCATAATTGGAGGGAGTTCCTAGGTTGAAATATTTGGTCTGTTTTAGAGTATGTAGTAATTAAACATGTCTATTATTGATGTCTAATAATTCTGCAGACATGTTGACATTTTGTACAAATCACTTATCACATAAAATTCTAATTTTTACTCAAAAAAGGAATATTTGTATATTTTACAAGATTGGATTTGCCTTAGTTCGGTTAGGTTAGGGATTGTGATTAAAACAATTGTATGTAACGAGTCAACAATGTTTTTTTTTAATGTCTTAAATCCCAAAATATATTTTCTTAAAATAACTTGAGACTTATCCCTTATGATCTTTTATTATTTATACAAACATAACACACTTGTATAACATAAAAATTAATTTTATAATAAAACTCGTTAGTAAAATCCATGGTATACCCATGTCATGAGCGTAGATTTAAAACCTTATGCTCAAAACTTTTTAATAGTACAAAAATTGTATTAATAGTTCTATGATAATTATGTGAATAACAATTTTTAGAATTGAATATGATGCCTATCGTTCAGACCTTGAGATGTTAGCACAGATGCCTAGAAATGAATCAAACATAGATCGTGTTGATGATGCCCAACAAAATTATCAACATCACAAGGAAGAATTTGAAAAGTTGCGCTCAGATGTTATTGTGAAGTTGAAATTTTTAGATGAAAATAGGGTAAGATTTTTTTACTTAAGGTTCCCAAAATATGGCCAATTTTTTAATTTTGATGATGTTAACTTATTTTCATTATCTTAAAGGTATAATTTACTTATAAGGTTTATTTTTTGTACATGAGATTTAGCTATTTTGGTAATGAAAAATTATGTTATGAGAAAAGTGATTATACTCCATAGAATAATCAGATTCAAAATTTAAAATTGTCGTGTATCAAAATATGTGTCCACTTGGGTGGTCCTTAAATTTGGCATGGCGTTGGATGACCGTCATTCGGCACCAAATACTGAAAAAATATTTCTCTAATCGAATGACAGCCATCAAACGCTATGTCAAATTTAAGGACCACCCTAATGTCCACACATTTATTTCCATGTCATACATGTATAGGGCGGCTAAACATAATGTTTACATAATACAAAGACTACATTCTAACTACTAATTTATGTTTTACCATTTTTTTTTAGGTAAAAGTTATGCACAAACAACTATTAATGTTTCATAATGCGACTATAGCATATTTTTCAAATAATCATCAAGCTTTGGAATCTTCTTTAAAACAGTTTAATATTAAACCCAAATCACCGACTACTCCTTCTCTGGCTGCATCATGGTTAGAAAAATAATTTACCTGTAAATTATTCAATTATTATTTATAAATCTTATTTACCTCTATAGACTATACATTTTTCCTATTGATAATGCTTGTCTTATCCTAGTACCTATTTAATAATATTAAAGAAATGTTATACATATTTGCTGTGTATGTAAATTTCTCTCTTTATATTTTTCGTTTTAAATTTTTGTTCACCGTTTTGTATAAAACAATTTTTTGAAGTATCATATAATATTAAAACAGTCAATACAAATCTGTAGTTTGATTACATACCATTATTTATTCAGTATGTGGTTTTATCTTTGAATTGAAACTGAGACTTGATTAAATGACTAATGAAATACTAAATAGATAATTAACATAGACGCGTGGACAACTATTATTATTACTTATATGATAATAATAATAATAAATTATAATATAATTGTTTTGTATACCATTGTCTAGTCACTATAATATATGTTTAATTTAAACACAATAATATTATGTAATATGTGTGTTATTTTATGAACATTAAGTTAAAAAATATATGGTTCTTTTAATATTTTAATGTTATTATATAATTAGAAATAATTAAATAAATTGTTAAAATGTATAGAATGATTCATTTTCATTATAATAAAATATTGAAAAATACCCTTCACCACAAACAAGTATACACTTTTCAGTACCGAGTCTGTTATAATAACTTTTAACATAAGGTTATATATATATATATATATATATATATATTTTTTTTTTTTTTTAATTTTAACTTACTATTTAATACCAACTTTTGTTAAATAACATGTACTAATAATCAGTTTTTCTTGCAACTGTAAATATAGCATTTAATTAAATTGGCTTTAATAATTTTTTGCTCTTATTTAAAGAGAAAATTAAGTTATATTTACACAGCTTTAATTCCATCTGATGTTTTTAATTGATTAACGTTTTACTATTTAGAATAAATAACATTATTTAAATTTTTTTCTTTTTAGTTTCTGTTCAAATTGATGTGGAATATATTTTTATCTTATTTTTCTAATTTTAAACTCGTGCTCAACTTGTACTACAATATATTTTAAATTTTCTTCTAGCAGCTATTTAATGCAACAATGGTTAGACAGGACATGTGAAAATGTTCATATAATTGTATTATTATCGTTCCTACTTTAGCATCTAAATTTCAGTCGCAGACCGCAGTACAAAAAGTTTTTCAGCCGAGTCTGCAACCACGAAAGAGCATTTCCATGTTTCGTTGAAGTACCGAATAAATTTAGAGTAGTGGTGGAATTATAGATAATGATATAGTATATTAAGAAGCAGTAACAAGCATATAGTATATTAAAACATCAAGTTTTTAGCTAATATTGTAGTGTTTAATATCTGGTTTAAAACAATTCATAGAAAATTTGGGCCCTTTAACTATTTTGAATTTATATTTTTGTTCAAATTTGAACGTTGAACGTACAACATATCTCTTCTCTTATATCTTACCCCTATCCCCTCCCTATCTCCTACCCCACCCCCAACACCATCTCCGTGTAAACGCTTTTTTCGTTACTAATTTTTGGTAACATTTTTTTCGACTATGTGCCAGAGATAAGACATGAAAATGTCAAAAATATTCCGCTGTTTTTCTGTGGTGCGCATAGACAAGAGTACAAAGTAGTAACTACAATTTATTATTCTGGTCAGTTACTATACAGTATACTCACTGAACTCAATATAATATATTGCTGATATATCAATATATATATCAGCACTGATAACCTGGTTGTTTTAATCATAGACCTATAGCATAGACCTATAAAGATTTCTTTATAGGTCTATGGTTTTAATATACACGGCTGAATATAACAGATCCTCAGTGAAAAATAATAAGTTCCACAATTTTTCCACAAGGAGCGCTAACAGTCACTGACTTTTTAGAAAGAACTTGTAGCCGCTTTTTTATAGCTCGATATACAAACGCAATCCGTCTATCTACTACTGTGGTTCTGCCCACAAATATAGATAATACCTATATTTATTATCTATGTCTGTGGTTCTGTCAGGATCATGGATATATACCATAGACCTATAAATATTCTTTATATGTCTATGATATATACTAATACTAGAGGCCGTCTTTGTCATAATCACCCTGAAATGAGTTGAAGCCACCGCCATATGCAATGAAGGCACGATCGGTAAACAAACGTTATCAATGATATAACAAACGACGGGTAAAATTAAAAATTCTAAAGGCTAAGGTACTTTCATAGACCTAGTAAAAGGTCAATGGGTAATTTATACAATATGATAAAGCCTAATATTAATAACGTTTGTTTACCGATTGTGCCTAAATTGCATATGGCGTCAGCTTCACTGATAATTCGAAGACGGCTATCTAGTATGAGTATATATCTATGGTCAGAATACCATTGAGTGATAAGACGATAAGTATTAGGTATTATTTTTTAGGTAGGTATAGTCTAAAAATTCAAATCTGTGTAAACTTTTTTGTTAGAAGTGATTTGTTCTTTACATAATAAGTTATTTAACCCACATTACCAGATTATAATTATAGTTTTAATATTTATATTTTAATTTTAATAATTAACTATGAGCCTTTCACAATGCCGCAATTTACAAGTGAGTAATCCAATATTATTTATTTATAGTTATAAGTTTTGAATAATTATGACTGTAATACGCATTGGACTTAAGTTTTTGATTATATCACTACCAACAATAAAGACATTTGGTTAAAAAACTAGTAGAATTAACACTTTTGACTTACAAATTTTATTTTTAAAATCAAAAGTTCAATTTGTTGGTACTAAAAAAATCTTTGTCTTTCAAACAAACAAAAAAAAAAAAAATTCCTTGTTCAGTTAAGCACTATTTCTATTTCTTTCAAAATAATTTATTCACTATAACTCATACAATAAAACGTTATATGCTAAATTAAACCCTCACACTAATGCTAATAAATCTAAAAATTAGTCAACCTAAACAAAATTGATTAAAATATGTTTTTGTTGAATGTTACTCAATTTTGTTCTTTAATTAATAGTTAGCACCAGGATCTTAAATTTCTGCTTGGCTATTTGTTATATGTTGAATTAATCATACAACTTTAAAAAATGTTTACTATTATACTACTGTGAAACTCTAACATTGAACATTTTGTATTAAAATGGGGGAAATTCTAGTGGGTTTCTCTTCTTTTTGCTGTAGTTTGGAACACAATAATTTAATTGTATGTGTGAGTAAAAACGAGTAAGTCAAAAGGTACTTCATTGGAAAATTAGCTTAAAAATTTGTATTATGGTCTTAAGCTGCGGCAGCATTAACCATTGATAATTGAACTTTTTATTATTACAATTTTACTAAATACAGTCGTACTTTAATTTATACATTTGTTTAGCTTATGAAATTAAGTTTATTGTCTACTTGTGTTTTTCGTAATCAAGAGCATCTCTATTTTATGATTTTAATTTCCATAAGACTATATTACATTTTTTACACAAATCTTAGTAACTATTTTAGTTTTTGTAATGGAAATACCAAATATAAGGTGGCTTTTTAGTTAAGTTATTAGTAGTCTAACTCAATTTGCTAAAAATATATGTATTTCTTTTTATTTCTGTTCCATTCATTTGTAATTTTAATTGCGGTTAGCCATTAGCCGCCTGTTTAACCAGCCAATTTTGGGTGGTTAACAGCTTACCCCGATTAAATTTGTTGGTAAAATCGAGCCTAATACTAATTTTCATGTTATAAGATATCATTTTTCAATTTATATAATTTAAGGGTAAAAAAGCATTACTTAAACATAACCTATTATTATTTATAAATATTTATTTGTTATTATATCTTTAAACAATGTGAACTCTTATTATTTAATTTTATTGTAAAATACAAAAACTGTTGCTTAAAAATAAATTTTTAATAGCTCATAAATAAATGATTTAAATAATAAAAAAATAAAAAATTGAATGTTGACCAAGGGTTGTTAAATATTGTTTAACTATGTAATATCCAAAATATTTGAAATATATTAGAATCATATTATTTTAATGAATGATACATTAAATGTTTTAAAAAAAACCATCCTAAAACTAAAAAATACTATAATTTTCTGATGACTGTATGGGATGAACTGTTATACTTTTTTTAAAACTATTTACTTTTTTAAGGTAATTCCAAAAAAGCCCCCTCCCTCAAGTATAGAGTGGTTACGGTCTAATTTGCTGTGTGCGAGATTCAAACCCACTAACCACACATATTTACTATTTATTAATTTATGTACAATTATTGTGATTTTAGGAAACATACAAATTAATGAGATTTGGCAATGGATTATTACAAAACAGTATTCGTAATCTAACAATTCCAATAGTTGTAGAACAGACAGGCCGTGGAGAACGATCTTATGATATTTTTTCTAGACTATTAAAAGAACGAATTATATGTGTTAACGGAGAGGTAAAATCCAATTTTTTTTTATTTTGTTAAAGAGCATACTACCTTTATACAGGCTGATATCAATTTAACTATAAATGCTCATGTTCTCTAAACATAAATACAATTTTGTAGTTTTTCTTTTTGGGAGACATTTTATCTATGTTATTCTACAGTATTAGCCAATATTCAAATTGTTTTATTTTTTGGTAAATTCCAGTGCTCTATCAAATTTTAAAACTTAATGGTAATATATATATATATATTTTAAACCTTTAAAATCAAGGATAATTTACATAACATTTTGGCTGGTCAATAACCAGTTTTGAATATTATATTTGAGGTTTTAAAAATTTGAAATTTTGTACGGGAGGATAAGTAGAATTCAGTTATCGATTAATCATAGTTTTCAGAAAATTATTTTAATTAAACATTTTTTTTTTTTATATATACGTTACCAATAAGTTGTAAAATAATAAAATATTTTAAAAAAAAAACTACCTTAAAAAATAATACACTTAAGCCCGTACGTGTATTTCAGTAGCAATGCTATTTTCATTATGAACAGCCTGATAGCTTGATCTTTTCAAGATGATGATAGCATTGATACAAAAATATTTGTATATGCTAAAGTGTATTATTTTTTTTGGTGAAGAGGTTTGTAAATATTTTATTATGTTGTTATATATTATTTATGTTTAACCACAAGTGTTCCTGTGGTTTTTTGAATATACATTACCTATAGAAAATTGCAATTATTTAAATTTATATGTTTACTAGATTAATGACCATGTCGCTTCACTCGTAATTGCGCAATTGTTGTTTTTGCAATTTGAAAATCAAAAAGCACCAATTAACATGTACATTAATAGGTAATGAATTGTTTATTTTTTTAATTATATATTACTAATATTTTTAAACACATATAGTCCTGGAGGAAGTGTAACTGCAGGTCTTGGTATTTATGATACTATGATGTACATAAAACCAGAAATATCGACATGGTGTATTGGACAAGCATGTAGTATGGGAAGTGTTTTGTTAGCAGCTGGCCAAAAAGGTAAACGTCATTCTTTGCCAAATTCAAGAATTATGATACACCAACCATCTGGGGGCATGCAGGTAAATATAAATTTATTATTCATTGTTATAATGTTGTACGTACAAGAAATAATAAATTCAAATTTTTGAAGTATTTTATGTTTTAATTTTATAATTTTTTTTGTTGAGCATATCAGTTTATACAAATATAAATTATTACTTACGTTTCTTATGAGCTTTTAGACAATTTTAGTTAACTAAAAAAATGTTGCTTATTAAATTAATAAGGTATTTTTATTTAGGGTAAAGCATCCGATATGAAAATTATTACTGATGAAATTTTAAGACTTAAGACTTCATTAACTAACATTTATGTCAAGCATACAGGAATGTCTTCTGAAAAAATAGGTAATTATAATAAATTATTTATCGTGGTTGATTTAATTTTTCAACAATTGAAAAGATACACTATATTTTAGCTTTGTGCAGATAATGATTTATTTTTTTAATTTTTATAGGTATATCCTCTAGATAACTTGATCAGTTTGACCCATTTCTTTATATGTGTTTATATTTCTTTAGAATAACCTTAAAAAAATAGTTTTTATACAATATAACAAAATCTGTCAGATTTTAATGATACAGTCTATACCGTGGCTCATGAGTATTAGTATATTAAGATAATTTTTTTTAATTTAGCCCTACCATTCTGCAGTCAAAAATAAAGAAAAGGATGTTTGTCATTTATATTGCATGTGGGTGGAATATAAAAAAACAAATCTAATCTCTTCTCTTAGATAGTTGACGGTTTCTATTAAAATTATAAAGTTTAATTACTTCATAATGTTAATGTTTGTATTTGTTTCTTCTCCTTCTTCTTTTACTAAAGGCCTTGCCTTGTCGTTGCATGAGAGTTGCCATCTTGGGGAAGTGGGTATGGTGTGGTGGTTTCCCGTTGTCATTCGCACCAGTCGGTTGGCCATTTCTCTCTCCAGACGGTTGCTCGTCCAGCTAGAGAAACGGCCATCGACTGAACCATAGTTTAGTGCGTAGAAGCACTGTCGCAGTAACCCTCTCGGCCACGACAATATTTGTTTACCATCTTTAAATTATAATATTTTATCATGCATTATTGATTTTCTTAAGTTTTATTGATAGTATTATAATTTCATTTTATAATTTTTTTTTTTCTAGATGCTAGTATGGAGTCTGATAATTACATGAGTGCAGAAGAAGCTGTAACTTTTGGCTTGATAGATATAATAGATCAACAATTGGCTACAAATTAATGCTCCTAATTTAAGTTCATACCTTTATATAGATAAATGTACATATTTTATGTGTGATCATAGTTGAATTCATATCTCAGTACTGAGGATCATATGAAAAAAGTTTTTGTTTTATAAAAATGTTTATAATATAAAACATGATGACATATTTCACAGTATTTTTTGTTCTATCAATTGTCAGGGTCGTATCAAGTATCAAATAACAGGTTAGCTTGGTAGGCTTGTTGACTTGATTTAAATATATAATACAGGGTTCAGCAGAGAGCTATGACATTTTCCAAAAATAAATGTAAATTACTCGATTACAAAGAAAATTTAATTTTAATTTTTCTATAGATCAATTACATAACACCATTTTGTTAAATTTGACTTAAAAGCTAAAAATAAAACCTTTTCCTTTGAGGTACTCGCATAAGAAGTAATCACAGGGCAATCTTTGATCATTTAATATCCACACACCTAGGAAAATGAGAGTGCTTGCTAAAGGAGGGTCACTACTTAGGTGACACTATTTTTGCCTATTTAGTCAAATTCTTATTGTTTTTTATATAATGAATGGCATACTAATGCATAAAGGACAGACAAACAGACATTCATTTTTATATGTGTAGATAAAATAGTATTTTGTAAATAATCTTTGGAAAAAATTAAAATTGAGTTGTTTATTGATTTATGAAAAACACCATGTTTCTTTGCCAGACCCGGTAGCCACATTTTTGGTCAATAATGTTTATAATCATTAATCTTAAATTATAAAATATCATAACCTAAGTTATTAAGTAAAGCTATTGTTATTATAGCTATTAGTTAACAAAATTAAAATAAATAAGGATCAATGCCCTGTAAAAAGTAATCCCAATGGTTTGAGTACACTATCTTATATAGTTCTGCGCTAAAATGGGATTTAAACATGGATATTGATAAGTACAGTATAAAATTGGCTTTTTGCCAAAAATGAGTTTATATATTGTCTATATTTAGAAATCTGATATTTAAGTGTATCATGAATGTGAAAAGGTCATTAAAGTATCTGTATTCTAACTTGCCCATAATTTAAAATAGTTCAATCTGAAAATTTATTTACAAAAATGAATATTACTTTTAATTTATGCACATTATTTGCTGCTGTTGTATATGTAATATGTGCTGTGGACAATGAAAGTAATTCCCAAGAACTTATGTAAGTAATTGTTTAATTTGTAAATTTATGCAATTTTGCATCAACATAAAGAAAACTTAATTTATCATCAATATTGAATTTAATATAGGGTCGAAAATTGGGCTGAACAGTTTGGAAAAGAGCTATGGTATTTGGGTCAAAACATAACCAAAGCAAATGAAATAAAATTGGTATGTTTAATAACTTTGTACAAAATTATATTTTGTTATTGCATAAAATTATTGTTACTTGTAAATCTTTTTATTTGGTTAAGCGTTATAAAAAATTAAATGAAACACATGTATTCAGAACAAATGCCACGCAGCTTTTAAATAATATATCGACAGCAATGAATCGTATGATAAGATTAAAAATGACTGCTGTATCGGTAAACTAAACATTAAATATTAATACAATTGCAACTTATTAACACAAATATTAAACAACTTTATAGTGCCTAATGGATGCTGCAGAGCGTTTGTCTGAAGAATTTGAATGGAAATCATCGGGAGTTGAAAACTATACGTATTATAATGCAAAGTATTCGCCAGTTGAAGGCATTAATGATGAAAATGATACTGCACGAACTCCACCGACTGTCACATTAGGAAAAAATTCTTACAATTTAGTTTATAAAACTATGAAATTATCGAAAAATGGTCATTTCTATGGTTTGAATGTAAATACAAGCTACAGTACAGTATATTTGCCCACAATATTATTTGAACGATGTAAGAATTGTTTGTATTATGATTATGAGTAATCATTGTAATAAGATAAAGCTTTGCATTTTTTATACTTTGTTTTTTAAGTACTTCATGTGCAAGCACCATTGCAATGGTCAGAAAAATTAGATGAAGTTTTTGAAAAAAATTATCGTAGTGATCCATCACTTTCGTGGCAATATTTTGGCAGCACGGCTGGATTTATGCGTCATTATCCAGGTAATGCGTACCTACCTTTTGTGACTATTGGTGTTGAAATATATTCTTTTTGATTTTTAGCTATAAGGTGGTCATCTAAACCAAGTGTATTCGATACTCGTCTTCGGCCTTGGTACATTCAAGCAGCAACATGTTCTAAAGATGCTGTAATCCTCTTAGATATTTCAGGTTCAATGTCTGGAATGCATCAAACTATAGCTCAACTAGTAATCAAAACTCTTCTGAGGACATTCAATAATGATGATTCTATTAATATAATTTTCTTCAACACAGTTTTCACTTACTTGGTGCCTTGTTTTGAAAATATTTTAGTACAGGTATAAATACCTGTAGTATTATTTACCTAATATTTGATGTACGTTAATGACTAATTTTGAATACATTTTAAGGCTACTCCTGAAAATATCAAAACATTTCACAATGCTGTAAATATGGATTCGAGACTGTCACCAACTCTTACAGCAAATTATAGTAAGGCATTTACTGAAGCTTTTGAATTATTGTCTCGAGTAAGTATTTTTAGATTAATTCTAATTTGTATTTTATAATTAACATATTTTGAAATTAAGAACAGGGCTAATAAGTGCAACTCGTGTGACACAGCTTTTAATGAAACATGTAATCAAATGATAATGTTGATCACAGATGATGATCCTGACAATGTCTTATTCGAAGTTATTCAGAAACATAATCGTATCGTAACTGACAATAGTACTAATATACCAGTTCGAGTATTTACATATATGATGGGTCGTGATATGACTAATACTCCTGAACTGAGACGATTAGCTTGTGAAAATAGAGGTTGACATTGGTTACTATTTATGAATTAGTTAAAGTAGAGATAGGTATGTATTAGACACTAATATCAGCCTTATTCTTGTCTAGGTAGTTTTGCACATGTACATTCAAAGGATGAAGTGCTTGAAAGTGTATTAAAATATATAGCTGTACTAGCAAGACCTTTAGTACTTCAAGCAGAAAAACATCCAGTTACTTGGTCCCATACATTTATGGATATATCTGTAAGTGTTCAGTGTATAGTTTAAAAAAAAAAAAAAATGGTGCAGATTCGTATTGAATAAAACTATTTAAGTTAACGGGAAAGAATTTTGTCAGGATCCATATGTAACAACCGCTTTGCAAAAAACAATGGAATTTAATAAACAGAAAAATGATTTAGCCGCTCACTTGAATGAACAAAAACAACTCCCTAATCAACATAAAATGGATTCAAAATACATTATATTGAATCCCGAGGTATTTCTTTGTGTTTTGACCTGAACCAAAAGTCTACCTTTAAAGTTGATGAGTTTGAATTGCTAGAATGAATATCCCGTTTATTTATTCCTTTAGTTTATTTAAATAAAATACTGTAGATTGTAGAATAACCTTATTGTTAATTATATATAACCTGTATATTTTTACTTTGCCCATATTTTTATTAAAATAATATTTGACTTCGATTAATATTATTATATTTAGTACAAAACAGATATTAATTGTTTAGGCTATCAATGAAGAAGGAGTGTATCAAGAATACAGGCCAATGACTGCAATTTCTATACCTATTTTTAACAAAAAAAGAGATGAATTTAACAAGGTGAAGTTATAATTTTTTTTTAATTTTATTAGTATTTATAAATGAGTAATATCAGTCTTTGTCTATTAACACGACCCTGTCATGCACATGACTGACAATACACCTAGAAATTAGCATATGCAATGTACTCATCAAGGGCATTAATGGCATATTATAAGGCTTAAGTCAATATGACAAAAAAAATGTTGTTATATCTTTATAACTTATAATGATAGGTACTTAATATACTAAACATATTTACAGCATTTCGAGTTTTTTAAATTAAATTGAAAAATAATAATAGTTTATGTGTTGCTAAACCTTATTTTTAGACAAGATTTAAAGGTGATTTACTTGGTGTTGCTGGAACTGATGTACCAATTGCTGAATTTGAAAAACTGGCGCTTCCTTATAAAGTTAGTATATTTTTCTAAATACTCTATTTAACTATCATTATTAATAATTATCTTTTTTTTTTTTTTTTTAGATTGGTGTTAACGGTTATGCATTTGTTGTCACAAATAATGGTTATGTTCTTTTTCATCCAAAGTTAAGACCCGTTGTAAGTTATAACTTATATTTTTGTATATAAATAAATATTTTTAATTTAGTAAAAAACTATTATATGTATACTTAGGAAGAAGGTATTCTTAAAGAAAATTACAACAGTGTAGACCTTACTGAACTAGAATTGTTGGATGATAATAAAGAGGAACCAAGACAGCCACACAGTGACATAGTTTTGGTAATAATGAACAAGAGTATAATATTTATGAGGATGTCGATATAGTTTAACTATAAACATTGTACTTAAAGTAGCTCAGAACAGAAATTGTTAATCACAAACACGGTTCAATGGAAAACTTAAGCATAAAATTTCATTACGATAACATGGTATTTTATATTTATTATATTCTTATTATTTACGAGTACCTACTAATTAATAATTTAATAATATTTATTGATATTATTGCTGCGATTAGAGAAGAGTTGGTTCTGAAGTTCGTAATTACCATTACACAGCTTTGGATCCAAAAATTGAGGGACCATTTACACTTGGATTGGTGCTACCAGCTTCTTATGGAAACAACTGGATTAAAGCAGGCGATGAAATAAATAAGTCCATAGAAAGTGGTAAATATGAAATATTTTTGTATACCTATGTAGGATAATAATTTGATTACATTATTGTTATTTGTTACTAAGTTAAGTAATAACTGTACGTAGTAAATTTTATAATTGATTAAACAATAATAATTACTTAAGCACATAAAATAATGTAAATTCTCAAGAGAAAGTTCAAATTAAAATTATGATGCAAGTCAAGTTTTAAGCAAAAATAAAATACTATGACTTAAATGTAATATAACTAAAAATAAATTAAATAATTTGTGCAGAAAAATGTAGGGTTTTTAATAAAATAATATTATGCTATCTTTAATTGTAAAATAAGTTATTCACAAAAAAAATATTATTTCTTATAGAACATTTTTTTTTTCAGATGAATTATTTGACAAGTATTTCCAAGAAAAGTGGAAAATTCATCCAAGTTGGTAAATAGTTTTAAAAGTATTTATTTACACGTTTTTATTATTTTGCAAGTAGTATAAAATTTATGATAAACTGATAATAATTAATTTTATTTAAAATAGATCAATGCTATATTAGTCTCAGTGCTATTATGAACGCCGTACTATGTATGTCTAGAATTTATTTGTACCCTAGTTTTCTGTATGTGTACAGGAATTGGTACATTATTATACAGAAACAATCCGTGGACACCTTTTCGGTGTAAAAAGAATAAAGTTATCAATTTTTGTGTGTAATAAAATATTCATTCCTACGACCTACATACGAAAAATATATTTTAAATTATATAAACTTATGATGAATTAATATTATAAAATACTTTTAAATCCTATTTTAGCGAAAAATTAAATATTCCTTATACAAATGTTTTCAAAAAAATTTTCCTGCGAAAATAATATATTTTAATTGAGGCTTTTTTTGGAAAAATAGTCTCTATATAAAATAAAAGTTTTGATAATAAGTCAAATAAAAGTTTTCAATACTTTTATTTAGTTCTAATTTGAACGTTGAACGTACAACATATCTCTTTTCTATATCTTACCCCTATCCCCTACCCACTATCTCCCGTCCCTATCACTCACCCCTATCTCCTGTCCCCAACCCCAACCCTATCCCACCCCCACCCCTTATTTCCTACCCCTATTTCCACCTCCAACCCATCTCCGAGTGGTAACGCTCTTTAGGTAACGCTTTTTTTCGGTTATTTGCTATAGCTAATTCCACCCCTTTCCCATACCCACCTCATCTTCAACCCCATTTCTTTTTTGGTAACGCTTTTTTCGTTACCTACGCTCTTTTGGTAACGCTTTTTTCGATTATGTGCCAGAGCTAAGACATGAAAATGTCAAAAGTAAGGCTCCATTTGGTGACAACGTCATAATAATAATTTTCTTAGGAAACATTTATCTTTCTGCCCACTGCTTGGTAACGACCGACGAGAATAGAAATAATTGTATACCTATGTAGGTGTTCATATTATACACATGAAACGTCATTGATCGTTTATTAGAACAATAAAGGTTTATTTTTGTAATCTCAACCAAAGGACCCTTAGAAGTGATATGATTTACAAATATTTTAAGTACAGTTATTTAATATCTGGGTTTCAGGAATAATAATTAAATATTTAAAATTATATTATATAGAATTTTTTTTTTTTTTGATATTTTAAGTGTGCCTTGGCACACCCGGCACAACCCGTAGTTCCGCCTATGTGCCCTGTATATATATATCTATATATATAATCATTCAGTATGATGTTCATAATAAGTCCTCAGTTCCAGTCATTACTCTGTTATAATACATTAGGCATTTTATAATTTTTTAAATTAAAAAAAAAATTGTTTTTGATTTATTTTAAAAAGGGTATATTGTGATTACTTTCACTCCCATAAATGGAATTTTAAAAATCCAGAAGAAAAACTATTACATTTCATGGAAAAAATATTTTCACCTGATTGGGAATGGAGAGAACAGTACCCAGCTTCTGATTTTGAAAACATCTCAATGGATATATTTGACAGAAGTAAGCATATATAAAAATATAATTATTGAATAAATAAATAATTTCTTTTTTACTTAATGTTTAGGTGAATGTGACCGGAAAGCTATAAATATTAATGAGTCATACTGTAATTATAATTTTTACTATAGTATTGTTAGAGATATTTTTTTAAATAGTTGGTTGTTTATGGTTTTTAAAAAAAAATTATAATTCTAGGTGATAAAGAATTAATGCAATTACTATTTTTTGATGCAAAAATTACACATGCATTGTACAACTCTACATGGGTGCCTACATCAACATATGAGTAAGTAAATTAATCAAGATATACTAGCAATTTTAATATTGAGGTAAGAATTTAAAATATAATTTACTGATATACATGGCCTGTAACTTGATGACCCAATTGTTAGCACTTGGCAGTTAGCAACATCTTAAGAAGCCCAAAAATATCAGTGACAGTGAGTGCAAACACACTGTCGCCTTACCCACTCAGCCACTCCTCCTCATTATTCATCTAAGAATTTAATCATAAACATATTGAGTTTTAATAAAAATTAGTTTTGTATTCAAAATGTAAAACTATACTTTAGATGTTTGATTTAATCATATAACAAATTTATAAATCAAGTGTATTCTTCTTATATTAGTTAACATTTGGTTTAAATTTGAGAAATACTAATGTTGATGACCCTTTACAATGAGTTAATAACTATTATGAAAACATAACTGACATATTTATAATATTAATATATACGATTCTATTATAAACCAATTTATAAAATGTTTTGTTATTTCATGGTTTCCAGAAAAGATTATGCTTTGCAATATAAAGTTAGTGTAAGATTTTTAGCAACCCAAGGGGGTTTAAGTAGATGGCAACATATAACTGACTTAGAGGAAAGTGAATTGTATGTATACTTTGTCATAATTTAATATTTTATATAATAAATTTGTGACTTTCTTAATATCAGAGAATTTGGTGATATACATAACCGATCAGTTGAAGAAGTTTGGTACAAACGTCCAGTTCTGTACCGTAATTTAAATCCGCAAGCATTTGTTTTTTCTGTGCCTTTTGATTCTGGTATCTATTTATATAATATTCATGAAGACTTATGTATTTTAATTTGTATAAATTTATTCTAGGTAATAATGAAAAATTAAAAATTACAGCTAGCCATGCTATATTTGTTGAAGACGAAAATAATGAAGCACCGGGTTCAGTAGTTGGTTATGAAATGTTACATAAGGCATTTTATGATAGATTTATTGGTATAACAAATACTACTCCGAAAAATGTAACTATAAATGATTATATATTAAAAAGTTATAATGAAATTTGAACTTGGCTTTATATGTCTAGTGTACGTCCTGTTTACCTTGCACATCTGAGCACCTAGATTGCTATATTATTGATGAAAATGGATATGTTGTTCTGTCAGAAATTCCATCAGATACGGGGAAATTTTTTGCACAGACAGAATTAAAAAGTACTGGTGTTATAATGGAGACGATGATAACAAAAAAAATTTTTAGACGTATCCCTATGTTTGATTATCAAGGATTATGTAGAGAAAAGGAACAAAGCAATAATGCGTCAGCTATTTTATTATCAGTAAGTTTTTTTTAATAATTATCTTTTAGTTAAAGCTTTAGAATTTTGTATTTTCTTAATAGCCATCTCCACGTTTTTCTCTTTCTGTTTTACCAGTTTTTTTAAAAATTTTAAAGTTAATTATATGTTTATAAACTAATAAAGTCAAATCTTTTTAATTATTACTATTTTGAGCTTACAACATTGGTAATTATTTTCTTTATTTTTTATACAGCCATTTTATTTCATGTTGGCAAGTATCAAATGGATTTTATTGAATATTATGTGGCTATTGATAGAAGGCAATTTTGTGCATGTATGGTCACTGAATGAAGGTAACTGTCAAAACTAATTTAAACCTTTTTTAATTATTAAAAATAATTTATATCTTTTCAGCCAACATAGATGAATCTATAAGAGTTATAACAGAAAAATATAAGAACAGTGCTTGCGATAAAAAAGCTGACTTATTTATGTTACAACATGAACATTTAAGTGCTGAAGGGTTTGATGCACCACCACCTGCTGGTTCTACTATAAGGTTTGTTTTCTGTTTTTATACTATATATCAAATAACAGAACGGTTTTTAAAAGCTATTAAATTCAAATAAATTTTTTTTTTTATAGTGCTACACAGGCCGCCATTATGGCCTTTTGCACACTTCTACGAAATTTCTCCATCCATTCCGGTCCATTACATCATCTAATCGCTTTGACTCGTCGGAATTTGATATATCCTAAAAAGCATAATTTTGTTTTTTTATGACCTTAGTTTGGTTTGAATACTCTTGATCTACAAAAGACAAGAATTGCCATCCTGGGGAAGTGGATACGGTGTGGTGGTTTCCCATTGCTTTCTGCACCAGTCGGGTGGCCATTTTTCTCTCCAAACAGTTGCCCATCCTCCCAAACAAACATATAATAAATTAAAATAAAAATGTTTCAAATTAATACAAATGTTATTTTATTATTTTTTCAGCCCTTTTTTTGTGAAAAGAATAGCACATTCAAACTTGCTCCTTGTTGTAGTAGAGAACGCAGAAAGTAGTCAGAGCCACTTGAGTGTTACCCCAAACAAAGTTGATTACAATATAACGAGTGCTACTGATCACAGCTGTAATAAACTAAATATAAATAATTTTTGCAGGCGAAAATTAGGGGGCTGCTATAATAGTCATCCTGAGGTATGTTAAATTAACACACCATTAATATACGTGGAATGTGTGATTATAAAAAATTTAATTTTTTTTAATTTGAATAATTTATCATAACAAAGTTGCAACTTTTTTTGTAGTTGGATTATAGTATTTTAATTTCTCTTCGTTTTTGAATAGTCATATCATATACATATATTATATAATATGACTATAAAAGAGCCTTAAAATTGTTAGTTAAATGATATAACTAACAATTACTAATAACATGGTGGTTCTTATTTTTTTAGAAAATTAACGCCTTCCAAAAAGGCTACAAATTTTAAAAAAAATATATATATAAATAATTTTTTTGATTTTTATCTATCCCTTCGTTTATTTTAACAAGAACTTTTACATAAGACATAGCAACCGCCGACCTAAATTACTTTTCAAGCAGATTGACAACCAAATCTCAACAATATATCAAAATATTCCTCATTTAAAAATGTACGTCCAAATGTTAATGAATTTTAGATTATAGAATAAATTAAAAAGTTGTCCTAAATACACATAGCTGCTATATGTGTATTGAGATTCGGCTGTCAATCCACTCGAAAGGTATTTTATGCCGGCATTGGCGAATATAAAAATCCAAAAAAAATTGACAGAAACATGTTATCACTATTCAAAGCATTTTTAGGGATGTTGAATAAAAAAAAAAATAAGAACTACCCTAATATATAAATATATATTATACCGTGTCTAAAAAAAAAGTTGTTTTACCCCCACAGTTGATAGTAGCGTATTCATATTATGAGAAATTCCTAAAATATCAGATCCTAGCTTTTAAGCTAAATTTAGGATTCAGTTAGATTTAACTAATTACGTCCTCTTTTTTTTTTTTTTTTTTATGTATTTGATTTAAATGTAAAATTTTAATTTTTCACTTTAAAATATTCAATATGTTTAAAATTTTAAATATATTCTAAAAGTTGAAATATAAAACTTCACAATTACTCTTGATACTTACCTTAAAAATTGTTTTTATTAAGTTACTACCTATTCAATTTGGTAAAACTGATAACTTGCTAAAAAAAATGTTATCACAATGTATCAAAAGAAGGATTTTCAAATGTCATATTATAGCTTTATGTATCTTTTTTAAAATTGAAAAATGTTGGTAAGTTTTCAGGTTACACTTAATTTAAGGAAAAACCAAATTTTCCCATTTTAGTCAAATGCAAAAAAAAACATAATGAAGTACTTAGAGTCAAGCAAGAGATCTGAATGTTTTGGGATTTTCTATTGTAATATGCTACTATTTTTTAAGAGTATTACATAAAAAAAAAACAAAATACAATTTAAAAAAAAAAAACTTATATAGATTTTATATCATATGCATTTATTTTCAGGAACCCAATATTAAGTATTGTTCAGGGTGTTATATAGCAAAACCAACCATATGGACTTTATTATGCTTAAGGTTTTTTTTTATAATACATTTTTAATAGAAATACATTTTTATAAAACATTTTAACATAGTATACATGTAATGAAATTGTATTTATTAAAGTGAGAATCTATGATATATTATTATTTTTACATTTTGTTACATAATGTTGTCTAATATAGTACTATTCAGTTATAACATAAGTAAAACTTACAATTTTCAAGGAATTTCACTGGACAAAAAGCTATCTAAAGTAGTATTTCCACTTGATGGTTGCAGTTTTTTTTTAAAATTGGATACTAATTTTCTTTTTTTTAATAAAGGTTTCTGACGGTTAGGAAATATATCTGGTTTTGACCGACCCCCTAGACCATCGTATATTTCCTCATCAGAACTACTTGAAGGTGCTATAGTCTTAGAAACATAATTTGCAACTACAGATTTTGTTGTAAGAGGAGGCCTCATAAACCCACTTGGTCGACGAGGACTTTTAGGCATAAATGTATTTACCTAAAAAACAATATAATTACCAAATAAAAATTGTTGAATGTTTAATAAATTAAAACACAGTACTTACATTTTGTGGTAAGTCATCAGACTGATTATATAAATTTTGAGGTTTTAGTTGTCCTTTTGGCTGTATTGAGCAAGAGGTAGAATTTTGTGGAGAATGTAAAGAATTTACATCCTAAAAGTAAAATTAAAATATAATACTTTTCAAAAAAAAAAAAAAAAAAAGAGTAATGTATAAAATTAAACCTCATTTTGTAGTTTATCAGCGACAGGTGTAATTGTAATTTCGGGTGCTGGACTTTCATGGATAAACCGTCTTCGTAATTCTGTTCTTCTAGGAGTTTCTCCATTATGTATCATAGATTCTAAATGTCCACATTTTTTTTGAAGCCTAGTTATTTCAGCTTCGAGATCAGTAACTTCCGATTTTAATTTGCTAAAATCAACAAAGTTAGAAAGTTAGAGAAGTTAGAAAGCTTGAATTTTGTAATTATATTTTCATGATGTTTTTCAATGAAACAATTATATGAGCAAAAAAAGTTACTCATTAAATCATTATTTTTTTATTTAAGGATAAAAAATTGTATTAAAGAGTAATTGTTAAAAAGTAAATAGCACTGAAAGCGCTGAAAGTGCATGGTTTAGAATTTTCGATTTTAAGGAAACTGACTTTTAAAAAAGTCATGGTTTAGAGAATAATAATAGAAAAACGTATGTTATATGTACGTATTTAGTGTACAATACAATTGTATTATATTAAATTAAGTTTCATATTTTTGGATATGTCAATTAGAAAGATCTTAATGATTTTTCAGTTACTAGGTTGAATGGAAACTAATTTTTAGTTAAAACTGTTAACCGAAATGATGACAGTCATGGTTTTTACACCAATTAAAAACTATAATTATTTAAAGAATATACAATATTGGATTTTACGATATTAGATGGAACTTTAAAATCTTGCGCTAAAACTTAACATTTGACATACATGACTTTCTAATAAGTGCGTAAATACATTTTTGATTAATTTTTTGAAGTATTAGCATTTAAAGTTTAGGTGAGGAACGAAATATGGTTGAGTAGTGTAATAGTGATATAAATAACATTCAAGCTCATCTTATCCTACTTTTGAATGCTAATAACTCAAAAAGTATTAATTAAAATCCAGTTAGGTAAAATAAATTTTTAATAACCATTAGCCTCTCATTTAATTTCAACACTTTTGTATTATAATTATATGTTGAAATTATATCAATAATCATTAACTAATTTTAAGTAACTTAAATATTTATTAAAATTTAACATTAGTATACATACTCCATTACTCTTTCATTCATTGACTCCTTAGAGTTGATTTCATAGAATTGTTTTTTTAGAGTCATATACTTAGTTTGCCTTTGTAGTAACTTATTTTCTAAGTCTCTATTACTTTCTTTTAATGTTAGAATTTCTCTAAAAAATAAACAAAACCAATGAACTTTAATCATAGTTTATACAATACATATTTTGAAGAAAATGGTCTTTTGATATTGAGTTAAAGATAGTTAAAACAATTTTATTGACACCAAATGATGCAACATTCCAGACTACAACAGTTATTTACAATTTGACGTTTTTTTTTCTAATTGTAAACATAATAATGTTAATCTTTCTTTTATTTACATGTTTCTTGAATGATTAGTTTCTATAAGTTTTTCTTCCCCATTCACCACTAGTTTCATCTTGGATTGTTTCAAATATTTTCCTTTCAAAATTAATAATTTCTTCTCATCTAATTTTCTTATCGGCTGGGTCTCAGCTCCATAAAGTATTATCAGATGTATTATATTTATTCTGCGACTTTTCCATCAAGAAAATATTGCCTGCATACGATAACACTCTTGTAGCATTTTGATTAGTTTTATACCTTTTTTCTGCTTACCAATACCCATCTCCCTTACCACATTTTCTAGTACTAAATTTAATAGAATTAATTAAGACAGTCTGTTACATATCCTATTTAAATTTACAAAAGTAGCTCAATCAAATTGAACATTAACATCACATATCATTTAATGTCTAAAATTCATAATCGATTTTTCACGTTTGAAGTATTTTCTGTTAAAGCATTACAAACCACTTTAAATAAACTATTTAAAGTAGTTTAAATTAATAGCAAATTCCATTTTGTCTTATAAGAGTTGTAATTTATATAATAAAGGTTGAAAAAATATAAATTTATTTTACCTTTTAAATGTGGTTATAAGTAAGCATAATGTTTGAATATCAGTTTTTTGCTTCAATAAACATACTGCTTCCTGAGAATCTGCAGGCGTTCCATACAAAACACTGTTAATGCTAAAAAAATGTTAACATATTAATTATAATTATAATCAATAAACAAATATATATACTGCATCAGATAAACTATTTTTATCTTAATTTTGTTATAATTTAAATTTAAATAGTCATACAAGTCAAAAGGAAAACAATTTAATTTGTATCGTTTAACTGTTCTTTAACCACACCACCTATCTACCAAATTAGAAAAAAATATGCAGACTCGATTAATTTGATTGAAATATAAATTCTATAATAATTTATTTATTTTATTTTTTATTAATTGCTTTTGTAATTACACACTATATGATACAAAAAATAAAAAAATACATTTAACATTTACATATATTTAAATAAGGAATCCAGCACTTAAAATAAATGAAATAATGGAAAAAATAATGATAGGAGAGTGAGAAATAAGAAGTTGGATATCCGGATTAGAAATATAACCCATGGAGGACAGAAGATAAAAAAGTAAATTACGACTGGAGAGGAGAGAGGGACAGTTAAAAAGGATATTTGAAATTTCACAATTCATCTCAGATAGGTGCAAAGGATAAAGAGGGGAAGAATTGAGTGAGAGACGATAGGAATGGGAGGGTAATTAATTTATGGTTTGTTTTTTTTAAAAGGTATTAACTGAGTGTTTACATTCATAATAATACAATGATAAAACTAGTTTTTTCCAAGATGTGACAGCTTAAATATAGTCACACTACCCGATTTCACCGAAATCAAACGTTTTTGTTCAGAACTTATAGTTAAATTTTTAAGATATTTATTACAACTGTATATTGTAAAAATGAATGTAAGTAGCTTATTATTTTCTAACCTATACCATTGAATAATAAATAAATACTGTAATGTTATTAATATTAAACATACGATTCAAATTTTTCCAATTCCTTCCTTAAATCATCAGCTTCCAATTTATAGCATGTAGATTTTTTACATTCTGCTTTTAAAAACCGAATGTTTTCTTGTAGACTGGAAACTACTGTTTGGTGACTTCTCACTTTGTCTTCAACATCTTTTATATGTTTTCTATGTGTAAAAATATACTACAAATTTACAAACATTACAAATAAAAATAAAAAAAATGTAATATTACTTTAACGTTGCCAACTGTTCTTTTTCTTTCTTGCTATCTTGTCTTAAATTTTTTAGTTCTTGTTCCTTTACAGTTAATGTAAAAGAGAGTGATTGCACTTGATGTGTCAATGTAGATACATCTTCTTTAATACTTAGATTCGAGTTATTGTGGAAGTATAGTTTTATCACTTGCTTTTCTGAAACTCTAGAGCGACAATGTGGACATGTTTGTGCTCTTAAATAAAAAGAATATTAGTTTTTGAATAATTTGAATTTAGTTTTTAGAATATTGAAAATACAATAATTAATGTATAAACTAATTTTAAAAATATCAAACTGAAACAAATAATATCATAGTACCTTTGAAGCCATTGCATGAGACATTGATGATGAAAAATGTGACCACAAGGAGTGGAATGAACAGTTTCTGGATGAATCCCAGTGAAAACATCACCACATATAGAACATGAAGCTAACATAATGACCTATGTAAAAAAATCTGTATTATTATTACAGGCGTACATACTGTATATTGTGCAAGTACTTTCGGTTTTATGTTAATCTTATTTATAACTTGTTACCATGATTTTAAAATAATACAAAAATATGTTTGGAGAAAAATAGATAACAAATGGTCATAAAAACCAAATTTATTTTTAGTTTTAATGCTCAACTGTGTAATGATATTAGCCTTACAATGATGCATTTAATTTTTTTAATTTAAATTAAATTGTTGTGTAGTCCGCGATAACTAAATAACCACTGGAATATCATGGAATAAAAGTCTATGGATCAGAATTTATAGACCTAAGGTATTTTATATCGGCAAACATTTAAAAACATACCGCCTCTCCTTAAAATTGAAAAAACGCCTTAAAAATATACTTATTTTTCTACTTTAAAATAAAGCACTCTACACTGTCAAAATAGTTCCAGATTAAATGTTATTCATAAAATATTAAACAATTTTAAAAATCTTTAGAAAATGTATGGAATTTAAATTTACTCAAGCCGTGTAATCAATGACATCATGTGTTGATAACTTTTAAAATTGTTTAAATAGTGAAATAGCCTTTTAAAAGGCATTATTTGGATCATGTACATCATAATTTTTTTTAATTGGTTTAATATTGTTTAAATAAGAGCAGTTTTAATCTTAAACATGGGACTATCCAAGCTGCAATTAGAAAACCATAAACTTAGCAGTTTTTCAAACTCCGTAGACATTTCTTTATAAAAATGCACTTGGTCTTAAATTTATAAATTATTTTGGAAATAATTCATAAGCATTTTCTTTATTATAAATAAATTATGTTGTTATTTGTTTGTATTTATAATCAAAATAATATTCAATACCATAAATCAGTTAGCTATAAAATTTGAACAGGTGTCCAGTAAGATACATTTTAAGACATAATAATGAAACAAGTAATGCATGATTTAATATTATATTTTTTCTGATGTATATATTTATAAATTGCTCTAACTTTATTAATGAAAGGTTTTTGTTTTTATAAGTCTTAAACTAAATGAAATTATAGTTATTAAACTTTTGATAAATTATAGTATCTATAAAATATATAGTTAAACATAGCAAAATAATTAATATCGTATGAAGTTAAATGTATGTATTAAATGCAATAGGTATATGGCATACTCGGGAATGAAATTGATGGGCAGACCACAACTATACGCACTAATAATGTGATGCCATAAATAAATGTTAAATATTTTGTAATAAAAATAAGTGCAGTTTTTTATTATAGTCACTTTTTACTATGTTTACAAAATAATATATGCACCTATTAAATAAAGAACTTCGGAATTTATAAATTATTATTATTATGATTTACGAATACTTATTGTATGATGTATCATAATTCATATCACATTTCACATAACAACAGTCAACGTTAATCAGTAATCACATACCCTTGCAGTGTTGCTGCATATAAATTTGTAGAATACATTTTTTTTTATCATTACATAGGTAAAAATGACCCGGTCATAACTCTAGGACATTAATATATTAATATAAATAGATGGATATATTTTATATATATATTTATTATATTATTATGTTTTATAAATTATAACTGAACATGTTATCTATAAGGTTTTTATGTAGTACCTAATAATGTGAGGAATGAGGACAAATTCTGTATTTCCTGTGTAGAATTTATTGACGACTTCGGATACCTGTATTGATCACTGTTATTGGTAAGCTACATTGCGGTTATAGGAAAAAATCCCCAGATAAAAAGTTCGTAAGAATGTAAATTATAAATCTAAGGAGGTAATATTAAAAAGTTACACAAAAAAAATAAATCTAAGTTTATAAAATTAAATTCTTTAACTCTAATAAATATTACTATAGATGAAATATAATACAAGTATATTTAATCTATGATTTACCAATAAGTACAGTCAATTATACTTAACAATATTACATACATTAGGTAATATTTTTTTTCCCGGGAAAATTATTCTCCTGCGAATTTATTTCCAAGGATGTTCTTTTTGTGCTAAATTTTACCTTCTATAGTATGACAGTATTCCTTGACATACAACTTACAAGTATTCATCATTATAGTACGCACTTGATACATTAAAATTTTAAATCTTAACGATATTTATTTTTAAGTTAATGTTTTTATACTTTTAATTTCATATATATATATATATATATGTTATGTGACGCATTATAATGAACACAATTTTAAGTAGGTAAAACATTAACAAATTAAATAATATTAGTTTTTATTATTGTTTTGTTTTCCATTATTTTCGTCACGTTTGACAAACTGTACGTCGAACTGTGATAGGGGATTTGTCGGTGTTGTTTGTTGATAAAAATGTACAGAGTACAATTTAGCCGTCCACTTTTTCGGTTGATAATTGATATTTGTTTACGCCGTGAGCCGTCGCCTTTCATACCTCATACTAATATAGTTGTTTGTTATACGCGAACGTCGAATTGCTAATTTTTATCCGTTTCCATCGGACCGAACGTTAAGTAAGTTCTTGAATATATAATAATTTTAAATTAAAAAAAAAAAACGGGTTTTGTTTTACTCTTAGTTATTGGCTTATAATTTCGTATGGATGAGAAAACGACCGTTTTAAATTTCAGACTATGAACATCTTTCATTTAGTAATTTTAAACGTTTTTGTTAGGAAATTGTCTATAATTCTTATATTGACTTTCAAAAGTTGTATTTATTATATTATTATTTTTTAAATTGTATTAAAAACTTCAGCCATTCAATCATTAAATTATGTTGAAGCATTAAGAATATTTTTAATTAACCACTAACTCATAACATAATTTAATTTTAAAATGTATTAATTGCATGTTTAATTAGATATCTTAAATATTATTTTTTAGGACTAGTTTTTTGAGTCAATTATATTTGATATTTTTCCTAGAAGAATAAGTACTTTTTTTGATATGTAGTCATTTAGGGTGTAATTTTATTTATTGTTATTTAGTATTATATTTTTATACAAAAATTTGATAAATTAAGTTGTTTGTGAAAATTAAAATGTTAATATATTTTTAAGAAATATAAATATGACTGAGAGACAGTATAGGTTACATGAGTGTATAGTTGTAAAATTTATATAAATTCTTAGGCAGTATTTTACCATTTAACTGCTTTTTTTTCAATAGAATTAAAAAACTGACTTATTTATTTAATATTTAGTTATAAATACCTTAAGATAAGGTATTTTAAGATTCAATCTATCCTTTACCATTTTTTAAATCTTTATTTAATTATCATAATATATATGATTTATAATCATGTCTTTTAGATTTCAGCAAAATGGCAGATTTAGATGATCAGTTATTGGAAACTGGCATTGATTTATCATCAGAAGAACAAAATGCTCAAATTAATAGCGAAAACAATATAACATTTGATTTGATTGAAAATGGTCAGTCAAACAATGCAGATTCTCAAACGTCTGCTGATTCTGTATGTATATATACACTTATGTATTTAAATTCTATTTTAATAGTAAAATTTATATATTTTCTTAATAAGGACTTGGAAGTTATTAGAGCACGTGTACGTGAGATGGAAGAAGAAGCAGAGAAATTAAAAAAGCTGCAGTCGCAAGTTGATCAGGAAATGTCAAATACACCAGTTCTTTCCGCTACTAATTCTACAAAAACAAGTAAATAACACTGCTATATGAAAAATAAAGTGATATTTTATTGTTTATCGTGAATTAGCTGTTTCATAGTTTTAAAATAATTATAATCCTTATAATGTAATCATAGATTAAATATACTATAGCTAGACAATGCCAATGTGACAACTGGTGACACTATTACAAATCCATATCTGGATTTCACTTCCCTAAACCTATTAATTAAGATAGAAAAAGGTGTATGAAATTCTTATATATCTCTATATTATATTTAATCTATTCTTTGATAAATATATCAGCCTTTAAATAAATATATTTAGAATTGAGGTAATAAAGTACTCTACAAATAAATGTTATTTTCCAAGATCCTCAAAAGCTCTGCAATTCACTTTATAGTTATTTTGCTTTTCATGTTTGAGGTATAATATCTTAAACAGATATCCACATGTGTAGCTAAAAACAAACATATGCTGACACTTACTAAATCTGTTTAACAGTTTAATTATAAAACATAAACATAATGGAAAAGCACTTAATTCTTACTAAATAAGTATTAATATATTTTGTATTAAATTACATTTACAATTACTATATCCTCCAAAGCTCTGCAATTCACTTTATAGTTATTTTGCTTTTCACGTTTGAGGTATAATATCTTAAACAGATATCCACATGTGTAGCTAAAAACAAACCTATGCTGACACTTACTAAATCTGTTTAACAGTTTAATTATAAAACATAAACATAATGGAAAAGCACTTAATTTTTACTAAATAAGTATTTATATATTTTGTATTAAATTACATTTACAATTACTATATCCTCAAAAGCTCTGCAATTCACTTTATAGTTATTTTGCTTTTCACGTTTGAGGTATAATATCTTAAACAGATATCCACATGTGTAGCTAAAAACAAACCTATGCTGACACTTACTAAATCTGTTTAACAGTTTAATTATAAAACATAAACATAATGGAAAATCACTTAATTTTTACTAAATAAGTATTTATATATTTTGTATTAAATTACATTTACAATTACTATATCCTCAAAAGCTCTGCAATTCACTTTATAGTTATTTTGCTTTTCATGTTTGAGGTATAATATCTTTAACAGATATCCACATGTGTAGCTAAATATAAACCTATGCTGATACTTACTAAATCTGTTGTATATCAATAGAACATAATAATTGAACATTTTTAGACGTAAAAACTACTTCATTCTCTACTTGCTTTTTAGTGTTACTAAGTACAAATATTTTTTTTTACAAGCTGTTATATCGGTAGTTGAGAGCCACAAGCTGATATGAGCAATAAATGCTATTTTGAGGTTTTACATGTTATCAGCTTTTGGTCTCAACTACAGATGTATACATTTATAGCTCTTAGATAATTCATTAAAAATATGTTGATGATGTAATTAATTTTTTTATAAGAGGCTAATATTTAAGTTGTTATATTTAGGTGCTACCTACAATTTATCAGAACAAGAAAAAGCTGAAGCTGATGCTAGATCTGTTTATGTTGGAAACGTATGCATATATTATTATATTTTATAATTTTAATATTGAACTGCAATATTTGTTTATTATTGGAACTTTAGGTAGATTATGCAGCTACAGCAGAAGAATTGGAAGCACATTTCCACGGCTGTGGATCTATTAACCGAGTTACAATATTATGTAACAAATTTGATGGTCATCCGAAAGGATTCGCATACATAGAATTCGCTGATATGGATTCTGTTAACACTGCTATGGCAATGGACGACTCTCTTTTTAGGGGGCGTCAAATTAAAGTAAAGCTAAAATATTTTATATTACATAATATCAATCTATTATTTATTTTGACAAATTTACTAAGGTGAATCCAAAGAGAACTAACAAACCTGGTATTAGTACAACTAATCGTCCCATAGCATCCAGAGGTAGAGGTATGTACCGAGGACGACCAATGTCACGTGGTAGCGCACCAACTGGATTCTATGGTGGCTATCGGCCAATACGTAGGCCAAGGTATGTAATCCTAAATAATGGCATTATTTCTTAATAATATTTTAATTATACTCATTGGTCAAGTATAAATACCAATCAATTAATATAAAATGCCTAAGTAATAAAATAACTATTAACGTTTATAATTTGATGCTTGTAGCTGAAAATGTATTATGGGCATTAGGGTGGTCCTTATTTTTCAATGTTGAAAACTTTCGGTATTAGTTATGTATAAAAATAAAGTATATAAAATTTCATGTGGATTGGTTGAGTTTGACCTGTGTCCTCAAAGTTTAAAATAATCTTTTTTTTTTATTTAAAAAAAAGTTTTTTAACAATTGTATATTACTATTGTTATTGTTTAATATGTATTACACATAAAAAAATATATATTTATTCCATTATAGGGATTTTATTACTATTTGAAAATCGTTTTCGGTACTGTGTGTCACAACTTGAAGTGTAAACGGTTTTTATTCTTCATTTTTTAAGTCTATACAGTTAAAATCTTCCCAGTATCATTTACAACTTTTGAAATGCGAACTATTTTAAGTCCTTGTTTATATTCTCTATTATTTTCTCAGAAAAAAGGTGGTAACTCAATAAAACTAAAATTTATATTTAATTGTTAAAACAATTTTGTGTTTTACGCGAAATAAATTCTTCTATATTTTTTACCTAAAATATTTGGTACTTCATCGACTTTTAAGTTCAATCTCTTTTTCTTATTGTCATAATCTACATCTTCGTTTATATTTGCATCTTCAATATTTCTTAATGCTTGTGTTATTTTAGATTTTGTGTAATTAGATATACTGTTGTCAAAAAACTTTTTGTTGATTTTTCCATATTCATAAAGATCGCGTAAAAATCCTCACAGGGAAAAAAATGAGCTTTTGGAGCATTAAACTTTAACATAAAGGCGAAGAATAAAAACATATCAATTATTGACTGGTATTCTCTTTTGTTTAGCTTAAACTCTTGACGAAAAATATGTATTTTTAAAGAATAAAGGGCTTTGATATCCAACTGGCATGATGAATTGGCTCTGGTGTTTAAAATGATAATCGTCTAGGTGGAGTTACATTTAAAAAAAATTCATTGAGTACAAGTAATCTTCTCTACAGTGAATTTTATTCAACAACCATTTTAATATGGCAATGCAATGAAGATTATTTCTGTTTGGTGCATGGGCTTTTCCCCAAAATATTATCATTTCATTTATTACTAAAGAAGCACTTTGCCTTAAATTTAGTGTTTCACTTATCTAAGATTATAGAATAACAGTTTTAACACATATATTTGAAAGTAACTTACTTCTAATATTTATATTTAAATCATTGCTAATTAAAAATATTTTCATTTGATCCCGAAATTCATAAGTTGACAGTTTACGTGTATTCTGTGGCAACAAAAAATCAACGACTGAATAACTAAACTCATCATTTACCAAGGTGTAATAAAAGGTAAAATAGGTCTATCTGCTATCAAAGGTAATTAATTTAAGTAATAAAAGAGAAAAGTAACAGATTCTAGGCGTGAAAATAACCTAACATTTAGATTTTGATCGAACCAACCAATCACAATTGATGTACTTATATTATTTAACAAGCACTACATTTTAATCATTAATAATAAATTCAAATGATAAATTAATTCATTCGATAAACTTATACTTCATAGTAACTAAATATAATATGATCATTTGAAGAAAAACACGATTTCAAACAAGTGCTATGGGCATGTGTTAAACTCAGCCAATCAAAATGAAATGTTGTATACTTTATTTTTATACATATTGGAACTAATTGTATTTTGTATGTAATTGGATCGACTTAAAAATATGTAAAAAAAAATCACCTACATATAGTCCTATGTCTACAACCTGTATGCATTCTTTAAAATAATGCTTAAATTAAAAAAACAAATCTCAAAATTTCTTTGTTTAAGCTTTGCAAACCCAATTGCCTATTAATAGTAAAATCCTAAATCTATATAGTAAATTTTAGTGATGCTAATAACGAAATATAATGCTTATAATATTGTTGGATCTCCAATAAAATTGAAAACTATCAATAAATACGTTTACATTAATTTTTCAGAGGAGGTTACTCCAGGCGAGCAATGTATTATCCATACTGACGTTCATAATAAAGCCATCAGTACATTTTTTGATAAATAAGTCAAAATAAATTTAACAAGTTAAAAACAAGGAAGACTTAGCTTTAGTAAAATAAGTGTTTGACCTTTGTACATAAACATATATGACAAATTATTACATAGTCTAACAGACTATTGGGAATGTATTAGCTTACATTTATTTAATTATTAATTATTTTTTATTACTAAAAATTGGACATAATGATGTTATAATATACATGTGTGTGTATATATAAATATATATATATATATGCGTGGGTGTTATTCAAATATATTAATAGCCTGTAATAACTAATTTGAATAAAATATTGTATACATCACCTTTGCGATGCTAATTGCAAATTTATGTATTGGTACATTTTGCATTTTCTAACAGATATTATTTCATTGTACAATTTTAAATAATATATTTCATAAGAATTTATAATTAAGAAAAACACATTTTTTGGTATAAGTTTTATTATACCTAACTATTTTTTTAATTATTTTATTTAGCACTTTTTTCTAAATTTATAATGGTTGAATGTGTTTAAAAAAAAATTAAAATGTACGTGTATGAAGAGTATATATTTATATAATGCTTACAATTTATTATATAATTAATATATGAATTGGTTAGTGTATTATTAGAATTAATTATTTAATTTAAAAAAATGAGTAAAAAATGAAAAATAATATAACAAAATAAAATACAAAAACAGAAAAGTATATACCAAATGCCAGTGATGAAAAGAAAACAAAATTACTCAATAAAACACATACTTAAAACTAAAACTGTGTTTTTTTTACAACTCCTCTTTAATTCCTATAGTTATAAAATTATTTTAAAATAGTTTATTACTGTATAGAAGTATCAAAACTCAAAAGTATAGTCCAGAGTAATAATGATCATTGATGTTTTGGAATTTGGACTTGCAGAACAAATATAATTTTTTAAGTGGCTAAATTAATAAAAAAAGTAATACCTTAATCAATAATACCCAATTTCTATACATTGTATAAAAGATTTTTCATACAATATCCGAAAAGATGAATTTTATAAATGATGACAGTTTCGCTAATTTTATGATTAATTTGCTTTGTGTTCTATAATGGTACTTATTAGTGACATATTAGTGCAATAATTCACTCTTACTTTTTAAAAGCGTCTGTCTAAACTTTATAATCAAAAAAATTAATTTAAAATCATTTTTTTCTCAAAAATAATTATTAAAATAATGATCTAAGTGAAAATTCTCTTATTAAATACTCTAACTTGGTTATTGTATTTACCAATAAATGCGAGTACAATTTAAAATATGTAATTTAACAATGTTAAAAAAATTTTAGTCATAGTATCTAATAGTGATTAGCACATGTTCTTAATTTTCTATTGGTTAATTAAATTATAGTTATGATTAAAATATCAGAATTCTTATGATGTTTAATTTATCTTAATTTTCAAACTTTATAAAAATTGATAGGTGTACTTCGTTATTTTAATTATTTTTCTATCAATTATAAAATAAAATAATTGTAGTACGTTTGTACTAACAATTATTTTTATTCTTAAATTGAATATTGCTCGCATTTCATTAATTTTACAAAGAATTTCCAACGGTGTTTTGTGATTATGTTATGCTATTGTCTTAAAGTAATCTAATGATGATTTAAAAAATTCAATTTTAATAAGTTAAATAAGATATTGTGTTTGGCAGGATTCTGAAATAACTATGCACTTTTATTTTAAAAAGTTCTTGTTCTAACTTTTACTTTTTTTTGGAACAGTTTATGCAAGAACTTTTTTGTTAGACTTTTTATTATTTAGTTATTTAAAGAACATTTACGTCAGAACTTTTATAGTAAAATTTCTTTCGAGAACTTTATCGTAAGAACATTTAAAATAAAAGTTCTTCCAAGAACTTTTTGGCCAGGACTTTTATGTAGAAGTTTTTCGCTATAAGATGTTCCCATTTAAATGTATGTATGCATTTATTCAACCTATTTCCAAAAGATACGCTTATATTTTTTAACTCGTAGATGCAGATGCTGGATTGAAAAGTTCAGTGGTTCTTGATATATTTGCATATGTGAATACCAACTTATATTTGAAATGTTCTAGAAGGTTCTTTTATTAACAGAACTTGTATATAACAGTTTTGGCGAGAACTTTTATCAAAAAGTTCTTTTGATATGGGTTCTTATGGAACTTTTTTTTTGAAAAGTTATTTTGATAAAAGTTTTTGTGAAACAGTTAAACTGGAACTGTTTGAAAAAGTTCAATAACTATTTTGTACCCTGGATCGTGAACATTATAACGATCACAATTTATTGTTCAACTCACCATTTGGGTAAAACATCAAGATAATATGTACACATAATTAATTTTATTATGCTGCTTATTGGCAAGTGTGTAGATTTATAATAGGCTATATTTGAGGAAACTTTTTTTCCCCACACAAACACAAAACCTAAGTATAGGCTAATTAATTACAATGATAATATTTTCAACAAAATTGTAAATTTTACCTACAATAACATAAAATATATTACTGTGGAGTAATTTTTTACTTTAGATCAGGTAAGTGTTAGGTCTTACAAACGGAATATTTTGATGTTTTTTTTTTTAATTATTTTACAAATATTTCTGTTATTTAAATTCCAAAAATTTGACAGGATTTTTTATTAGGGGGCCAAAAATTGCGGTTAAAATTATACGAATGTGGATAGTATAGCAAGTTAGGTTTGAATAATTTTCTTATAGTCAGTTCAGTAGTTATTGGTCATTTTCAACTAAAATAACAATAATATTCAGTCTTTTAGCTTTTAATTTTATTAATATTTGAACACGTATCGTTAATTCCGTTTAAATTTCATCCCTAAAAGCTCAATAGCTATATAACATAAAAGTTTTATTAGGTTATAATATGATAAAACCTAAATAGTTATTAATAATCATTGCCAGTGCAATCAGTTTGTGCAGTCAATTGTTTGAAGATTTTGCTTCCTCGCCGATTTTAAAGAGGCGTTTAAAGAATCCATCTACACAGTATACAATACCAATTAAGGTCACTGCCAACATTCACAAGTGGTAGACGCCTACGCTATTGATTCTGTATAACGATTCCAAAGCATGGTAGTGTTTTTTTATTTCTTTATTAACATTTGACACCAAACTTAAACTTGTCCGCTAATTCATCAGTTCGGAATTATTTTAGCTTAGAACCGACCAACTAACTAAATCTATGTTATGCATATACATTTTTAATTTAGGTAGTTAAAATCGCATCATTAACTCAATTGAAGACCTGTAGTTATTGTTCAAATTTAAATTATATTGTATCTATTTCCATTTACATGAAAACACATTATATTTTTTACTTCTGACTCTTCCATGTAAAATCATTACCCTGTAAAAAACTATAAATAAATTATTACTATAGGCGTAAAGATAACGATGTAACAGACCATTAAACAATTAAGATTGGAGTAAATACAGTCGATAAATTGTATTTTAATATTATTATTTGTTGTAAATTATCCTTTGTGTTACGGTTAATAAAATAACATCATCTGACCTATGATCACTCGTGTATTATATATTTTAAAGGTAAATAAGTCAAACATTTGCTTGAACTAATACATAAACTATTTTGGCGAATGTCTAATAAGGAAGTAAACAAATAGCAATATAAAATAAAAGGCTCATATGTTTCGCTAAAGTAGGATTTATACCACCTGTGAATTCAAAAGGAAACTCAACTTATTAATAATTGTATTCACTATTATAGTACCTACCTACTAATTGGCCTTTTTTTTTAAATACAAATTTTTATCTCAAGACAAATATAATTGAAACGTAGCCCGTACCCAGGTATTGATTAACTAATTTAGGTGTTCTTACATCCACTGACCTGTAGAACAGTGAACACAATAACAATACAAAATCGAATATCTGTTTGTATGAAAAACGGTCACTGAACATCAATATTCAGTGAGACGGGGGCCCAGAAAAATGAAATAAAAAAAATAACCTTTGCATTTTATATTTTAACTAATTCCATAGGTATTTAGGTAGATATTCAATTTGTTTTATTAACATTCTACAATCTACATTTCTTTTTGTTGTTTATCTTTCTTATTACGGTTTTTATGATTTATCATTAAAGTTTAATAGGCATGTATTTAGTAAATAAATAAATATTTAAACCCTTAACGATCCAAGTAATACACTCTATGCCTACCTACACGTATTTCGGCAACAATGATGTCATCTTCAGCGCAAACGAAAGACACGACTGAGTGTACTATTTTTATGGTGAAGAGTTTAAATATTAATTTCTTAACTATATATATATAACCATAAGTTGCTTAATAGCTATACGTTTTTTCTAAACATAAAGTTGTAAATAAAAACGTAATTAGATCTTTACAAGTTAAAACGAAAATGTTAATAAAAATAAATAGTTTAAACTTTATACCGTAAGTCTTACGTTGAACTTGCTAAGGATTTAATTAATAATTTCACTATGCAATTATGTGTATGTGATGAACTACTAATGTAATAAGACTTTTTAAGTTCAACAACTATAGGCTTTTACAATCATTTATTGCACCAATACTAAATAAATAAATTCATTTTTTATTTAGTTAATAATTTTTCATACTTTTTTCTTTTTCTGTCCGTTCGTTATTCCTTTATTTCAAATATTGTTCGTTTATTTTATGCTGCAACAAATACAACATCAGAAGTTTGAAGCTTAAAAATCATAATTTTTAAACACATACTCGAATCTAACCTTAACGAAGCTATTATTAACCACTATAACAATTATGTAGCTACTATTAAGATAATTACCCAACATTGTAGCCTACCTAGACATAACACTTATTTGTAATTGTATTTTTTTCATTTATCCTTCTAAAGTACTTTGCTGTTAACTTACACTAAGAAAAAATTAAAAATTGTATACTATGCATTTGTATTTTACAAACATTTGTTTTTTTATAAAAATAATATACAAATCAGCATGGCTAAAAATTATGTGGGAAGATAAATTAATCAGTTAATCAAAAATCGTACCTAAAAAGTACTTTATTGAGCCAAAGGTAGATCTAGAATGGAACTATAATATATACAATTTTTTCAACAATTTGTAGTAGAAACTTTTTTTTTAAGGAAATATATTTTAGACGGATCCACACATAAAAACGGTTGACTAGACCGTTATCTATGTCTAAGTGGCCTTAAAGTCTCCCTTATTAATTTAACCCATTTACGCCCGGTGGTCCCTTTTGGGACTCAAAATTTAGAAGGAAAAAAAATAGTTACGGGCGTTAATAGGTTAATATAACTCTCAGCTGCAGGCTACAAAGATTTTTTATTCTGAAACTAAGGCTGGTAAATAAAATATACAATTATACAATATATTTTGTACACTCTGATTTAGGTCTGGGCGATGGTGATGGCTCAAGTCGGAGCGGAGTCGAAACAGACACACACAAACATAGTCTCTTTGTGGAATAAGAAAATAAAAGATATAATAAAAGGAAAAAAACAAATGTCTTAAAAAGGAAATCAATACGACTTCATTCGGTTAAAAAAAGAGCGGTTAACCCAGATTTCTTGTAAACAAATTTAGAAAAATCTTGGCAATCGTATCAATCTATCACAATCAACAACTCCTAGGAAGACCCCAAAAATACTCGGAACAAAATCCATACCCTAAAAGGACTTAATCACAAACGGTAGATACATTTTACTGTAAAACCTTAAAACAGACCCCGTAAATATTTTTAATAAACTAGGTATAGAAGAATATTTTTTCAATAATAGTAATGATCAGAATTATAATCAGGACTTTATCGAAAATAATAAAACAAAAAACCAAACACCACGCCTCACAACTATAAACCAAAATGATATTCTTCAAATTCATCTGACATCTCCATGTCCCAATAACTAATGCCGAAGTGGAAACAGACCTATGAAAACGTAAAAGTAAAATCCCTGGTCCCGATGAAATTCCTTCTCCTTAATACATAGGTAATATGACCTTTTTTGGAAAAATTTCTCATTGTACCTATGAAAATCCAAAATCAACGGTTTTGCGACTCGATTCTATTATTATCATAGACTACAATCTACATGCAGACTAGAGCTGTACTGGGAGATACCTGTGCCGTCTAGGCAAGTATATTAATATAATGTGCTGCTGCCTGCTACTAAGAGGTACGAGAGGATTTGATTGCTAGCGTTTACGTTTTTTTTACGTTTAAAATCTACGGGAGGACTGCAGCGATAACGTTGGTGGGGATGTATAATATAATCGACGCGCACAGGTAATGGAATATTCGTATTCAGGTGAAACCGTCTAACCATAGAACCGCTGGTGAGGACTGAGGACGTCAGCGCAGTCGGTTAGTGCCGAGTATTCGTTGGGTTGCTTTCGTCGTGTGCCGCATTCGTACCGTGTCGTAGATAATTGTTATAGCATGTAATAATAATTTTAAACAACATTTTTTTTAGCAAAATATTTATATAATTAGTTCTGAGTGTGTTCGCCTCTGGACGCGTTTTATTATATTATTGGACCGTGTGTAGGTATGTTTTGATTAAGTGCGAAAAAAATCGTGTTCCAACAAAAATGGCCGATATTTAGTTGACCATGTATTTGTGGTAGTATACATGACGCGTTGTGAGTATATTTGCTCATGTCCTGCAATTCAAATATTGTTATACTACAGGTTCACATTCGAATAATTTTGAAGTGAACATTTCATTCAGCTACAAAAATACTGCAAGTGAGTTTTAAATTCAAATGACGAACTGCATTGTAAACAATAGCTATTATATTAATGCAAAAAAACTTTTTAAGACTGATAGGATATATAGTATTATAGAACGCTTTATGATACCATACGCATAATATAACGTCGTACTTTAAAAAAAAACTGGCATTTAGTAACTCGAGATTTAAATTTGCACTCTATTTAGTAAATAATGGTCTTAAAATTAGTATTCCAATAATATTTTTGCAATCAATTCAAGAAGTAGAAACATTTCTAATTGCATATTATTACCTAATCAAGTGTACTTAAAAATGTATTTTCAGGTGTCCTGGTTAGCCTAGTTGCTCAGTTTATCAGTATTTATCCGATGAATATAATAAATGTTTTCGACATAATAGGTAAACACACCAAGCGCCGACCGTTTAAGTCTCCTTTTGTGTTTTCTTAACGATAAACACATATTACTGTAATATCGATGGATTTCTTCTAAATTTAATTAAACTTCGATTAAAGGTGTTTATCTCAGTTAAGAAACTTTTTTAGGTTGATGACATTTTACAACATCATTAATGACGTAATGTTTTTAAATAAATACATTTTTGAAGACTAAAAATCTTCTCGAAAGTTCAAAGTTATATGTCCTTGCGTTATCCAAAAATTCGATTAGTAAATATTATTTTATGTACTTGTTTTTTAGTCATTCTCAATTCCCTACTAGCCCCAAACCACAGTTGCTCAGTTTTTATAGCCGATTTTTTTATTCGGCGCTCCTTAAGTTATTTAAAAATAAGTTTCCACTAATCTGGGCCCCTAAGCCCTAGGTTAAATCATACATAATTTTGTAGGAAATCTGGCTATGAATGCTCCAATATTTAATACAAATACAGGAAGTATCACAGTCACTTTTATGCCTATAGTTTTGGTAATTTATAATATTATGATGAAAACCGGTAAATAAAGGAAAGTATTTTAAGATAATGGTTAACGGTTATAACGTTAATTACAACTAAAATAAAATGATTTACAATGTTGTATAGGAGTGTTTTTCGTTTTAAAACACATATAATAATCTACATTTGTCCTCGGAATTTTGAATAACCAGAACTAATAGACTAATTGTAAATTGTGTTACGGCTAAAAACAAATGTTATATGCTATATAGTATAATAGTGTTTACAATGGAGGTATCGCCGTTTAATATTTATTTGGCAATTAGATGTTAAAAAAAAAAAACGTAAAAAATTCAAACGAAATTTGGATAGTCATTAATTCTGTTCGTTTGGATGTAGGAAGATTTATAATAAAATTGTAAAACATTTTCCAAAAACATTTATAACTTATTAGAGTTAAAGATTTATAGAATATACAGAGTATATTAACCGACGGTTTTTTTCAGCCAAAACACATCATTTTTTGTCCATCGCACAGACCGAACCAATGATCCGATAAGCATTTTAAAAACAGATATGAATTCGTCATGAAGTTTACTTGAGATCGGTCAGAGTGTTTTTTTAATTTTAAATTTTAACCCTTTCTAAATTTTATTTTAAAATTTGAAATTTTATAAAATGTTCAAACGTGTTTTATGCGTAGTAGGAATAATATATCAAATAGTACGCTGACCGATCTCAAGTAAACTTTATGACGAATTCAAATCTCTTTTCAGATTACTTATCGGATATCTGATTCAGTCTGTGCGATGGACAAAAAATGTACTATTAATTAACTAAAATGGCGTTTACTCATCGACAAAATGATTTAAATTAAAAATAATACTATGAAGCTTATACAAATTAACCGGTAAATTAATTGACATGGTCGAAATTTATTAAAACTACGCTTTTCATTGCCTATACAAAACTCCTTAAAAATGGTCGGTATTCAAGGGGCTAAATAATTGGATGTTATAAATGTGTATGTGTTTTTAAGTAAAAAACAGTTTTATATTTTTTAATAAAAAAATGTTATCCTTCTCGCAAGACATCATTGGAGTTAAAAACTATAATTTAATATAACTGATCATTAGAACGCTTTTGCAGTTGTAAATAGAACTTAACTTTTACTCAGTTTCATTGCGTGGCTCTATATAAATCTTCACTAATTGGTAACGTGTAGCTACTAAAAGAAGGATGGGTTTGCTTACGTACACATTCATATTTTCATACAACCCCCTCAGAAAAATAATAATAACGAGATAGAATTGTGTAGGTGTTGCTAAAATCTAAAGAATCACCTTAAAAATAATAAAATGATACTTGCCACTGCTATTGGTAGCACAGTAACTCATGATATGCCAAGTATAATATAAATTACAGGTGTAATTTTAATCTAGTATATAAATCATATGTTTCCTAAAAAAAAATGAAGAAAAGCTGTTGAAGAGGAACTAGAATAAAGAAACAATTGTAGTACAGTGTTTTAAGGTTCCTAAATAATTTTGGTATGTACCTACACTTTTATTAAAGTAACATAGTCGACTCCGTTCAACTCTACTTATGAGTCCATTTACACATCTGTGGGAGTTCCTATACCGTAGAAACGTTTGTGGATACTACAGGCCGTACTTTTACTAACACGAGTCGTATATGTATGAGACTAGATGTTATGTATAAAACAGCAACGCTGGGAATACCTACACTTCATCAGACCTATTCTCTGACCTTATTCCTTAATCCGTAAGCATAGATTTGCCGTTTGCATATTACAACACTATACGTATACTAGCTGTATACTGCGTACAAAATGCCTTGTGTATTTGTAGACATATGGTTCTAATAATAATATTATCTATCAGGTTGTTTAAAAAAAATCAAATTAAAAAGGTTGAAAAAATGACTGCTGCCATTCAGTTTATTATTTATGTTTGTCGGTGTGAAGATTATGATGTGTTATTTACAAAATCGTTTTAATTTCGAATGTTTTCTTATTTTCAGTCGTTGGCGTTGAACCATGTGAATTAGTACTGACGTACCGGACCTCCGCACTATGTATCGATCAAACTTTTACGAGAGCACGTGCTTGCGATGCTACCAAACAGTATACCAAGTAGATCGGGTGGGCCCACTCAAGGACTTCACGTTCTTCCACAGCGGTTGCTTCAAATGCATCGTTTGTGGCACCAAATTAACGTTGAAGACTTACTACAATAATCAGCATCGACAGGAAGACAAAGAAGTTTACTGCTCAAGCCATGTTCCCAAAATCGGTCCGGGACATTTGGACGGGACGTCTGTGGGAATAAGGAGTGCCTTGAACGTACCCAAGTCCACCACGTTTGTCAATGACCAAATTCGTGGCAGCGGTAAAGGTACGTTTGACGCTGAAGCGCTTAACATCAAGCAACATCTTAATGGTTCTACGCCACACCGGTCTCAGTCGCCTTTACCACCCTACATAAATGCGTCCAGCCCCGACACTGGATACCAGTATGGCAGGTTCGACGCCTCCGCTTTGCACATAGCACACGCGCTCAGGGCCACCGAGCTTCACAAGTCATACGCCAACAAAAATGGCATCAGAGAGAAACCAATACACTGCTACTTGGTAAGTGAATGTAAATAAATACATTAAAAAACTGTCTATAGTGATAAGCTATAAGCAAAACTGTATAAAAAGCCAAATGATCTGGTTTATGGGGAGTAATTGGAAAGGACAATGACAACAAATTAACAAAACGGCAAAGAGTTAATAAGAGACTATGTTAGCATAAAAAACGTATCGTTTTATTACTGTTTCTTCTTCACACACTCAAGTTGTTGTATAATTATTTATTATTCTAATATAATCAACGGCCAACTCACATAATTTTAACATAACATAAATTATCATGATAGTTATTAATGTCTTTGCTATCGTTGTCATCAGTTGTAAATTATATATTAGTAGGAGAACTTGTGGGAACCAAAATTATTGAAAGTTCAAAGTTAAAATAATTCGAACTGTATAGGCACATTTACTATAAGTTATATAAAAGCCTTCTTCCTGATAATATTTGACTAAATAATTATTTAGAAAAATTAGTAGAATTCAGTGGTAAAATAGAAAACCTAGTTAAGTCTTATAAAAAGAAGTATCGAACATCACCTTTGAATCTCTTCTACAACATAGTAACTAGTATGCATGCCTGATTTGTTAACGCTTTCCCTTAACGTACTGTATAAAAAGTTAATACCTACTGGCTACTACCTACCAATGTAGGTTATATTTAAAAATTAATTTTTATGAATTTCATCTGTCGAATTATGAAGTAGAATTCCCTTATAAATAAAGTGCTTAGTATTTATAAGCATAAGTAAGTGTTAATAAAACTTGTAAGTATTATACAGAATTAACAATCCTTAATATAAAAAAAAAAATTCATAATCGTAATATAGAGAAATATAATACATATACATAATATGGAGAAATAACTTTTTCTATTTATCTATAAAGTTGTATTTATCAGTTCAGTTTAGCTGAAACATGATGTATCACAGTTTTATTTGGTGTAAAAGTAGTTTCAATAAAACTATAGGAAATATCTATCACAATACAGAAATAGAAACATAAAACAGAAACCTCAAAATAAGGTTAGGTTGTATACATAAGAGTAACTAGTAGAGCTCAAACTTAGCTAACAAATGTTTGTGTTATTTTTTAGTGTCATGACAGACTTGACTATTTATCCCTATTCGTTTCATAATAGGTTAATCAAAGTCTTTTTAGTTATTTGGGGCCTACCATATAATTTTAACCCTTTTCAAACGACTTCGTGTGCCCTTTCTGGAGCCACAAGATGTGCTAATCATTGCTGATCATATTTCTTAGATAAACATTTTTATATTTATTTATTTATTTCTACGCCTGATGGCAATTTACAAGAAAAATACATAAGTGTTGGTAAATAATAAAGATAACAATTAAATCATATAAGTAACAATTATTAATAATAGTATACAATTAAAAATAGTGAGAGACAAGCAAATTAATAGTAAAATATACATATTATCAAATTAAAAACAAAACATTGTGTGGTCCGAGTCTAAGATTACCTTACACTTCACTTGGACTAAAAATCTAGGAGACAGGTCGTTAGGTCGTTACATAAATAGTTAGTTTTCCGAGTGCTGATTTCGAAAACCTGTTTATTACGGGACCCAATGGTAAATTAATGGACCCTACGTAAATTAAATGTAACCCTATTGAGTAGACGGCTAGCATCGATCTAACCAATAACTAAATTATTAATTAATCTAACGTCTAACATTTTTCTTCTAAATTATAAGGAAGTGGAAGTGGACAGCTAATTGATAGAGCCTGGATGAGCCTTATTATTTACTTATTATGTTCGCTAACTTTATTACATATCTATCGTCACTTCACCACAATGGTTGCAGCACCTTGCAGGTTTATTGTAGTTGTTTTCCAATTTGTATTATAACTATAAAACATTTTATTATTATTGGCAGGTAGAATCTAAACGCTAAATGTTGGGTTAACCCTAAGCCTTAAGGTTAGGGATAAAAGAGAAATGCCATTATTTTCACTAACACTTATCACAAAGCAGTGACGACTCAGGAAGTAATAAATGAGATGGTGTAGCTTAGAATGAACATAAATAACCATTTGATTATGATAGTTTGGAAATGACTAAGCGTCCCAACCTAAGAGCTCGTTTTGTGGTTATGGTAAAAAGCAACACCAATCGACCACACTGCAATTACAATACGTGTTCTGCTGTTACACAATGCAAATTAAACTAATTGACGGGGCTTTTCCGGAAATAACACACAATAATTTCATTGACCGTATAAATTAGACCAAAACACTAGGCACTAGCATTTCAATGTAGGTACAGTTAGTTATAGGTGTAGTGCGATATCATATTATTGTCTAATCGTCGACAATGACAGAAGCGACGGTGCCGAATCGCGGCTAACCAAGCGAATGTCAGATCCACAAAAAAATAAAGTACTATACAATGACTGTGTCCTTTTCATTTTTTTTCTTACATTTCTTTTTTTACGTTTGCGGTCTGTTCAGTCGCCAATTGCGGTGTGCTCACTGCTCAGTCCTGGCCCAGACCTATTGCAATTTACTTTTTTAGTTCACGCTTTATTTGGTCCATACAAATGTGTATTAGATACGGTAAATATCGAAACGATATTACAATACGAGTGTAATATAAACTCAAAAAATACGATTTATAAGTACATTACTTGTTGATTTTATTATTTTAATTACAATACACGGGTAATCAGAGTATACGTGTATATATATTTTATTAGTGTTTGCTTTTGCCGCCGTCAATTGCATAAATACTCAACTAAAACAATTGATTTTCTGGCAGCCGATGCGATGGTATCGACGAGGCGTTGCGAATCGCTAGATGTTTGAGTGACACATTCCATTTATGATGTTTTTCTCTGGGGAACCTAAACCGACTGAGGTCTCTGTTACCATAGTTTAGCAAAACTGGACGTTTTTCAAGGATACCGTTGGAGTAGATCATAAATGTTTTGTAAAATGGGTACACACCTAAATATATAATTATAAAATGTACACAGTGTTGCAAGAGTTTTTTTTTAGTAGGACAAAGGGGGTTAATCCTTCCGAAACCGTCTATCGAGTCGTGACATTGAATATACAGTATGTTCCAAAATAAAGGTACCATTAATGAAATTGGCTACATGATTTGAACAAGACAATTTTTTTTTTATTATTGTAATCTTTTATTATTATCTACCTGCAACATGCAAATTATAAAATTGGTCTTTTAACAAAAATATGAGTTTAAGTTTAGTTAGGTTTTTGTACTTAATGGAAATGTCTGATTAATAAAATAGTGTTTTAAATTTTATCAGTGGCACAATTAGAGAGGAATTACAGCTTCTTAAGATACTAATAAGCTTTCATTGGTACTATATTATAATGCTTGAATTAAATCCAAAAACATTGAAGCCTATTGCGCTATTGCAACTTATTACCCTACAAATAATACTAGAAAATATGCAAAAGATAAATTACAATTATGAATTGTCTCCAATCGGAAAATTGTTTAAGTGCTTAGTGAAGTTACGATTGATTTGTTAAAAAATGTGAAGATTTTCACATAAAAATACACACGTCACATATATGTTCTATACATGCAGTATAGTTAAGTAAAACAAATTAATGTTTTCTTTCCCCGAAAAATATTTATGACATGAAGTCGTTTAACCATGTAATTAAGTGATACTTTTATCCTGAGACACGCTTTATAATAACTCATCTTCAGTCAACTGGAATATTTAGATTTAAAAATTAAATTATTATACACTATTATTATATTATATTGAAGTAGATTATCAGTTGAACGAATATGAATAGACGAGACCTTGAAACACTTCCTGCGTGGTAAGTCAGCGAGACATACCTAATTTTGCTTTTACGAATAAAAATAAAAATGATTTAGGTACACGTGTACCACATATGTTTATGTAATTTATTGAAGCATAATATTTAAAACAAAGAAATTACTAACGATTTAATTTAAATTACAAATATGCGTGGTCGTCGGTCGATGGATAATTTCTAAATTATTCAGTTTTTATTAAGTAACAGGTTTTTATTTTGTTAAGGCTATTATTTATTATTTTAATTTCTAATTATTTTAACCAACCAAAAATGGTTCGCTATGTTTATTTTATAAAACGTGTTTTTCTTTTAAGAAGGAGAATAGCAGAGAGGGATTGTTTTAAAAATCACAACTTTAAATTATTTTCAATTGAAGTCTTACAAACAAAAATTATTTATATGTACTAAGGACATTTCGAGCGATCGTGGAAACACAGGCCATAGATAAATATATTATGTAAGCTTACGTCCTCTGTAAAATAATGTTACTCTATCACGATATTCAAGGACTTTGTATGGTCTAAACGTTCATTGTTAACCTGCGTTACGGTAACCGTTCTAGTTTCCACGATAAATGTTCATAGAAATGATGCGCATTTTATCGAAATATAAATATTTTTTTTTAATTTCAAAAATACTTTATTATATTTTACTATATAATATTATAATTGAGTGACTATTGCATAATTTGTCAAGCAGTTGAATTTTTCATTTAAGATTTTTTCTGGCTTATGTTTTTTGTCTTAATAATATACCAAATATCGTATTTCTTCAACGCCTAATAGGTTACTAACAGGAGCTTGCATCATAACTCATGTAGTTTTTCTTGTTCGATGTGTGAACACCGATAGGGTAAGTAATTATTAAATAATTTTGGAATCACTAGTCTACCTGTCCATATAATTTGTATAAAAAAAACGTGGTATTGAATGGCAGGTGAACGATGTTCCTATTTTTACTCAATTAAAATGTGAAAAAAGTACAATGAAATTAGCTAGTAAATACTGGGAGTATGCGATGTTGCCAAACTCGGCTCGTAAAACATAGTTTACTTCATATGGTGTTTCCATGACGTCATGGTTCAATCAACACTCCCCGATGTGAATTCTGTACCTGTATACACCTACTCGCTTTATTTTCTTTGTTGATATTTCCCCTTCGTAAACTGGTTGTGTTTATATTTTATTATTAAACATCAATAATTAACGTGCGCGTTTTACTCCCCGTTACCTTTTCTACTGGGCAAATATTTTTTTGGATTTTCAGAGCCAGAGGCGTTTAATAATTTCTCCTTTCTCCGCGCGCACATTACCTACCAGAAGGTTTTTGAAAATGCGCGAATTCCTTGTCAGTATTGCGACTGTATTTATCTTTTTCCGTGTAGCACATAATATACAATACATACATATAGATGGCCGTTTTTATTGCACTAATCGCACAATATACATTACATATCAATATTTGTATAGGTACTCACTGAGCGAGTATACAGGACAATACGTAATATGTAGCACGTAGGTTGAATATTGACGAGATGGGTGATTTACAAGCGTAAAAAATTAAGATACAATTTACGGCAATGTCAATGCCAAGGCACCGTAAATAAGGTCAGCCGGCCACACCTTTTATATACTATGCGCATGGTAAAAACTTAAAAACCAGACATGCACGTTTCAATGCTCTCATATAATCGAATTACACGTCAAGGAACCTACACACGCCACACGCAAACCAAAATACCTTTTCGGCTGATGGCTCCGCGTCGATATAGATGGATACATTGGGTCTAAAAAAAAGTTATATCCATATACTGCAACAACGACTAACGATAAAATGAAAACTAGTTATATTTAACTGTAGGTACACAAAACAATCATTTTTTTTAAAAGAGTTATTCAAATACATGTGTCCCTTAATTTCCGCCCATGCTCGTCGAAGTAAAAATGTCCTTTTAGCTCGTACAATTCTATATTAATCACTTGAGGTTTCGTGTCGTCTATTTGCTATTGATTTAATTTTATAATTTTAATGCCGTTTCGATTTTCATTTAATTGTGTATTTCAATCATTTGGGTACGGTAATCACTTAGGAGCCTTAAAGTATCCATTAAAGTTATTTCTGTTGTTTTTCTGTCAATATTTATACAATAGTATAAAGTGTGCGAGTTGCTGTTTTATTACTATATGTAATTTTTTGAAATTATTAAGAATTTGAAAATATTTTAGTAAAATAGTAGGCGAAAATGTATGTTAAATAAAAAAATCTTGTTGCTTCTTGTTCCACCCGTGCATGCTTTCGTTCACTCCAATAAACTAGATGACAGTTTTTAAACATTAATATTAATTTACCTAATTTTTATTTTATTTATTATGCAAAAGAGGCACAGGTGAAACTAGGATTATAATTTATAACACTAATGACCCCTCTCCCAGATTACAATAAGATAAACACCTTTTTGATGAGTGGTAATCTCTTAGAACCGTCATAATTTTCGAATAGAGGGTACCTTAAAAAATTATTGCTTATTACATTCCTGAATTAAGAACGTATATTTTGGTTATATATTAATGAATGGTTTTTATGTCTGTCGCCGCGATATCTCCAAACCCGTTCAAATCATATACTATAAATATGTATTAAATCACACAAGTTACAATACAATATTTTGTAAATACACAAAACACACCCCTACTTTGCTAAATTCCTATACAAGTGAGGTAACAAATTGTTTATCCGATTGTATGGTTTTTTGGACATACACTCAACGACAAGAACTAAATATCCTGAGCTTGGTATTTACCTTAAACGTATTACTTATTAGTTATTATCTTACTAGTACAGACGTTGAGTTCTATTAAATAACGCCCAGTGTTCTACATTAAAAAACACAACCTTTCTTAAATTCAATTTAAACTCGTAAGCTATAACTAATTTAATATTCTTATATTAATAGACTTATTATTATATATTTTTATACTAGGTAATATTTTGTTTTTTATGTATTAAACTATTGTTGAAGCCTAACATGCATAAGGGTACATTTAATTTATGTTACAGCTTTAATCTAATTGTATAGAACTATTATTCAACATATTACATTCATTCTAATTATATAATTTTTTGTAATGCAGGATAAAGATGAACAAACGCGGCTGGAAATGAAACACCGCAAAGAAGAGGATGATTTGTATAGGAAATTTGCGAAGCAACGCGAAGCCGAAGATAACCGAATCAAAGAAGAAATTAATGTAAAATGGAACTTTATATTTAAATGCATATAATATAATACATAATTTAAAATACATTATTATCGTATTATAATGTTTTTTTTACTTTTTTTTTTTGTTACATAAATTAATTATAACTCTGATTTATTTTGCCCATTAGAGCGAGTGGGAAAAAGAACTAGAAAGGTTGACCATAAGATTTGAGAAAGAATTACAAATGAAAAGAAAAAGACCGGACGAACAAAAAGTTCTTACGTTAAAGCTACAGCAAGAACGTGATAATCTTGAGAAGAACATGACGCTGAGACGTGACAAAAAGAAGGAAACGTTAACCAAAAAACTTTTAGAACACGAAAGGTAAGAACGACATGCTTAACAGATAAAACAGTTATGTTTTAAATTACTCATTATATAATAAATAAATATTATGAATTATTGGATAGGATTCATGTAGTATCACATATTTTGTTCATAATCATAATTGTTTCTTAAATTTATTAAAGTATGGATTAACTTTTTAAAGATGTATGAATAGACCTAAAGTTTTGGGAAAGAACATATTATTATGATGTAACGTACATATTAAAAAAAAATGAAAATGAATCTTGGCCCACTCCCGTTATAAGACGAAAAGATTTGATTTAAGTCTCTGATTTTATGATAAAAATTTCAGAAATTTAAAACCGATCGAAATCGATTTTTTTTTTTAATAACTTAAAAAACCTCTATTTTTAGGGGCGATAATTAGTGATAAAAATGTCAAAAAAATAAAACCCTTATATTAAACCAAAAGAAGTTTAAAGAAATTATTCAAAAAAATTTAAGGTCAGGCCGATGACCGCGTGGTTTGACTCACAATCAGAATGCCCAGACCTGTTTGACTCAGATATTATACATCTATTTTGATACAAAAACACTTTGTGTCAGTTTTTTCGTTTTTAATTTTTAATTTATTCAAGTACGTACCGATTTTATACATTGGTATAGGTAAACAATATTAGTTGAGTAAGGTTACTGTTAATGTGATTGTTATTATAAATTTATATTATATTCGTAGTATAGTTGGTAAATAAGTAGTGTCAAGCGTTAAAATATTTGTAAATAATTGACAATTAAAATACATATTATGATACCGATATTTTACCCGGCTGGTTAACGGTAGGCAGGTAATTTAATAATATATACTTACTTATACACCCCGAAACAGAAAAAGTATAAACACATAAGTTTATGTTGTTAGTAACAACTTGTTACATAACATCTATGTAACAATATATGTGTGTTTTTTGAGGTATTAGGATTTATGTATACCTATATAAACACACATATATTATTACTAATGTAATAATAAAATAATGTAGGTAGTAGGTACCTAGTAGAAGAGCATTATTGTACATAGTTTAGCGGTGGTGGAGGATGCGGTTGTAAGTAGGCAAGACATCCACAATCAAACACCAAAGAGAATACAAATAGCCGACTAACACAAAATGATGTGCCCCCTATGGAAGTAATGAAACTAAATCCCGGACGGGTTTGTTCACTTCAATGGAATGCAGCTGTTTCATCAACAGCCGCGATGAAAAGAATATCAGAGAGTCGTGTGTGCAATGCTGTTCAGAGATAGCTTTTTTTTTACTGCTACTACCTCTTGTTGATCCTCCTTCGCCTATTAATTTTATGGTGATTTTATGAGATAAAAGATAATATCACCAACTGCTCAGATATCGGATAAAATGTAAAAAAAAAACTAGGCTGTATTTTTAGACGAACCTTAATCAGACGAGTTTCTTATCAAATCGTTTTTTTTAAATTAACTTTAAAATTTAAACCTGTGGGCTGTGACCTCCTAGATTGTAGCCTGCAAACCTAGAATATGTTTGGTTTAGCGGAGCGAAGCGATCGAGTGCCCCAGCCCCCACACCCAGTGATTTGCCGTCCATGTTAATACAAACTCCGTCCACTGATAAGACTCTTCTGATAAAAATACATCTGAAACTATACATTGGTAAAAAAAATATATTATGTACACTAATCCAGACGGTAATGTGGCATGTGCGACTTGTTATTGTTGAACAAACGATACAAATGGATTCATACTAGTAGATGTAGATAATACTGAATAGCCATTGAGATTATTGCAGCAGTAATGAAAGGTTCGAACTATATTAGCAAAAATATTCTATCGAAAAAATCGTAACCGGTAATAACCAATATTTAAGTGTTAATGAGTCACATGCAAGCAATTGAATTTCTAAAACTTTTGCATTTCGAATTTCAATGAGTACATAGGTATAATAGTAAATGTGTTTACTTTTAAAAATATCGACATTAAACCTAACAATGCATTTTTTAAGTTATGAAGTAATAATACATTGTTCAAGTTCCTTCCGAAATTATAATATATATTTATATATTTGTATAATATATATTTGGATATATTATAAGATTTTTGAGGTATATTATGTTTATAAAATATAATCACATTCGTTATTACAACTTAATTTAAAACTATCCAACAATAGTACGATAAAAGTAAAGTTTTAATTTTAAACATCTATTCCTCTAGGACTTTATAATCGTACCTAAATTTTAATATTTGATTTTCAATAATAAATAATATTCTCTGTAAATCAATTAGTTTTTTTTACAAACACTAAACCCCATCATCCATACACACATTATACGAGTACATCGAATAATACTTAGTTTTAGTATATTTTATAATCATCATTCATCATAATATTAGTATGGCTGTATAGGTTTAGCGTATATTTCAATTAAAGTATAATTTATTATTTACAAGTAAAATTAGTGGTTTAATTAGTTTTAAATTTATTACTTCTTTTAAATTAGTACCAGCTTCAAACTCGCTGTTTGTTTTTTTATTTATTTATTCTCAATATTGCCATGTTGAAATCGTATAAGTTTAATGTAAAAAGGATTAATTAATATTTGTAACTTACGAGAGAAATATAAGGAATTTACACGTTTACTACCTAAGGAAAGTTAGAAGGTGGAGGACCTATATGAGATACTCCTTAGCATAAATGATACTCGGTTATAAGTTATAATTAGTAAGCAATATTGGGTATAGAAAAATCTACGCAAATAACCGACGAATAAAGTTTATGTACAAAACTTTACATAGTTATTATATCTGTATCCTATAGGCTAGAGCCTACAAATCACTATAGTCTACTTACAAATAATTATAAACAGTAGTTAACACTATTATAATGTTTAGGTAATGTTATATTTTTAAACCCCGTGTTTGCTTTTAAATTAGCCAAGACAACATTTCTCTTTTCATCTTAGGTGTACTTGAAACTTTCAGGGGCGGTGAATAGTATAAATTATATGACATTTGTCGGTAACTACGGTTGGTTTGCTCCATAGCTTGAAAAAATAAATTTGTATACTACAAGAGAAACATTTAAACGGCCGAGTGGTTTTAAGATTTCACAATCCTCGTCGTCAACGGGTAGTGTACGGGTGGGTATACTGTATAGGAATTGGAAACAATAGCGGCGCTTCACTATTAGGATCTTGTTTTTTAGTACCTATAGTATCAAATGAGTATAGATTTTTCTATAATTATTTTAGTATAACTTTAATATTGTATATATCGAGTTACCACTTACCTGCAATGAGCCGTCGCGCTAGCAACTATGGCCGATTCGCTATGTCACTGTGTTAACGTTCCGTCCCGGTGACTAAACGTTTGATCGACCCGAACGGTAAACACCACAGACTGACTAGATGGCGAGAGTTCCTCTGTAACACAGGTACATAAAGGTACAAGGTGTATGCAGTAAACGTACCATCGAAAATAGGTATTAGTGCTTTAACGCACTGGACCTTAACTATCACTACCCGTCAATCTACAAGTTGTAATAATATTTTCTACAAATACAAAAACCACGCTAAATTACGCTGTTGACTAGGACCTAGTAAGTAGTAGTTAAAATTACTAAAAATCACGAGGGAATTAAAGCGTACCTATTTCACAGTTCTTATAACACTGCACTTGGACCCGTATGATCGGCTGAATCGCTCACGTTACGATTTCTGCTTCTTTTTTTTTATCTATACATTTGTTGGGCATAAAATAATAATAATAATAATAAAAAAAACCAATACCGATACTTATCAAACCTTTTCAATTCAATATTCTTTGAATAATAACGGTTTCATAAACCGAAAGTCGGCTAACAAAACTTTAAGTCTAACACTATTTTGAGATCTGGACCGATCCGACGATTAATACGATTAAGATTTATTATTTCTTAGCCGCTACGAAACGCGTTTGTATTGCACCGATTCGTCATAAGACAACGTTTATATTCAACATTTGTTCTGGTATGTGACAGTGATATTTTACGGTACACAATGAGATGATTATGAATGAACAGATTGTCATCGTGAATTTATAAAATAAACGTTAAAATTATATCGGTTATTTCCGTCCTAATTTCAGACTGCTATAGTCGTCGGTTCAATTTAGCACACGAATGAAATAAAGTCTAGTAGAAACATTACTGACACTTTCCTCGGTGTACAATTCGTTTAATCATTATTTTAATAAAAACTGTATTAATTACTGAATATTATTAGTATTGTGGATATACTTTGGATTATACAAAACTGAAAGTCAAAGTAAAACAGAATACCGTTCGAAAGGGAAAAGTCAACGTTTCCTAACTGCAGTTTGAAGAAACCGGTCATCTACGACCGCCAGCTGGCAATGGGCGGTGTATATTTACCAAATACCTAGTAACTATATAACTAGTACGAGACTTTACTATTTAGTCATTTCTGTTGTCGAACCTGATTTTGTTTGAGGTATTTATGTGCGTTTTGAGTAAGAACTTGCAGTCCAACTGTTATGCCGATGTATACTTTAACGTGTTCACGGCGACCTGTCTATCATCGGAATCGGTCAACTCCCTTAATCCTTATTGTGTGTTATTATAGAATTTTATGTTATATACTCTGCCGTGGCAATGACGAAACATTGGTGGAAACTGGAAATGTACGGCGATGGACGCCAATTATATTGGTAGGTATACCGCAGAGAGGATATACCGACCGACTTACAGTGTGTATATTCTGTGCGTGTGTGTCACGCCTCTTGGCAAATAGGCTAAAGTCAACCGTGCGCCCGGCGTGCAACATTCCACACACAATGTACTTTCTACGGGTTTAATCGTTTTTTTATCCGTTCCATCATTGTTTTCGCACTAGACATCCAAAAGTAAATTGTTTTTTAATCGGTCAGCCCAAAACGCTTGTCACCAAAACAGAAACGTCACGTGGATTAAAAAATAATGATAACCATCGATAATATAATTTATATACGGCCGTATTTTGTATACACACACACACTGCATACACTTCATTACGCCCATTTTTCTATTGGGAGAGCACTGACCGCAAACCCACGATGGAGAGAACGTCCGGGTTAATATTATATTACTTCATTTTATGATAGAAGCTGTACACTGTACAGGTATACTCTACCATAGGTACTGTAGGTATACGGAACGCATAAGCGGAAGTTCGGAAGAAAAACTAACGGGGTTAAACGTCCGACGTTCAATAACAACAAAATAAGTAAAATAAAATCATCACTAAAGCATTGGCAAAGATAGAGTGGCGTTGACGGATCTTGGAAAACGCAAAACTCCTAACCTCTACATTACTTACTATAGTGATATTAGGCATTGCATTTTTATTTTTATACCCTGCTGTACAAGAAGAAAATAAATTACAAAATAATTCATGCAGTGCGTAGCAATCCCTTTCTCTATTAAAAAACCTGTAAATATAGTGGCGTAGCCCCTCGCCATTGTAATCACTAATTAGTAATGTAAGGATTATTGATATTTGTATGATGTGTCTATATATAAAATATTAAATAGCCCAAAACAAATTTGAATTGTTTGCCCCTAGACCATAGTATAACACAAAGTTAAAGTTGAAAAATATGTTAAAGAAACTTATCATTTTAAAACCAGCATAAAATTCCCTTTTCTCAGCTCCTAAAAAAAAACAATCCCTATAAGCAATATAACTAAGTACCTATCTTTAGTACCTATGTATATTGTCAATATTTAATAAAATATAATATATATGTCTAGTATTTCTTTTGGAATATGATATTAGATAATATCACTGTATATTAAGTAATGCTGATGAAGAAAACTTGTCTTAGTTTATGTAATTCATTTAGTTCTATGTTAAATACGCATTTAGTTAAAAATCAAATAGACAAGTTGAATTTGAGAATATATAATGCTCAATTTTTTTTTGTAGAAAAAAATAATTAATTATTCATTTTAGTATGTAGTTTATAGTATGTCTGAAACAATTTATCACGTTACACGTATTCCTCGTTCCGTTTATATCGAGCCAATAAGGATAGTCAAAATATAATTGCTACTAGCATATGACGTCTAAATATGGTAGTTTCAGACCGACTTGTTGTTGTCATTATGATGTTTATTTTATGCAGACTGTGCATCTATTTATAGTTTTATAGAGATACCACTTCGTCTTAATTTGACTAAATTGTAATTTACATCATGCTTTAAATTTAAATAATCGATTTTTGAATTGTTACGAATTTACGTCTTCTTATAACCGTTCAATATTACTTTCGAAACGTTGTATCGCAACGTTTATATTTTACAACGGAATCGTACTATTTTTATGGTCACTCGCAAAACAAGTCGCCGCCTCAGTTATATAATGTAGTATTTGATTATCGGATTTATTTCTAGGAGCTGAAATTGTTTATGCTCGACAAATAAAAACGCATCTAGTTGTGCTAGATAGGAACTCGTTTTTGCAGTTACATTACAGCATACAAATGTAAACACTTATACTACATACGAGTCGCGTTTATATTATTATTCGATTTTTGAAACTTGTTTTCTTTATTCATTTTCGTGCATTATATGTCGTTACAATCATCTTTTCGCGAGTCTGTCATAACGTAGTAGATAAATATGTAAACAGTTGCATAGATAAAAACGAAACCAAGACACACGTTTTGTAAGTGCTTACACAATTCCGTTAATTATTACATTCGCTCCTGAAATATTATTTTTTTCAGCGAACAAAAAAAACTATGCCTCTACTCGTCAGTCGTCACCTATAACTTGTCAAAAGGGTACTTGTTACTCGTGTACTAACTTTGTATATTTTAACATCTTTAGAAATTTGAAGCTGATTGCGGCACCCGGTGGTGTATTTTGGGTTTTGCTGTGTTCTGGAATTATTAAAACCCTTATTTTTTGGGTTACCAATTATCATATAATGCTAAAAGCATCCAGACATTTTAAACCCCCGCACTTGTGTTGAAATTACACATTGATCACAAATTGAGAGCGTTTTAACCCCCTCCTATATATTATATTGATAGTTCATTGACTTATCAAGTTACACATTACAGTAGTACCTAACTAACAACGACACAATACTAGTTTAAATTGGTATCAATATTGGAATTACTGTCAAATGTTTTAATTAGAAAACATATACATATTTTTTTATCAACATCATATTTACATTGGTGTAAATTTTAATATTTGTGTTTTTTTTTTAGAGCTGCTACCGCAGCCTTGGTGGAGAAGCAAAGTAGCGAAATGTTAGAGCTCATCAACGAGAAACGTAGCGAATACATGATGGCCGAATCGCTGTACTTGGACGATTCGTCGTTACCGGACGAGACTACTGAGACTCTTAACGATAACGTCCAACCGTACCCGGGCAAGGCGCCATTACCGCCTTCACCTCATGGAGTAGCTCAAGCCAAATTCCAGCTGTATTCCGACCCATTGGAATTTGCTCACATTGACCAAATTGCCATTTCGGTAACGTTTACGCTTCAAGTCAATAATTTATAACACTTCAAGTTATTTTTGTTAAAACTAGTATATACTTACATAAGTAAATTTAAACAAGTTATGCACGAGGGATGTGTAAACCACCACCAGAGTAGGTTACCACCAGTTTCGTTTTAACCAGCCCCTTACTCTCTTTCTACGCTAATTAACACGTCATAGAAGGAGTCTCGCGAAAAAAGCTCTACTATAAGGCTCAATTGTATTCTAAATTATGTATAGTCGGTCCTGGTTTTATATGTCACGACTAGAGCCTTTTTAGACAATTTTAAAACAAAATGTTTTACTTCTTCAAAAGCAGTTTTTTAATTTTCGTGTCATTTAATTCAGAACTTCAGAGTTTAGGTCAAGTAGTAGAATGATTTCAGAAAACTATTTTACGCAAATGCGTGATTGATATGTATGCTCAACTGAAGTGTATTACTAATCAATAAAAAGTCGTGTTTCAACTATAAATGCCCGTAGGTTAAATACATGTATTTTACTAATTTTTATATTTTTGTGCTTCTCACAAAACACGATTTCTCTAACATTATTCTCTATGTAATAGAAAAAAAACATATTATGTTTTTTTATTTTACTATTTAACCACAATGTTGTTCCCAATTTGTAATTTCCGTTTCAAACCCGATTTTTCCTGTTCGATTAGTTCTGGATTTTTTTCAATGACAACAAATAGTAGGTAACACATTTATGGATTGGATTTTGATTTATTGGTACTACTAAACGTACTTTAACTTCACAGTATAAATCTATAAACTATTAGTATTATACGTATTATAACAACGAAAAGTATCAAGCCAAACAATTATTTAAAGTTTTCGAATCCTTAAACATTTAGAGTACCCGCATTAAGGCTTAAAATACAATTAGTGATATTTGATCAATCCATTTAATTTATTTTACTGTTTAATAAATCAGCTATTTTATGCAATTAGTTATTTAAGTTCATTGAGTACAATAATATCGTCAAGTATAATGTGGGTAGATATATGTTTAAAAAACGTGTTATAATTTACAGGTAGCGCAAGAAGACCAAAAAACATTCACAGATTTAGTCAGGATGTTGGTTGGAAAATGTGGCTCAGATATCGAAAAAGCCAGGTATGATGATAATTGGTAAATAATTCATATTGGTGAATAATTGTTTATGCTAATATTTATAATCTATTGATGTGAGTAACATCGGTGTTAAGTTTATGAAATACATTTTCTAAAGCCTAAAAGCTTATAAACAACCGATAGAATTACGCAATACTAAACGTTTAGGTCTAATTCTATTCAAACTATACAAATGTACGGTTCGTTTTTTTTTCAGAACGATATTTCGATGGATAACCGTAAAAAATTTAAACACAATGAATTTCGACGATAATCTCAGAGGCGACACACCGATGGGTCTCCTCAGAGGTATCAAGCACGGGACAGAAAGTTACCATGTATTATTTAAACGATTATGCAGGTAAAAAACATGATACTTATAGTTTTACCATAGCTTTAATATACATAGTACAATATATACATGTACTATATAGTATATTATTAATATATGGTTTTACTTACAACATTTGGAAGTATGAAACCAAACAATATAAATAATAGTATTAATTATAACTGTTAATTATTATATTATAAACATTGACGAAGCTTGCGGTAGGCCAAGGACGTTTGAATTCTATAAAAAATTTTAAATTTTGAAACAACACTTGGGTGCTTCCGTAAGTGTTCACCTCAACAGGTTTATTTGTATAGTAAAGTCTAGTAAGCTTTATTTATATGAACAAGTAATTTATTAAACTTAAATATAATATAATAGTACAATATTTTCTTTTTATGGGACTAGATTATATTACAATGATTATTTAGATCTGGTCACTTATCAGTCCCACGATTCACATAACTGTGCGATCGCCCCTAGATTAGAGGGGCTCAGTTAAGTCCTCTAACCCCCAGTTTGTCGTCAATGCAGCATATATGTCGTGAAAACAACTGGTCATACCAAAAGTATCTGGTTTGGACCGCAAGCATGAAACGTCGAGTCAAGCTCGTGGGTGTTTTTAGTTTTTCCCCTACACACTTTCAGGCCAAAATCCAAATACCTAATCTAACCTTTCTTGGAATACTTAATCAATGTTTTTCATTACGACATGAAAATGTCTTTCGATTGGGCGTCTATCAACAATTTGCGTCGTGTTACGTTTAATGTTTCACTGAATTTCTTATGTTTTGTGACAAAGCCGTTGCTTTGTTTTACTCCCATAGAATTTGAGTAAAAAGAAAAATGAATCAATCTATTTTTTTTTGTCTGTATTAAAGGCACTGAAGTCTTGTATTAACGAAATCGTGTAATGATAATACTACACTTACTAAGTTCTGAATTTGAAACTTACAGTTATGCCGGTCTACATTGCGTAGTCATTAAAGGATACTCCAAGTCTGCAGGATATCAACCTGGAGTTCATTTCGAGGACAGCCGTTTCCGGAATTCGTGGAACGCCGTTTACGTTGCAGGCGCGTGGAGGTTTGTGCAGTGCAATTGGGGTGCCAGGCATCTAGTAAACGCTAAAGAGGTGCCCAAAGTTGGTGTTAAAGGCAAATCCGACAGCCTAAGGTCAGTTTGAACTATTTCCTTTATTCATCGACGTACTTAAAAGTAATACCACGCCAAATATCTAATAAATAACTGGTTAACGTTAAACGAACTGAAAATTAGGTTCATTATCAACATTTCAAATTAAATTTTTTAATAATTAAATGTACAAAGTCGGGGAATGAATGATTTATTTTGGTAACTTAATTTATTCAACAAGTACAAAAACATTAAAAAAATGCTAACAAAAAAATGTCTCATAAACCAAATCATGTAAAAAAATGTCTAAAAACACTATAATACCCAATTATGAATATAATGATGTAGAATTTTGATTATCGGTAAATGTGTTTCACGTTATTAAGATGTTAATAAAAAACCGCGGGGCCCCCTTAAAACAAATAATGACAACAATGTCCCATTTGCCATCGACTAGGTTATTTGGTTGCATTTTCAATCATCATCATTATTTTTTATTATTTCTTAACTAACTATAAAACTCATAATCACGCCAAATTCGAATTTAAAAACAATATATCTAAACAAAAACTATTTTACTAGTCGCATTTACAAGATTAAGATATTTTAATAATCGTGCGATACTCATGCAGTTATGCCGGTAATATATGTTCTAACTATTTTTCTAGGTACGAATATGATGACCATTATTTCCTGACCGATCCGAGGGAGTTCATATACGAATTCTTCCCTCTGCAAGCCGAATGGCAACTTTTGAAAAATCCAATTACACAGCGGGATTTCGAGGATTTGCCGTTCGTCAGATCGCTTTTTTTCCGTTATGGTCTCTACTTCCCCGACTCGAATACCAAAGCCGTTATGTACACGGACGCCACAGGTAAATAATATAGAGTGAAATATATATAATATATATTTCATATTATATATAGAATATTTATTATATATAGCCTCTCTAGCTAAATATAATTAGAAATTGAATGAATTTTTATTTAGATAATTATTCTAATAATAAGCGTTGTTTGAAAGCCTTTATAGTCATTTATTTAGTTCACACGCTATGTACCTAAGTTATTAAGAGCAAAAGATGAATACACTTGATGATTAGTTTTTTTATTTCATCATGGCTATCATTTTTATTATTATTTTGCATTCAACATGATGATAATAAAATCGAGAATAGGCAGTCAAAAAATACAGACTATAACTTATAGATTATTTTATAGTTTATTGTAACATTTGAATCGCTTTTTGTTAAAAGGGCATATGTTACATTTTTTGTTAATTTTTTTTTGCAACTTTCAACCAGTTTAAACTTGAATTAAATATTTTTACAGTATCGAAATTTGGTATAAATATCGAGTACCACGGACGTCATAATACACATAAAAAAAAATTATTTACAAGTTACCATATTTTGTAAGTTATGCAATGTTTTATCATTTTCCAAAAGTTTACCTGTTGAAACATGTGCCCTTTTAACAAAAAGCGATTCATTTATAGAATACCATTATTACACAAAGATGAACATTATATAAATTCTACAGATCGGATGCAAAACAGTAATCCACAATAAAAATGTTTAAAAGCTTTACATTATATTAGATATTTTTTTATCGAAATATTCAATTATATTTCGATTGTTAAATTATTTTGACGTGCCGGTTTTTTTTTACTCGGGCTCTCCCTCAATAAAAACAAGGTATACCTTTACCCACACTTTCAGAACTGATTCGGGTATTTTCGTCTGGGCGCGTGTATATATATATATATATAAGTTATAATATAAATAAATATAATTATAATGTAGGGGTTAACAATATTGTGTTAACACGGTGCACTAAATTACGCAGTCACGGGTTTTAGACTTTCGTCATTAATTATGCGATTTCTATTGGTAAAAAGCGTTGCGAATCGACCCAAAATAAAGTGTATGAATTTCATCGGTTAGATATTTTCTTCTTCTTGCGATTTCACGGGGTGACAAATAATACAGCTGAGCGTGTCGCCGTTATAGATTTTTGTGGAACGCCATTTTGAAACTTGGTCGTGAAACGCTTATGTCCTAATACTGAATGTTTTCTGCGTTTAAAGCTTTGGAATTTCTCGCCACAGAGTATGATTACATAGGTATGGCTTACGTTTCACGCGATATTCGAAATAATATATTTATAATATATTAATACAATCGTTGCAACGTACCGGTGAAAACCGCACAACAATCAACGGGTTATTAGAGTAGTGAAAAGCTGACCTCGGCGATCGTGTACAATGGTGTTTACTGGTATATACGTGGGCCACATATAGCTAGAATAACTAAATAGTGATCGCATGTTGCTGATTGCCGACGAGTTGAACGTTTCATTATTCGCTTGTTGAGATTTTGCCGTGTTTTACACAATATATATATATAAATGAATGGTCCACTTGATATCCTAACGGATTTATGTCCGGTTAAAGCATATTATAAATACACGTATAAATTATTCATACGTTAAAATAGCTGAGAAACGTGTGAGTTATTATTCAGTATTTTTCTAGGCTGTATTCATTTAATTATTCGTTTACAAATCGGACGTAGTCCGACAGCGCAATGATAGTTACCTACTCGTATAATAAAATACAATAATTTACACAATACTTTTGATTTTTGCTTCGTTGTTGTACAGTATTGACATGTACCTAATGAAAACTATATCAAGCCAGCGGATATAGTATGGATCGCACGTTGAATAGTAATAATTGGTAAATAATCTGTAATACTAGTCAATGTTAACTCGAGTTGATTTTTCACAGACCTTGTTAAAACATGAATATAGTTTCTGATTATCAGGCTTAAGTGGGCTGGCGTGTACGCCATTCATTAAATAGCTTAACGGGTATTTAAACATTAAGTTAAACTTTACATTTTAACGATACCCACCATAAGCGTTAATAGCCAAACCTATGTGGTCCTTAGTCCTTAGTCATAATATTAATAAAAACATATTAGGTTTATTTTTTTAAACGCTTTAATAAGTTATACGTTATAAAGTTTTCTTTATTTTTTTTACTTCTATTGAAAATAACCGAGTATTTTTTCTACGTCTGTAATTACAAATTCCCAATTCAGAAGTCAGCCAAGAAATAGGTCACATTTTTCACAAACATACAATTAGCAAACACACCCCTACTAAAAGGTAGGATAATTTTTTTTTTTTTAACACTTTTTTGCAAAGATCATAAAAACTTGGAGATAAATTATTGAAGGGAATATTACATTCCCCAAAATACATGAATACATCAATACATGTGTACTTGGTGTACTTATTATTTTTTTTTTTTAGGCGCTGCCACTGTGAGAATAGCAATACCTACAAATATGCAGTCCAACCTGATATTTCATTACAACTTAAAGTTTTACGAAAGTGAAGGGGATACTTATGACGGAGTCAGCCTAAAACGTTTTGTCATGCAGGTAAACTATTATGTCTTTTCATTTTTTGTGTGTAGTCCTGACTACAACTGGTAAAAAATATTAGTAGTTATACTTAATGGTAATACCTACTTAAATATTAGTGAAACCTTAATTTCTGTAATTTTTTTTTGTCATAGTCGGTGCTTGGTAATATCGTCGCATTTCGTGTACACGCTCCCAATAGTGGCGCTTTCCTTTTGGACATATTCGCCAATTCGGTGACGCCTAAAGAGTACTTAACTGGAGAACCAATGAAGTTTAAGAGTGTGTGCAAGTTTAAAATAATATGTGAAGAGTTGCAGACAGTCATGGTGCCATTACCTGATTGTGCTAGTGGCGAATGGGGTCCCACCAAAGCAACTCGGCTCTTCGGTCTCATACCAATATCTCATCAGGTATTGTACATTTATTTGATTCATATTTAAGTTCATTAATCATGTATTGTAAAGTGTGCCAGAATTCAAAATAAAAAATAATTATAATTTATCTCATACATACTTATTAATTACTCTCATCATTATTGGTTTACAGGATCCATTAGTGTTTGCCGGACGAGAGTTAGAGATCCAATTTCGTATGTCTAAGCCATTGACAGACTTCATGGCGACGTTGCATAAAAACGGGGTAGAAGAAAAACGGTTGTCAAAGTACATTTCACACACTATTGTCGATGACTTCATAACATTCTTAATTGGATTTCCGGAAGAAGGACAATACGGATTGGATATTTACACACGGGAAATATCATCATCTACAGAAGAAAATCAACACAGATACACAAATGGCAGTGTCAACGGTGGAGAAAAACATTTGCTTACACATTGTTGCAAATACTTAATCAATAGCTCTAAAAGAAATTAAATAATAATAATACTGAACATTTTATAAATATAAAAATGTATAATATTATAATTTGTAATTACTGTTAATTAATGTTAGGATAAGAATATTTTACGTTTTTAACTAATTTTTGTTTGTAATTATATATCTGTTTTTAAACTTGATTTTAATGCTAGATCAAAACAACACCATGCATACTCTATAATTATATTGAATAAAAAATGTATAAATATATTATTTAAACAAGTATTATATAATTTGTTATTTTTCTTTATCTTTGTTAGTAGCTCAACTCTTCAATGGTCTCTAATATATGCCGTATGGCCTATGGGTATTCCAGCTTGAACTTTATCTCTTAGATTACTTTTGGTAGTCTCTCTATCTCTCCAGGGTTTTTATGGAACCTTACTTCATCAATTTTGCTAACTGTCATTTATTTAATTTGATTCAATCCCCATTCCATATAATATTATGAAAAAATTGTAATGTTAAAGCTTATCATCATATAGATAATAGATATTTTATATTATAAAAAATTATATGGTTTTTCAATTGAATTAGATCTAAATAAATCAACATTTTTTAGTTTGATATCAGAACCAGAATAATAGGCATTTTTGATTTAGAAATTCTCACATTTAATATATTATAAAATGTAACACATACTAAAGTTAAATTATTTCATTAATAATAAATACTTTGTTATAAAATAAAGCATATAAAAATGTATTTGTAAAAAAATTATAAGTACAAGTATAAGTATTTAACAAATTAATATAAGTATAAAAACATTAAAAACAGATTTTCATTCTAAATTAACATGGATTTAATATGGTATGGATACTTTAAATTATACTTGCTTAGTCACTTTTTTCAATAGCATATTGTGTGGTTTGTTTTTTGGCTTTCAATTCAAAAGTCTCCTTATCTGTCCTGAACTCTTTTGCCTAAAATAAAAGGTAAACTATAAAGTGAAACGTAGATATAAGTAAAATTGTTTGTATTGTTTTTTACAATATCAGGCATAAGTGGATCGTTAGGATTGGGGCAGCACATCAAATTGCAAATAGCAACTATTACACCTTCTAATGTTATAAGTGGCTTCCAAGCACCAGTGGGAGGCATCTTCAATATATCCAAACAAATTCTTCCAGTAGTATCTATATTTGGATGATAAATAGGTGTTACAAAAGTAACTCTAGGTGGCTCAAATGGATATCTAAAAATAACAAAGAAATTATTTTTACTCATTCAAAACTTGGTAAAATCTATTAACATAAAAATTAATGTTAAACAGAAACAAGTCCTTAATTGTTATTTCAAATAATGTAATACACTTTCCAAACTAATAATTACTCAATATTAATTGCACATGAAAGAAATTGTAAAGAATACATTTTGTGTTTAAACAAAATTTAGGAGAGAAAAGTTTGTTTTGGTTGTAACAAGTACCTGGCTCTGGTTGAATGATATCCATTGGGTAGGGAAAATATATTTAAATTCTTGTTTTATTTTAAAAACTATTTTACACACAATACAAATTAAAAAATAATTCAGGAAAATGTTTACATTTCTAAAATTTTTTTAACTAAGTGTGCTTAACTTTCAGTCATGCTAATAAGTGTTTATTGAATACTGATGTCTCTGTTAATACAGTGAACCCTGTCTAAACCCGATCCTAAATAAAACGAAAAATTATATAAGACAGAATTTTTGTATGGATCGCCAAGCCATTTAGCATACATAAATGTTATACATAAATATTAATATTTTACTGAATAAGACTGAATACTGTTTAATACAGAATTTCCTATCACTCCCATGCGATTGCTTTGTACCAAGGTTTCACCACTGTATGTAAATTTTATCATATAATCATTATTATATCAACCTCTGTGGCAATTCCAGCTGTAATTTAAACACCCCATTTTCATACGGCGAGTCCACTGGACCATTGAGTTCTAAATACAATAAATGAAAACCAATAATTACTTACTGTAACCAAATGTATACAATTTTTGTTTATAATAGAAGTTAAATACTTACTAGCTTCTAAAATTGATGAAGAACCTTCTTTAATATTTACTTGTATTCCAGTTGGAGGCTTGCTTATTAATTGATTTAATTCTTTCTTTAAACGTGGTGTATTAAACATATTACAATTAAAAAAAAAAAAAAAATGTTAAGTATACTTTAACGAGTTAAAGTTAGTTTGACTAGCATACAAAACTGTACAATATGAATGTGTTAAAGTCAAGAAAAGTAATAGTAGAAATACTAATATAATATTTAAAAAACGGCTATGAATAAATGGTTGTTCAAGCCTCAACGACCTGTAGTCTATAGTTTGTACATCTCTATACTCAATACCTTGCTAATCGCAATGTTCGATCGGCGGCTATAATTACAAGAGTTCTTATCTAAAAATATGAAAAGGTAGCTGCTAGCGCTCCTCGTGGATAAATCGTGGAACTTATTATTTTTCACTGAGGATCCATGTTATATTCACTCGTGTTTGTGTTTATTTTAGCAATCTAGTTTATTATTTATATCTGTAGTGCTATCTAGCCGTGTTTTTGAGAACTATATACTTCAATTCTAACCTCAATTTTTCAGTGGTAAACAGCAACAATTGTCATAACCTCGTGTAAGTTTTCAAGTTATGTTTGATACGCTCCTCTGAATATTGCTGAACGTGTAATCTTTTAATTCAAGTTACCTATTCTTAATATTTACATTTAGGTATAAAATATTTGTATTATAAGGTTTGTGCTGTTTTGTAGAATGTAATATTTTAATTTTATTAGATTTTACAATTAGTGAAGAAATATTTCTTGTTTTTGTTTATTTAAACACGATTAGTATTTCATTGAGTAAGTATATTTAAATATCTTAATGTGTTTCAAGCGTTTTTTAAATTAATACAATTAGTTTTATCTTTTAAATCATGGTTAATTTCTATACCTTCTAATTAATCCGTTTTGTTTTGTAAAGATGTATAATATTTTATATTTATTATCGTGTAAAATTGATAATTTAGTTTTATTATTAGATATAAAAGCCTGGTAAATTATTTAACAGAGAAAAAAACAGCGATAAATCAATAGATCTTATATTGATAAGAATTACTGGTTAGCTTTTCATTTTTGAGGAGATATTTAAAAAAAGCCAGTACAGTAGGGATGGATCATATAGCAGGGGAGGTCACAGGGCTACATGAATTATTACAACTAATTCATTCTAGTTGGCTTAAATTGACTTTTACCACCCCATGCCTAAAATCCTACTTCATTTTCAATCAATTAGTTTTCCAATGCTGAAATCGATGGTGCGAAAAAAAAATGTGGAAACATTTAATTTTGAAGTTACAGCACTTTAACTTAGAAAATTATCATTATACTTTTTATACCTAGTTATGTTTTTCAATTAAAAATAAATTGGATTAAATTATTCAATTATGATTCACGTCAATTCTAGTGTAAATCCAAACAATATACATATATATTAAAAAAGTGAGGCTTTTTGAGAATGTGTCCCGGGATCTTCCAGGTTGATCAGAGACAGCAAAATGTCTTGCTTCAGTTCTTAAAATTTCCATATTATCCTACTCGTGTCAGAATTTTAAATTAGCAAATAATACGGTATAACTGATTGTCAAACCAGTGACAATGAGGACTAACATGCTACTACCATACCCACTCGGCTATTAGTCCTTCTTTGCTTAATATCCCTTTTTAAAGTTTAAAGTGCAAACATTTGAGTGCTAGTCTAGATGGAGAGAACAGATTTTAAACTCAATTGGTCATACAAATTTGACTGCTGATCAATTTATCTCAGTCAGTTGATAGTCAACTTAAATACTTACACTTTAATATTATTTCAAAACTTAATGAAAATTAAAACACATGTTTTATAGATTTATATAGATGTCTTGAAACACCATGTTAAACATCATATTATAATAATAATTACTATTTTATTAAACTTATGGTATTAATTGTTTTAGTTATCAAAATGGAATCTGCTACTGATGTTAAAAATAAAGACATCCCAGTTATTGAAAGTGAAAAAGATGTTTCCGTTGTTGAAAGTGAAAAGGCTGTCACTGATGTTGAAAACAAAAAATCTGTTCTTGCTGTTGATAATGTAAAACCAGAACTACTTGCTAAAGTAGCTCCTAAGATTATAAAACAGCTTGAATATTATTTTAGTGATACAAATTTGCCGTATGACAAGTTCTTACAAAATGAAATTAAGACTGGTGATGGATGGGTAAAGATCAGTGTTTTATTAACTTTTAAAAGGTTAGCCTCAATCTCTAAAGAACCTGCTGTTATAGCTGCAGCAGTTAAAAATGCTACTAATTGCATAGTAGAAATCAATGAAGGTAATGATAAAATAAGACGTAAACCTGACCAAGTAGTTCCAGTTGCAGATCAAGAATTCTTAAATGAAATGATGGAGCGTTCAATTTATTGTAAAGGTTTTCCGAAGACAGCTACCATGGATGAACTATTGAACTATGCTGCTTCTTTAAATGATTTTAACATAACTAAAGTTATACCTCGAAGACTTAAAACAAAAGAGTTTAAAGGATCACTTTATTTTACGTTTGAAACTAAAGAACAAGCAGAAAAGTTTCTCAAACTCGAATCTGTTCAGTACGGTGATGTCAATTTGGAGCGCAAGTGGGAAAAAGAATTTCTTGAAGAAAAGAAATTAGAATATGAAGAAAAACTAGCTAAAAGGGACCAAAAACAAAAGGCAGAGACGGAGAAATATTTTAAAAAGGGTTATTTACTCAAAGCTAATAATTTAACAGATGCTGTTACTGTAGACAAAATTAAAGATATTTGTTTAAAATATGAATGGCAAGTTGCTTTTGTAAAAATTAATGAAGACAAACTAAGTGCCTGGATTAGACTGAAGCCTGTAACAACTGCTGAACAATTATTGAAAGATATTGCTGATAAAACTAATGACCTAAATATTACATTTTCATTGCCTGAAGAAAATGTGGAACAAACAGTACTAAATGAAATGACAAAAGAAATGAAAGAAGTTCTCCAAATGAAAGACAGATTTAAGAAAGAGAAGAATAAGAATAAAGGCGGTAAAAGATTTAATAATAAACGGAAAAATGAGGATGATAACAGAAGTAGTAAAAAACTTAAAACAAATGGAAATTAATTTTTTTTTATGTTGTTTTATAATCCAATGTAACATTAAGGATAACTATTTGTACAAAATTGAATGACTATTATTAAAATTACAACAGTTTTAAACATTCTACACACATTTTATTTAAAATAATAACTTTTCAGGCTACACAATTATGAAAAATTTAGTATGTGTGCATAACTGGTGGGTTTTCAAAGTCTTCTTCCTTTCCTTGACGTTTAGCTTGCAATGCTCGTTCTTTTTGAATAGTTTGTACTCTGGTCATCTAAACAAAAAAATATTGGTTAGTCGAATACATTTGCTTCTACGACAACTTTTACCATGAGCTTTGACTATATCAATTCTATAGATTAAAAATATTAGATTTACACAATACACAGTTAAGTTTTATGTTGCATCTAGTTTATAACCATAATTAAATAAAAAAATGTGTTTCAACAGTGTTGAAAAATGAATAGCTTGATACAATTGGTTTGTATTTAAATACTTTCCCCTGTTTTTATAAGATATAAACAAAACATGTATTACAGGGCTGCCACTATACTAAATGTTATGGCTCAAATGTATGTGAAGCAAATACATTTTGGAAAGATACTTTTGTGATCTGACGATCAATTTTACATGGGATATGTAAACTATTTTGACATTTTCATGTCTTAGCTCTGGCACATAACCGAAAAAAGCGTTCTTTACAAAAGCGTTACAGGGGTAGGAGATAGGGGATGGGAGATAAGAAATATGTTGTACGTTCAACGTTCAAATTAGAACTAAATAATAAATTCAAAATACTTTAATTCTCTATGTTAAGTTACTTTTGGCCAGATAATAAACACTACAATTTTAGCCAGAAACTTGATTGTACATAATTTTTTAATCTCCTTGGCCTTATGCTGTAACTGGAAGCTCCATATAATTTTTTTTTTAAAATTATAATTCCACACCTAATCTAAATTTATTCGGTACTTCAATGAGACATGAAAATGCTCTTTCGTGGTTGCAGACTCGGCTGAAAAACTATTTTCCTTATCATTTGTTCTTATAATGTTTTATTATTGAGTATATATTGTAACAATATTGTTTACAATATATACTCAATGGTATTATAAAATTAAACGAAGGCTTATAAAAGTAATTTTCTAAAGTTTTTACCAGGAATCATGGTTACATTTTCTGATGGATTTTTTGGGAAATGTCCTTAAGAAAGGTAGGTACTTGACATAAATTGTGAAATTCGAAATATTAATATAATTAATATATCTCTTTTGTGATAGGTAGTTAATAACATATTAGAAATGTTACCAAAATTATACAGATATTTAAAAAGTTTGTTTTCCTTATAAATTTTAAATACACATATATTTGAAGGGCTGCGGGGAAAAAAGATCAATGTCAATTTTTTTTGAAAATGAGATTTGGTATCAAATTATTTGTATTGATGTATTGTATCTTTTATACGCTCAAACCAGGGAAAAAATAGATTAGTTGAGAGTAATGACCGCCTGATGTTTAGGTATACAGGCAAAATGTATTACCTTTGGAAATTAAAAACATGATTTTTTCAGAATGTTAAAAAATTGACATTGATCTTTTTTCCCCGCAGCCTTTCATTTAGTATCTACTATATTCCTAACTTCACTTTATTCACAAACTAATATAGCTAGGTCAGTATACTTTAGCATATCAATTTTTAAAAATTGTAATTATATTGATAATATGTTATCATAATAATTGTTAATTATTACGTTTTCTTGTTTACTATAGTATAGGTATATAACGATACTCGGGTAAAAAATGTACGCTGGTCACATTTTATTTAAGTACGACTAACAGAGGGTTAATAAAGTATGTGCTTGGGGACAGCTGTCCCTATAATAGCTACCAGCTAAGCCTCATGACTATACATAAAAAAACCTAAAGTTGTTATATTATTCTTTATTATGAATACATTCAATTATTCAAACAACTCCAGATTTAAAGACGACATATATCTTTTGCTTAATTTTTATTTGTGTGAGGTTGCACAACATAAATTTGTTAAGGCCCCTGGATACTGACAGTTTTTTCAGCCAAAACACATAATTTTTTGTCCATAGCACAGACCAAATCAGTGATCTGTTAAGCAATCTAAAAACAGATATGAATTCGTCATGAAGTTTACTTGCAATCGGTCAGAGTATTTTTTTCAATTTCTAATTTTAAAATTGGAAATGTTATAAAATGTTCAAACGTGTTTTATGCGTAGTAGGAATAAGATATCAAAAAACTACGCTGACCGATATCAAGTAAACTTCATAACGAATTCAAATCTGTTTTCAGATTACTTATCGGATATCTGGTTCAGTCTGTGCGATGAACAAAAAATGTACTGTTATATTAACTAAAATGGCTTTTACTCATAGACAAAATTATTTAAATTAAAAATAATACCATGAAGCTTATACAAATTAACTGGTAAATTAATTGACATGGTCGAAATTTATTTAAACTAAGTTTTTCTTAAATATTGCCTATACAAAACTTCTTAAAATTGGTCGGTATCCAGGGGCCTTATGATAAAAATGTCTTTATATTGTTCTGGCCCAAAATGGAAACGTTAATTCTTTTGTAGATGGCATTTCTACAAAGAAATCAACGTGACTCGTACTAATTTTTATAAATGTAGGAGATAAAAGTTTGTAAGCCGGTTATACCTAGTTAAAAATAATTTTCTTACTTGTTTTTCTCTAGTACAACACTCTTTAAAATCTTCATAATACACCTCACATTTTTCAATAGCCAATGGATGACCATAAGCTTCAAAGCAATTTACCATTTTCATTTCAAAATCAGCACAACGTAGACCAAATTGAGCGCTTAGTAATGGACCAGTAAAGTCAGTTACTGGATTACGTATAAAGGGACTTAAAAAAGACATTTTTTGGTAATTTTTATTTCCGCGTTTAGTTGAACAAATATAACAAATTTTCAGAATTGTTCGCACTATCAAGTAGTAGTTAATAGCAAATAGGTACACCGTATAAGTATAGTTAACAGATTTATTGTTCAGTTGTATAATTATTTGTTATCAATTTAACTTTATCACGGTAATTTTCTTTTGGAGGTCAAAAGAACAAACATTATAACCGCGGTAACAGAGTTAACCTAAAGCTGCTCCCTTCTAAATGCCCTACTAAATGCTCCCTTCAGATAACAATGAATACAGAAGCTTTAGCGAGCGTTGGGGTGGACGTGGAACTTGGGAGTTGAGATAGTGGACTGTGGAAGCTGTCGGCCTCCCATAGACCTATAAAGATAGTCCATTAATATTATATTCATTATTAAGTCCATAATATGTATTTAATTGAAAATGTTTGAAAACATCTAAAAATATTAAAATATTTGGTTTGGATGTATAAAATAATTTACTAAATCATTTCAAAATTCAAATATTAATTTAAATATAAATGTATTGATCAAAAAATTAGTTTTAAAAAAAATATTATTTTGCTTATTAGAACATACGTTATACATTACCAGGTTTTAATGGAATATTTTAAGATTTGTTTGGTGGATATTAAGATTTTTACTCAAATTTTATTCATTTTAAGTACTTAGCAAAAAAATAATTAATACTATTATTACCTATTTACATTTTTTCCCTTCTTATTTTTTTAATTATTAGGACTTTTATCTATCTCGTCTTCATAAAGAGTTTAAAACAAATTGTTGATAGTTTAACAAGACTATACCTAGTCTAATGGTCAACAAACAACTCTATAAAATTATCTTTTTAAATGTATGTTAAGTGCTTAAAAAACATACCTTTTAAATACATCAAATTGTAGTAAGTGAACTTCTATAAAAATATGAAGTTTAAGATTTAATACAACAAAATTCTACCTTTTTATAGCTTACACGAAACATCTAACGACAATGAGGAAAGATTAACAAACTTAGCCTTAGCATCAAACATGATAATCAGTAGCACTTGTTTTCCTCGTAAAAATATACATAAGGAAACCTGGGTATCCCCAAACGGAAGGGTTAAAAACCAAATTGACTATGTACTGATTGATTCTAAAAGAAGAAGATACATAACGGATGTAAGAAGTCATAGGGGAGTAAGTGGTAGTTTGGACCATGTTTTAGTGAAGGCCAAAATCAAAATAAGATTAGCGTTAGAAAGAGGGAAGAAGAAATGTTTAAAAAACCGTTTAATATAAAAGAACTAGAAAACCCAGAAAAAGTTAAGAACTTCAGGGAAAATGTTGCACAAAACATACAACAACAAAAAGAGACAACGGAAGATAATGTTGACATTCTATGGGCAAATTTAGAACAAACATTAAAAAGCACAGCGAAGAAAATATTGGGTTACGAAAAAAAGGGAAAGAAAAAGAATATATGGTTTGACGATGACTGCAAGAAGGCTCTAGAAGAACGAGAAGGGCTCGTCTCATAATGTTGAGAGATCCAAACGATTAAAATAAAATCCAATTAGCTAATATGCAACGAGAAGCAAAAAAGACAATAGGAAAGACACAAAATTGAACAAATTGAAAGAAATTATAGGAGTAACCCAAAAAATGTTTTCGGAGGAGCAAACGATATTAAAGTAGGATTCAACAGAGGACAACTATAGTAAAACACGATGATAGAACATTAATTACAAACCAGTCGACAAATTTAAAAACACCTTTGCAGATTTATTAAACAAGAAGATTAAGAATATAATAATACTTCAACCAGATGGTATAATAAACCAAAATTTTATCGAACCAACAGACGAAGAATTAGAGAGAGGCGAGAGCCAAACAAATGCTCAAGAATGGAAAATCCCCAGGAGAGGATGATATAGTCTCAGAACTTCTAAAAAAAGGGGGTCAAGCTTTAGTACAACAGATGGGAAACATAGTTCGAACGATTTGGAAAGAAGAAACATTGCCGGTACAATGGAGTACTTCTATCCTATGCCCAATATACAAAAAGCGTTGGATTGCAGAAATTATAGGGGAATATCTCTGCTCTGCACAGCATATAAGGTACTATCAAATGTATTATTAAACAGAATTATTTCCTATACAAAAGAAATAATAGGAGAGTACCAAGCAGGATTCACAAAAGGAAAATCCACATTGGACCAAATTCACATAGCAAAACAATTAATGAAGAAAAGCTACGAATTCAATCAAGACTTATTTCTCTTATTCATAGACCACAAACCAGCTTATGACTCAATCACCAGAGAATCCTTGTGGGCTGTGATGCTAAAATTTGGAATCCCGGAGAAAATGGTAAAATTAATACAAACCTGCACTACAAATGAAAAATGTAGGATTAGATACAACTATCAAATGTCGGAAGAATTCCATGTAGAAACTGGCTTAAGACAGGGTGATGCACTATCCCCTATGCTATTTAATAAAGCACTAGAATATGTAATAAGAGCTGTCCTAGAATCAAACACAGGGGTTAAAATCCAGAAAAATACAGCAGTAACTATAGTGGCATATGTTGATGATATTATGATTGCAGCTGAATCAGAAGCAAATTTAAAAACGACAACATCAGACCTGATCGAAAAAAGTAAGGATATAATTAATAACCAATGAAAGTAAAACAGAGTACATGATATTATCACGCAGAACCCACAACCAAACGGAATTAGTAGTAGGACAAATGAGATTTGAAAGAGTAGAAACTTTTAAGTACCTTGGAGTAGGACTGGACGCAACCAATGGTGGACACAATGAAGTACAAAGAAGAGTAGTAACTGCAGCTAATAGATATTTTGGAACGCTAAAACCCCTCTTAAAATCTTGAGTCCTCTCAAAAAAGTAAAAAACAACAATGTATAAAGTACTTGTTAGGCCTATTGCATTGTACGCATGTGAGGCATGGCCATCAACAAAATATGATGAAAAAAAGTTAGTAATATTTGAAAGGAAAGTACTAAGACAAATATTCGGTCCTAAAAAGAATGAGGAAACCAATGAATATGAACGTAGAACTAATGATGACTTAAATTAACTATACAACCAACCGGACATAGTAGCAGTAATGAAGAGCAAAAGAATCGGATGGGCAGGACATGTTTGGCGCGTTGAAGAAAAACTATTATATAAAATAACCTCATGGAAACCAAACTAAACGAGGCCCCTGGACCGATCGAGACAACGATAGCGTGACCGTGTACATCAAGACCTAAGGTTGATAGGAGTAGGTAGAGAATCCGGAAGAGATGTCAAGAGATAGAGAACGGTGGAGGGAGGTGGATGTTGTGGCAAAAGGTCTTAATGGCCTATATTAAGCAAAAAAAAATTCTGCCTTTTTAAATTATACAGAGTTCTATATTAATTTTATAGCTAAATTTGAAATTCTATAAGTATAGAGCAGAATATGGGTGTTTTAATGTTCACAGCTTAATTCATACTGTAGAATTTTTGGAAATATGGATATATGAATTTCAATCAATATGACCAGAATAGTTACCAGAACATTAAACGTAATATTAAAAATCCTCAAGTATTTATCACAATTATAATTAAAAGGGTCTAGGACATTTCGCCGCCAGAACAAGGGACTTTATTATACAACGGGGAGCGTTACCTGAAGCGAGTAGTGGGTGCCTAGGATTTTATAGCACTCCCCATAGACCGTTTAGACTTCTCTATTTTTTTTTTAATTAAACTAAAAATTATATTATTTTTGAATAACATTTAGTAGGTATATTAGTAAAGAGAAACAACGAAATACTAAAAAATAATGAAATATTTATATGAATTTATATATAATTTATATGTATACTCTTATTACAAAAAATAAAATTCATGACGATTAATATGAATTACAAATTTGTTGGAATTTGTATGGACGATATTTTTTACCACAAATACATTAAATGATCGCAATTCATTTTGCATTTGTTTCTTTTATTATACATTTATCAAATGCTTTTATCGATATTTGTATTTTTGTCTGGAACATTGGACCTCCTTACTTATGCCACGACCCTACTGTACTGATTTTCTTTTAGTTATGGTTCCATTATCGTTTTAGAAGTGATTTAAGTTTTAACAAATACTTATTTATATATTGTGCTTGGAATATAAATTAATAAATATGATATTAAAACCTGAAAATTTGTTTCTGGAATCAACTGATTTAGTAATCTAACAATTACGATTCAGAATTAAAAACTATAGAACAAAAAGTTGGTTACGCGGAACAAAAAAACATAAAGAAAAAAAAATTCTATCATTGTTTAACAACCTCACAATAATTTTTACTCAGTTTGTAGACAGTGGTATTACTATGCACTTATATAAAATAATTTGTTTTTATTGAGAATTTTACACATAACTAATGTAGGTAACAGAGATTTTTTTATTGTCAGTTACAACACACTCAAGAGAATTTTTTTGGCATAGTACTTTTGGAAAATTCCACCCCTAAGGGTGGCTTCATACGCGAATTTTGTACTTTATGTACGACGAATATGTTTATTTTTGGCTGCTAACCCAAAACAGCTGGTTTGTAATCATGCGGTAACCACGGTATAATATTAACTACTAAATTCATGCATTTCATCGTGAGTTTAATCAATTTCAATTCTCATAATCTTTTGAATACCGAATTTTAAGACTTCACTATTCTGTCAGTAAAACTCATGTATCTATTATATATAAACGATTAACCATAATTTAAAGTAATTTATTAATACAACATTTAAAACATCGATTTAACAACTCTAAGGCTAAAATATTTACCTCAAACATATATTGATATTATAAAAAAATTATTATCATAAGCCATGTATATAATTTAAGTTATAAAAAATAATTATTTCCATATATATAATACAAAATGTTGAATCACTATTATTGATAATTTAGATAACTTAGTAATTAATAATAATTATTAAAACAACTATAAAGTATAAAACATATGTTTTAATGACATTATGGTATGTTTTAAATGATTACAATGTTATATTAAATGGACATTTCTGTATTAACAGAAAAACCAAGGAATGTTCAATTAGTAGGAATAAGTTGTAATAAACAAGTCACATCATTGAAAATCCTAAAAATAAAATTGACAAAAAAATTAATTTAATTAATAATTCGTACGAGTGGTTAAATACAGATATATTTTATTTATTTGTACAGTTACTAATTAGGTCTCAAGTTAAATTTTACAATACATAATACTCAACAAAAACATAAATATAGCATTGTATTTACAAGAAGGAATTTTTCAAGAAATTGTACATATATTTTTAATTTATGGTTTATCAAACTCGTTTAACTTTTAGTCATACCATAGATCGATTAGTATCTCCTCCGATTTTATTTAAAATCTGAAATGTTAATAAGTTTGAGATTAGTCTAATTTGAAATAATAATGTAATATTAACTTATTTATTCGACAATAATAATATTAAGAATATAACACATGTAAACAACACATATAACTTACTCCACTAATTCCAGGAAAGTTGAGCATTGTACCCAACACTGGCACTCTTCGTAAAAAATTGACTGCTACTGGAAAGAAACCGCTAAAATATTCATAGAATATTTTATAATAGTTAGTTTAATAATTTTATACCTTAGGGTATTGGAAGCTGTCTGTTTTTTAGACATTTTAAAAATTATGCCTACTTTGGATGGTCAGATTTCAATACTGTAAAAATATTTGAGTATAACAAATTGATTTTTTAATTAAAATTTTGTTTAAATCCGATTTTAATTTCTCAAATTTTTAGTATTTACTTTCTTATATATTTTAAGTAAATAAAACAGTTATTTAAAAAATCGACTTCACACAATAACCTGGAAAAAAGGATGATGTATTTCATATATTTTAACAGTATTTACATTTGATCATTCAAAGTAGACGTAAGTTGTCAGGCTAGGTCTAAATTTGTTTCTTGTAGGAACAAAATAGGTTTAACTCAGAGAAAAAATTGAATAAGTACAAAATTATACCCTGAAGCTTATATAAATTAACCTAAAAATAAATTGACATGATTAAAATGTATTAAAACTACTATTTTCTTAAATATTGCCGTTATAAAACCCCGGAACAAATGCACTTTACCGGTTACCCTATTTTTTGCTGATTTATAGTGTTTTTTACGCTGATTTGGATCTAAAATCAGAAATCCGCAGACTCTTCTAGTTCAAAAGTTACAGTTGAACAACGATAATTGTCGCTCTGCTGCTGCAACCGACAGGTGCAGTCCACCGCGCCTAGCGTATCTGTAGCTTTTGAACTAAAATAGTCTGTGGATTTCTGATTTCAGATTCGAAATCAGCATAAAAAACACTATAAATTGGCAAAAAAAAAGGTGTCTGGTAAAATGCATTTACACCAAAACCCCTTCAAAACTGTCTGCTTTCAATGCATTTAATTTATAGTATAATACTTGATGCATTCAGTATATATTTTTTATATTACAGTTTACCTGAAAAGAAGTATGAATCCATATATTTCTAGTAACATTCCAACTATAGGCCATCCAAACAAGACAACAAAAATGCCACCGAGAAATGATAACGAGGCTTTAATTTTATGGCGTTGAAAGAAAAATTTTAATGTTCGTGTTACTCCAATAACACAGCTTAACCCAACTATAAATAGTATCTGAACAAAAATTCTAATATTATAATATTTAAATTAATTATAAATTTAAAAAAATGTAAATGTGTTTCCAAAACATTAAAGTAAAGTATGCATTTATATATTTTATAGTTATGAGTTTAGACAATGGAACTTACGTTGCCAATCGCTAAAAGTCCTTTGTCAAATAACAATAACATGCCTAAAAACAGGAATGATATTCCAAATCCGGCCAATCCAACTCCAATTTCTAAAAAAAATCATTATCTTACTCGATTTTTATGAATACATCTTCTATAGTATAAAAATAAAAATCAATTTTACTTTGTAAATCAGTTATTTCGAACATAGAGGACATTTTAAATGTGAAATATTATTGTTACAAAAATCTTATTTCAAAATCATTTCCAAGTGACTATACCTAATTAATTAAATAATAAAAAAAACACAAAAAATTATAAATATAGATTGGTGACTTTAATAATAATTCTAATTACTTTCATTAACATTTTTACATTTCTATTAAAATTAATTATTATTACTAAATAACATAACTTAAGTTATTACAAAGCAGAGACTACAATTAACTAATAACTGATACACTGTTCACTACAGATATAGTCTATATTATACTGCAATTTAGTATCTTAACAGTTTTGATAACACGTATTTAAAACACGAAGCTCATTTATTTGGTTGGTAAAATAAAATAAATTTTAATCTAACTATTATTTACAACAATACCCGTATTGTTGAATACTAATTAAAATATCAATTATTCTATCGTCGCGGTGTACATTTTCAACATAAATTTTATATTTAACAATTTTTACAATGAATGAATAAATGTAACTGAGTTGAGTAATTATTGTTTTATACATGATCAACAGAACGTGGCTACACTGAAAAGTGACAGTACACATCAGTATACGTAGAATGAAGTGCTATCATTATTGTGATAAAACAAAATAATAGAAAATTATTATGAAATTTTAGAATAATTATTAATTTTATATGGCCAATTAACTTAATACACTTGCTTTTTAAACAGCGTCAAAATGGTGTTGGCCGATTTAGGCCGAAAGATCACGTCAGCCTTGCGGGGCTTGAACAATGCTAGTATCATCAATGAAGAGGTATGAGCAAAACAAGTTACCAATTACTAAAATATCATTAATAATAATAATTATTAAACTCAAAACAAACTAGGTTTTGAACTCTATGCTGAAAGACATCTGCGCAGCACTTCTCGAAGCTAATGTGAATGTTATGTTAGTAAAAAAGCTGAGAGAAAATGTTCGTAACGTTATTGATTTTGATGAAATGGCTGGAGGCCTGAATAAGAGGCGCATGATACAAAGTGCAGTCTTTAAAGAATTAGTGAAAGTATGATAATGGTTATAATAGCTAAATTTTCAAAATAAAAATTGTCCAATATGATTATGTTTATAGTTAGTAGATCCAGGAGTGAAATCATATCAACCTGTTAAAGGGCGACCAAACATCATAATGTTTGTAGGTCTTCAAGGCTCCGGTAAAACAACCACTTGTACCAAATTAGCCTATTATTATCTAAAAAAAAACTGGAAAACTTGCCTTGTATGTGCTGATACTTTTCGTGCTGGAGCGTATGATCAGTTAAAACAAAATGCAACAAAAGCCCAAATACCATTTTATGGGAGGTACAAATTAAGTATACTCTTATTTTATTTTACAATTTAAAAAAAATTAGTTTAATAAGACATGCATTTGTCACCCATCAATCAATTCACCCTTGTTAAAAACGATAAAAATTTAGAATATGTTGGACAAATATATTACTTTTGAAGTCATCATTTATTTTTTCAAAATGTAATAACTAAGTCAACTTAAAATTTTTCTTAATTTTGTTCGTATATTTTGGTAGTATCAAAATATATTTATAGTTTTTACTCTTTGAGTTGTTGCTTGCTTACTTAAAAACAGTAGAGTGCTATACTGCGTTCCAAAAGAGAACATACTGGTCGGTGACCGGTTTACGTTCGGCAATGCATATCTCCCGCCTAGTACCTCCTACCGCGACGTGCTTAGGTTAAGTTCGTGGCTCGGATAAGACTGTCGAGTACTATCGGCACCACATTATGGTAAGAGTGTGAGAAATTTGCTTCTCAGCGGCCGCCAGCCGTCAGTTGTGATGAGCAAAATCGGTATGTTCTCTTTTGGAACGCAGTAAGTAGGCGTAGGCCACTGCTAGTTATATACTCGTTTGCTATGCTAATGGTGGCTTGTTTTGTCTATAACATTAAAATTAGTATAATATTTACTTTTTGCTTTACCAATATTTTAATCATCAAGAAATCACAATATAATAAACCAATTAAAAAAAATTTCACTTCAACAATTATTGTTTTTTTGACAGACATTTTTTCCCAAATTTTCTTATATATTGAATGATAATTTAAACACATGTAGCTTATTGGCAATAGCTTAACTTATTGTTATAAATATTTAACTAATTGAAATAATAATAATACATTTTTTTATTAATTGAACAGTTAAATTATTATTAAATAAAACTATTATTAATAATAATAATTATAAAAATAAAATAAATCAATAATTGAATTATGTTTTCAGTTACACCGAAGTAGATCCTGTTGTTATAGCTCAAGATGGAGTAGACATGTTTAAAAAAGAAGGTTTTGAAATTATAGTTGTTGATACTAGTGGACGTCATAAACAGGAAGCGTCATTGTTTGAGGAAATGTTACAAGTCTCTAACACTATTGTGAGAAAATTTATTTAACATAGTTCACAACCTATAAAATATCAATAATAATATTTAAGTAATTTCCAGAAACCAGACAATATTGTATTTGTGATGGATGCTACAATAGGGCAAGCTTGTGAGGGTCAAGCACGAGCTTTTAAAGAAAAAGTCAATATTGGTTCTGTAGTGATTACCAAACTTGATGGACATGCTAAAGGAGGAGGAGCCCTCAGCGCGTAATATTTTTTATAAATTAATTGAAAATTATATTAAATAAAACAAATATTATATAACTACCATACATTTATTAATAAATGATTATAATTTTATTAATAAATCTATTTTTTTTTTTACCATTAATTGGACTAATAGAATCTATGACACTCAATATTATTTTATTATGTTCGCTTCGCCTAAACTTTTTTGACAACAAATTTACTAAATTAATAATATGAATGCTTCATAAAACTGATAGTGAAATAATATGAGTATTTAAAAATATACATTTCATGTATTTTGGTTTTGATTTTTACTGGTTAATCCTGTAATATTATATACTCTAGTTCAAGTAACTGTTACGATTCAGGAATTATTTCTTTCCTAACCTACCCTATTTAAAGCAAAATAATAAAAATAACCACACCTTAACCAGATCTTGTACTTGGAATTCTTTTATCTGGGTACTCCAATATCAAGCGCTCTAATATTAATTGGTTTTATGATATAGTGTTGCAGCTACTAAAAGTCCAATTATTTTCATTGGTACTGGCGAGCATATTGATGACTTTGAACCTTTTAAGACAAAACCATTTGTGTCTAAATTACTCGGTATGGGTGATATCGAAGGACTTATAGATAAAGTAAATGAGCTTAAGTTAGAAGACAATGAAGAGTTGATTGAAAAAATTAAACATGGTCAATTCACTATTCGGGATATGTATGAACAATTTCAAAATATTATGAAAATGGGACCATTTTCTCAAATAATGGTAAATTTTAAATACAGTAAATATGTATTATATGTTAAATATGTATGATATATTATAGTTTATAGTATTAAATCTATAATGTTAGCGTTTAATAATCATTAAATGCTTACGCCATTTTTTGGATGACGACTTATAATAAGCTACTATTTTCATATTTTTAGGGTATGATCCCAGGTTTTAGTCAAGACTTTCTTTCGAAAGGTAGTGAAATGGAGTCAATGGCACGATTAAAAAAACTCATGACAATTATGGACAGTATGAATGATGGAGGTTAACATTATTTTTGATATTTTGTAGTAAATTGTTTGATTCACAGTTGTTAAGACTATTTTATAATTTCAGAATTGGACCATAGAGACGGAGCAAAATTGTTCACAAAACAACCTGGTCGAATAATAAGGGTGTCACAGGGAGCTGGTGTAACTGAACGTGAAGTTCGTGAACTAATATCTCAGTACACTAAGTTTGCTGGAGTTGTCAAGAAAATGGGTGGTATTAAGGGGTTATTTAAAAGTGGAGATATGTCGAAGAATGTCAATCCATCTCAGATGGCCAAGCTCAATCAACAAATCACTAAAATGATGGATCCTAGAGTTTTACAACAAATTGGTAAATCGATAACCCTACAATACAACTTATTAATTTGCAAGTTTTAAAAACAATACTAAAAGAAATAACTAATGTCTTGTACGAAGTGAAGAAAATGAATTAAAAATAATACTTGTTTAATACTGGTCTGTGGCTTTTATATAAAATAATAAGCTCTGTTAATCATTTAAAGATAAACATTTGTTGGGTAGAATATAAATTCTTTAGTACTATATAATTAATGATTATTTTTATTATTAGGTGGTATGCCAGGATTACAGAATGTTATGCGTCAGTTACAACAAGGAGCAGGAGGCGGTCTGGGTAATTTAATGGGGGGAATGGGTAAATAAATGTATAAACAAATTATATTTTGCATATGTTCTCCCAATTTGTATCTTTTGTATGCTATTTGATATATGTAAAAACAATGTTTAAGGTAAGATAGTTTGTATAAGACAATTTCCATTACCGTATAATATATAAGTATGATAAAAACAGGTTCTCTTTTTAAATGAATACAAAAAATAAATGACAAAATGTTTTTTTTTAAACATACTTGATTACATTTTATGCTGTTTAATTTGTAAAAAAAAAATAGTATTTGTTTTTGTTTGTTAAATAAAATCGTTTAAATCTAAAGTCATTGTAGATATATTAATATTAAATTTAAATATTTTTTATGTGAACCTTATTAGATAAATTTGAATTGGTACTAAATAGGTTAAAAAAAGAAAGAACTATCTCATCAATAAAAGTCTGTAAAATAACTGTTTCCTTAGGTATAAATTACAATACATAAACCTTTTTTTGTTATAAATACACTGTAAATTTTTTATTAAAATTATAAACTAATTATTACGAATAACAAATATTATAAAGTACAAAAGTTGTGACTTCACTAATTTTTGTAAAAATTAATAATTTCAAGTTTTTAATTTTTTTCCATTATGAAACATATAATATTTAGGTTGCTGGTTAGGTATTAATCAAAAGGTAAAAATGAGATTTTGATTTGTTTTTTTGATTAATGAGTTTTATGGCTATCTATACATCATAAATCGTTTATCTAATATAATTTCTCTTAGTTAAAGCATAAAGTATATTAAATATGTTTTATGGTTATAGTGTGTTTAAATTATAACAACAAAATTTTTTCAATTGAACGACTTGAGACTTCTATAAATACTTCCGGGATATGCAATGTGATTTATGTTTAATTAAAATGTTGATTTAAGAAATTGAGGCAGCGATTTTGAATACATCACATCACATCGATACTTACACACGGGAAGTAGTATCGTTATAAATTATAATGATCTTTAAGTTAGTGTCTTTGATTAATCTATCATTAATGTCTTTAAAACTAAAGAATAGCTAGATAGTACTGTCGTTGTGTAACTGGGCCTTTAAACAAATTTTTCAAAAAGGAAGAGGCTGTGCCTCGTGCTCCAAGCCATAGACCATACATATACCTCCCAATTTTCTACCCCGTATTATTGACGAAAATATGGTCCTTTTTTAAAATGTTTTATTGTTATTAATACTCGCAGGCCGCAGTATCTGAGGCTATTGGGTCACGGGTTTAATTGCATTTGGGTTACAAGGATAATTAGTTATAACTTACAGCTATTTACATTACAAATACATAAAATATGGTATTGTTGGTTCGTATATAGCTTTTTTCTCCTCGTTGCCTAAAATATCTCGGTCGTCTTTATTTGATTCCCATCTAATTTTTGGGTCTAATATGACTCTTTTATTGCCAATTCTGTCGAGAATGATCCATTTCAGCCCTACTATTTTCTTGACCGTTTTCCAATATTAGTGCAAACCAGTTTATTTCTTCATAAACTTTGAAGCCTTTTAAACTTAAACGATCAGCCAGCTGAGAACGAATTTAATGGTGGCATTTCAGACCATTTTACGAATTCCCATATTCTCTAGGTTTCAAAGTACATTAAGATGGTTGTCGTTAGTTTTGAGCAAGATAATACGTATAAATAGTATGTTGTAGTGATGCCTCCGATAAAACACGCAGTATTCCCAAGTCTCTACTCCCTTAATTTTTGGCTTGTATAATTACACTACAGGGAATTGAGTGTCAGCGAGGAGCCCATTATTTTCACATATACCATGACGCATGATTAATATAATCAAAATCAAAATCTAATTGTAAAACATATTTTTGGTGTGTGGTAATCATAGTGATCGATGAATACAATATACGAAAACTATCCGTACTACCATTGATTATAAATAATTATAATTTATAATCATTGGTACTACGAATGGGATATACAAATACGTTTTGTATGGCGATTCAAAATACCGATTTCTAAAATTATACGAAAACTTAGGACCGGAAAATCTTTAAATCCACTTCTGACAACATCCTCAGCGTCGTAGCCCGTAGCCGTTTTTTAGATGTCTACTTGACGTCGCGCACGGTACATAAAATTATACATAATATCTTCGGCGACCGGCCAACGGTGGCGGCCGCGGCCGTCGCCCGCCGAACACCGGCAACGTCGCACAAGTGCACGCCGTGAATGGAATTCTCACAGCATGGCCGCCGGCCCGGTAATTATTGTTCCCCCAGTCTGCCGGGTCGAGTCGTATCGCAGCACTCGAGGTAGTTGTTCGTCGCGATGATGATTAGGTGCGCAAACGTAATAATTGGCTTTTTTGAATAATTGCTTAAACAAAAATTGTTTATCATTGTAAACTTTGCGCGTAACAGCGATATTCGTAAAGTTCGCGGCGCTTTACATTCTATGGGAAAATAGCGGCCATTGAGAATTTTCGGATACGTCGGGTCGACATAAATAAAAAAAGGTACGTCTCTTATCATTACCATAACTGTAGAGTTTCGCAATAATTCCAATCATACATAAAACGCTGGTGACTGTAAAGACCCTGAAAAGTAATAGATTGTAGTTGGGGAAAATTACATGCCGTTTTTTCGCACAGTTCCATGTGTTATATTAAAATATAACGTGCGTGACCGACCTGTGATTTGCGACCGTCGGCGTTTTGAGCTTTTCGCGGTTCCTTTGGACACTTTAATTGATAACAGAACGGCATGACTCACGTGATTCACGCCTACGGTTGATGTCGATTATGTTAGTTCATACTCCATAATAAATCATAACACCTATTTATTGATAACACACACAGCGTTGGCATAATTAATAATAATATGTTATATAATATAACTTATATGTATTGTATAAAACATTGTAAATATTATTGTATTATTAAGCTGCCAAAACTATTATTTTTATTTCTTAATCATTTTCAGTGAGTTTTTCCCCACGTCTAACCTACATACGTTGTTTAATACGTCTAAAAACATATTCAAATCAATTGATCAATTTTTACCTACCATTTACGGCCAATGGATGGAATCTAAATTACGATAAATACAAATAAATGAACTGACTGAACGACCAGATTCTTACTGATTGAAATAAGATCGTACTCTAATTGGAATTTTCCTGGTAGTACAATGCTTTAGAGGGTTTCGATATTTTATTATGATATTCACTTTCTCTTATTAATAATGAAGTGTCCTTAATATTACTTGTCGTTTGTCATGTTTAGTGTTCACATGATGTAACCACTAAGAGCCCGTTTACTCGCGTTTATTAATCGTGTTCATATTTCATTTGTAGACGCACCTCTAATACAACCAGCTGAAGTTTATATGTTATTTTTTATAACTGGATAGTCAACTACATAGTGTACGTTTCTATATCGCCGTTTAAAGTTCTGACATTGATTATTATATTAGTAATAAAAAAATTAATGGTTCTGGTTGATGATACAACTTTTTGCGTGTTTTGGTCTAAAACAAATCATTGTTTTAGAATATATTTTGATTTTTGAAAACTTACGCAACCTATAGAACAACTAAAATTAGGTTATTACAAGTCGATTTAGAAAATAATATTTATTAAACAATTAGCGTGTGTAAGGAATTTATTATTCTATACAGGGTGATTTTTTAACACGCTTTTATTAGCTTCACTTGTATGTTTTTTTGTTTGTATGTAACTATCAAAAAGAACATCGAACTAATAACTATCAAAAAGCACATCGAACTAAAAAGTAGAAAATTATTTTCTACTTTTTAGTTTATTTTACTATTTAAGCGTGTTTTTAGTTTTTTTAAACTATATTTATTTATCGTGGGCCACTGAATATCTCACCGAGTTTCATTAATAATTGATTTTTTTTTTCATAGTGTTTTTGTATAATGTGATCTCAATTTTCCACAAATTATTATGTTTCTACCCCCCTTCCAAACTAGTGTTTTTGATAGCAACTTTTAAAACTTAAATGGTAATATATATATATTTTTAACTTTTTAAATTAAGACTATTCTATTAAACATTTTGACTGATCGATAACCAGTTTTGGATAACCATTTTTGAAGTTATTGAAGTTTCAAGTTTAGGGCAGAAGGAAAGGTAAAGGTGCAGTGTAGTATTATTTTTATCTGCGCGCACTTCCCCTCCAGTCCTAACTTTTAAACTCATAACTTTAAACAAATTAATCTAAAACTGGTTATCAATTTTAAAAAAAACTATGAAAAAAAAAATTAAATTATTAATTACTCAGTGAGGTATTGAGTGGCCCATGATAAAAAAATCACCTTTGTATAAATCATCATTAGGTTCCGGAGTTGCTTAACACAATATGTATTTTCTACTATCAGTCAAAATTAGTAAATGTTTTGGGAAATCCGTTTGAAATATTTTGGTGGCAGATCCGAATTACCTTAGATATATATTATTTTACGGAATTTTTATTTATTTTTTTATTAAAATATTATTTACTACAATCAATCGTCAGCAATTTTTAAATAACATTTGGCGCGAACCACGTTGGCCTTGAGATAGATGCATGCGCGCCATTCCTGTTTAATTATTTAACCGTTCCGGTTTTGTTAGCTTCCATTGGTTTTGAGATCCATAATGGTACGACTAAATGTAATAATATTTCCCTCCAAGTCAATATCCTTTATGAATAAAAAATAATTTGTATTGTATGTCGCAGTAAAGAAACTGGCCGTACGATCGTTCACAACGGACATCGGACATGCGTGTCGTCCGTTTTATTTATCATCGCTGGTTGTTATTAATTTTGCGAACCTCGTTTGTATCTACTCCACAACACTGGTATTCTCTACCTCTAGGCTCTACCTACATCTATAATATTCCGGGGCTTATTAGACGTATTACATTATTCCGATGATGATGTAGCGGTTCATGATACAATATTACAATGCGTTTATAACTGTGTATGTGGTGCTAACTATAAAACATTATTTAAGTTATTTGGAACATTATAATGTTATTGTTATCTTTGTGCCAGTGGTGTGTACCATTAGCGATTAGGGTGTGTTCAGTATGTATCGGTCGTCGACCATACGATCGGGCTGGCCGCGGGTAGACGTTCAGTGACGTCCGATCGACTAACCTTGAGTTGGCTTCTTCGATGATGTTTTAGTAGACGTCAAGCCCGAAACCGAGAGCAGAGCCCGTCGAATGTGTGAAGCGTCAGCGCACGTTTTACGTCGGCACGATAGATGCATAGTAAATGAGTGTTGAAACAAAACAATAAGCAGTATATTT